AATTCACTAATTTCGTGGTCCGCTTGACCAATTAATACTTTACAATTAATTAAGGTTTTTAGTTGAGATGAAAAAAAGTTAATGGCACGAGAGGGATTCGAACCCACAACCTTCGGCTAGATACGCCGCTGCTCTACCACCTTCTCGAGGTCACGATAGCTCAGGTGGTAGAGCAGTGGCGTATCTAGCCGAAGGTCGTGGGTTCGAATCCCTCTGGTGCCATTAACTTTTTTTCATCTCAACTAAAAACCTTAATTAATTGTATAGTTAATAAAGTTAATATGTAACTATGTATACAACTTTATAAAAATAACTGTCAACAGATAAGGAGGCCAGAGATGGCAATATCTCAAAAATAAAATATAAAAAACCATTATAAGTATATTAATTATGAATAATTACTTGTCAAAAGAATCCTAATCTATTTCAAAAGTTTATTGAAATTACTTGTTTGCCAGGTCATGTCAGGTTCACATGTCAAATGGATTATTGACATACTGAATATACTGTCATAGCAACCATTTAATATCAAATGGTGAAACAGTATAGACCTAAAAGTGGAATTCTTAACAGCCATACCATCCTAACATAGCAGTTTATTTATTAAACAAAATTTTGCCATAAGTTTATCACAGGATGACAATGGAAGGGTCTAGGGGGAAAAGACGTAGGGTCCATTGTTATAAAATTTTGAGATGTTATGCGATCTATTAGTTAATAGATTGTAGGTTTATAATATATACTTAATAATGAGATGATTAAAATTATGGTGTTAATCTTGTTACCCAAGTGGCCAGAAAACTGCAAACTATATTTTTTATTTCCTGTGAAATTTAAATCATTATATCCACCATCATTTTCATTTTTCCCCTGGACCTTTCAATTGCTAAGGAAAAATAAGTTTGATTACTGTCTGAATCTAATTGAAATATACTGTTTTGACTCTCATTTCTATAATACATTAAGACATTTGATAAATTTTCTTTAGGAATAGCAAATGGAATAATTCACTTTCTTCTAGGCATATAATTCCTATAATTGTATACTCTTTTTATTATATTTTGATACCAGTATGTGATGCAACACTGCTTCTAGTGAATCTAATGAATTTGCATTTAAATTTACAAATGTCTTGTTAGATTACTATTGCTTCATAATAAGATGAAGAGAAAATGCCAAAAATAACAAGTAAAATCAATGCTAAAAAAAGTCACTAAAATTCCTAACTAGACCATTAGTATCATTTCTTGAACTATGTTTCTGTGCTTTGTATATATTTCAAGCTTTTTAGGGATGGTTAGGGTTGGTTGGGATGGTTTTTCAAGCTTGTCTGTATTATGGAAGTTTATTTTCTTCACACTCCCAAAATAATGTTAGTCTCTTTCTAAATTAATTCCTACCATGCAGGAGGGCTTAACATCCAACTACCCATTGGGTGTCGCAGATGGTGGGTCAAACCACTTCACTTTACAATGCATTTTTTGAAGTATAATCAATTGAACAGCTATGGGCTCTGCCAGGCATCGATCAAGTACTGCTAGTATCTTGTAGACAGATGCCCCTAACAACTCATGTCAGGACCCCAACCAGAATCTTGAATTGGTTGCGGTTGCCTTCCAGTTGTTCCCTTTAAGTTTTGCAGATGGCCCTTCAATGAATCTCTTCGCTTGCTTCATGCCTGAGTACTGTTTCACCAGGTCTTGGACTCATTAAGGATCCATCTTAAGATATACCCTTTTTTGTGGCAAGATGCTTGGGCAGAATAGTGTTTGGGACCTAGAGTGCCCATGTTGGCTCCCTCTTTGGCCAACATGTCAACATTTTCATTGCCTTTATGCACCAAGTACCAAGTCGTTCATTCGCATTGCTGACTTCCACCTACATGCAGTTCCAAACACTTCACTTTGCATAAGGCTGGGGCGTTTTGTATGCTTGTCTTTCAGAGAAGATGGCTATCTTCCGAGAAAGTATTCATAGTGTTTTTATTTCCGTGGTGCACTGTTCAATCGCTACAATTTTAGACTGGAAAACTAGCTTATTTACATAAGTTAGTCAGTTCAGTCTTTGGATTCATCAGAAAAACTACAGGGTCAAGGGCCTTATTCAGTTTTGGAGCCATTAGTGTACCAGTAGGATTTTGCATTTAGGGGCCTCGAGTTTGATCCATTTCCACTGCTAACATTCACCTTATTCTTATTAAGCCTTATTCACGAAGCACGTCTTCATTTAGTCAAAATTTTAAGCATTTTTAAGTATTTAAAATTATTTCCAGTACATGTGTTTTAGTTCCAGTTAATTCACAAGGGGGGCGGATAAATGTTGCACAATAGTTGATAAAATAAAACTGTACCAAATGATAAAATAAATAAGATTTACAATGTGTAATTAAATAATAGTCAATAGATGCGTTACCCTAGTGTTTTTTGTCGATCCTGAAAAACGGCAAAGTCCACGTTTTCAACATTGAGTTTCTCCAAATCGCCTTCACCCCTCTCGGCTTCCCAAGCCTTTTTCAACTGCTGGCCGTGGAAATTCAACGAACGACTAATCAATCCGCTGTCCAAGACGTTGTCCATATTAATACCTGACAATCTACAGGAAAAAAAACTTTATTAGTAAGGAGAGTAATTATTCAGCATGTGGTATTCCGATGTACAATAGTCTATTTATATCTCGGGTCTTAAAAATTCGTCGAAGTTTACCATTTTAAACGCCTTTCCGGTTCATTCGAACGTGGTCAAAACAAAGAAAATTGTGCAAAACAAAAACGTCAGAACAAAGAAATTGAGTCGGTGAGAGAAACTGAGCAAAACAATTTAATGGCGTCTCGATTCTCACTCGCACAACGCTACGGCCTTGCAAGGAACGAGACAACACACAAGGCGGCCGACTACGGGGAAAAAGCATTTCGAAGAAATTCCCCGTTTGTATTTGCCTGCACCAATCGGTGAACGTGTCAGAGATAAAGACCGAACACGAATACAAAGTAGATTATACAAAACAAAAACTACATAAAGCATAAAATTTGTACGTAAAACTTAACGCTTCAAATGTTTAAAAGGAGTAGAAAGATGAATACAAAATTGTTCAATTAAATTAACGATAACGGTTTAACGACATACCTGGACAACAAGCGTCTTCTGTTTGATTAGACCTTTCCACATTTCATATGGTTCGATCTCTCGAAAAGTAACAATTTAAGAGAAATCTTTAAACACGAAAATCTCCCGAGTTGTATTTCGACTCGAGTTGGGCTTGGGGTTTTGGAGCAGTTTCGATCCCTTAAAAATCTCACTTATCCGATTATCACCGGTAGACAGGTTGTCCAGACTCGTTAACCGAAGATTTCCCGAAATTTCCCAAAAAGTCCTTCATTGTACGACTATATACATGATGATGTATTGCAATTGTATATGTATACAATTGTAAAATTAATGCTCGGTCTAATAAGATAAGTTTTAATAAATAAAAATATTGGTATTGTTTTCCATTATTTACATGACATGTATTTTGGATTTAATAGGCATTATTTGCCTGTCTATGTAAATGAATAAATATTAAGGTTGTAGGAAATGTGTGAACCGGTACAAAACGGCTTCAAACTTGCTCGACCCGTCCGTAATGTCATGGTTGAGGGTGTGGGCAGTAGGCATTTCTGTCGGCCTCAGTAAGACGTTATCTAGTCGAAGGTTACTTTCTGTTTTCAGTACTCTGGTTAAAATAAAAAGTTTTTCCGGGTAAGAACCGTTTCTAAAACTTAGGATTATATCGTTGGCCGTCGTCGTTTGATCGGAAACCGAAAATGAGTGACAGGTCGAGCCCTTTTAAATATTTCCTCTCTGGAGGCTTCGGGGGTATTTGCACTGTTGTGGCCGGCCATCCGTTAGACACGATAAAAGTGAGACTGCAGACGATGCCGAAGCCGTTGGCCGGCGAATCGCCCATGTACAGGGGGACGTTCGATTGCGCGAAGAAGACTGTACAGAAAGAGGGATTTTCCGGCCTTTACAAAGGGATGGCGGCCCCTCTCGTCGGGGTGGCGCCCATTTTCGCGATAAGCTTTTTTGGATTCGGGGTCGGAAAGAGGCTGGTCTCGTCAAAAGAGACGCCCGACCTGACTCCCGTCCAGCTCTTCACCGCCGGCGCTTTTTCAGGCATTTTCACCACGGCGATAATGGCCCCAGGAGAGAGGATCAAGTGCCTCCTGCAGATCCAACATGGCCAGGAGAAGCCCAAGTACACCGGGCCGAAAGACGTTGTAAAACAGCTCTATAAGGAAGGTGGAATCAGAAGTATATACAAGGGGACGGTGGCGACACTTCTTCGCGACGTCCCGGCTAGTGGAATGTATTTTATGACATATGAGTGGTTTCAGAAGGTGCTCAAGCCACTTGGAGGCGAAAGCACCGAAATGAACCTGCTCAAGACTATATTCGCAGGTGGAATGGCAGGGATCGCCAATTGGTCTGTAGGAATGCCTGCGGACGTGATTAAAAGCAGGCTCCAAACCGCCCCCGAAGGTACATACACAGGTGTTGCCCACGTGTTCAGAACATTATTAAAAGAAGACGGTATCGGAGCTTTGTACAAAGGTGTCACCCCTGTAATGCTCCGAGCATTTCCCGCCAATGCGGCGTGCTTCCTTGGATTTGAAGCTTGCATGAATTTTTTAAATTTAGTCGCTCCAAACTTATAAATAAGTCTAAAAGACTTTTAGTAATCACCTATATATTTTTTATTATACATATATTATAAACACGCTCGAAGGCAATTGAATTTGACAATCTTGTTAACGAAAAATGTAATGCTCAAGTAATGCTGCATCAAAGATTCGCCAGACTCAAGTTATAGCTGTCTTGAATTGTTTTTCTATTTTTAATTATTCTTAAAATTAACAAGCATAATCACTTATTGACGGAGAGTTTAATAACCGTAAATCTTTCAATATATTTGCCTTTGAGTGTAATTTTAACATGTAGAATACCTATTTATATATTTATACATATTCAGATATATATTTTTCTAATGTTGGTGCGTTAAAACATTTTTACACGGATATGAGCTGTTTTCTTATAGTATAAAATATTGTTAGGGCAATAGAGAATGCTAAGAAATATACAGAATCACTAGTTTTTTATTATTTTTTTCATTGTCTCCCTTTACACCTACCTTACTACATAAAATCTGTCCTAAAAATCCACTTAGGTTTTTTTGGCTAATCAAATATAAATATCAATCTTACATATATTAGGATATAATTTGCGACAAAAGAAGATAAATTTTTCACTTGGTTCTACTTTATTTACAATTTTTTAATCCAAAGTTTGTTCCACGATTCCCTTACCACTAGTCCATTTGAATATATCCACTAAAGGAACAAATGTGGACATTATTATTGTACTGATTGTAAATATTTTTCTTTAAGAAGCCTATATAATTTAATTTTATTAAATAAAACATTTTCAATGCTCAGGTGTTATTTTTAATAAAATGCCTTGCTTGTTAAATCTCAACTCCATAAAGCTTATAATTTTGCTTTCAATATAATTAATTGTTTCAATATTAATATTTTGACTTTAATTTTCAAAATTAATCCTCGTTTATTCTTTATTTAATACTTCCTTCATTTTATTATATTAAATCAAATGATTTCTGAACTGTTTACGGTTGATATTATTTGAAATAGTGGGGACCACAGGGGCCCAGAGGTTCAGTCGTCCGATTTGCCACGTGCTAGCCGTTCTGGGTTTGTATCCCAGCAGAGCCCATGTCTGTTTGGTTGATTTGGTATAAAAACTTGATTGTAAAGTGGTTTAATATCTCGTCTATGACAACCAATAGGGTAGTAGACGTTAAGTCCTCCTGACAGGAATTATTAACTTTTTATTAAACTTTTCATTTTGAAAGGTTCACTTAAACTGCCTGTAATATAATTACATTTTGAATTAAGTCAATTCAGCGGAATTATTGTTTTAATGGTAAATTGATTATTAAAGCATAAATTGTAACCAAATTAGCCAGTAAAATTTTATCGGCTTGTTGAAACGTTTTTATACCAAGGCTAATGAATGTGTCATTCGAATTAAACAGAATTAGACGCTAATTAGACAAAAGTAAGTGAATGTATGAAAATTGAAATAATTAGCATCAATTCATAAAATTACAAATGTTATTTTTTTAGCCAGATTGCTTTAAAAAATTTGCTCTCCTTAGTTCCTTAGTTAAACTGTCAATGAATAAATTATTTAAATTAGCTTACTCATGCAATAAGATAAAATCAGAAAGAAAAACATTTCTCCACTTTAAAAAAGAACAACAACATATAAATCCATTTTTTACATTCTGACTTTAAAAAAATGTATTAACTATTTAAAAATTGTCTTTTCAATTTTTTTTTTCTCTCGGGAAGTGCATTTGAATTGAATGGGTATAGTTGACAATCAATATAATTATCATATCAAGAAAGTTACGTAAGATAATGACAATGCCAACAAACAAAAATATTCAGAACTAAATAAAAGATAACGGCTGTGTTGACTTTTCTTCATGTTTATAGTATTAATATAGTGGTAAATTTTTATTATTTATTATTATTACACATATATCTTTTGTTAGCATATGAGCTTGGACATTCATAATGACTTTTTTCATTTAGCAGTTACTGAATTATCTTACTTTAATATCATAGATTGCATAATAAAACAGTGACTAGAATTAATAGATTTATTTAATCTATTTGCAGATTTACTATGGCGTTAAGAGGGGTTCAAGTACTGGAGATACCTGGATTAGCTCCTGGCCCAGTGTGTGGAATGATCTTATCAAATTTTGGGGCAAAAGTAATTCGTGTTGACAAGGTTTGCATTATTATGGAACACTGTCGTATTTTTATAATGCTTATTAAATTTTTTAAATGTTGTTTTAGTTACCCAGTGATGCAACTGTGGGGTTCGACAGTGTAGACCATGGAAAATTTTCAATGTCTGTGGATATGAAAAATCCTAGGGGTATTGAAATAATCAAACACCTCACAAAAACTTGCGATATATTTCTAGACCCCTATAGACCAGGTTTCTGTATATTTATAAACTTTACAATTGTATGTGAATATAGGTTTGTTTTGTTTTTTCTACAGGTGTTATGGAAAACTTGGGATTAGGACCTGCAGATTTACAGAAAAACAATCAACGTCTGATTTACGCAAGGCTGTCTGGTTTTGGACAAACAGGACCACTTGCACAAAAAGCGGGTCATGATATCAACTTTTTATCTATCTCAGGTCATCATTTCAGCAATTTTACCCACACCGTTTCAATTGAACGAAAATATTTTTTATAACTTTTCTGTGCACCGTAGGAACTCTTTCGAATCTCCAATGGGAAGGCAAACCTCCAAATCCTCCATTAAACATTTTAGGGGATTTCGGAGGTGGTGCGTTTACTTGTGCTTTGGGAATAATACTAGCACTTTATGAAAGGCATACTTCAGGAAAAGGGCAAATTGTTGATTGTAGTATGACAAGGGGTGCTGCTTACTTGTCAAGTTGGATCTTTCGAACTCAAAATACATACTTGTGGTCAGAGCCTACAGGGAAGAATTTGTAAGAAAATGTTTACTTACATGTTAATTTTAATATGTAATTAGATAAAGTGATATTCATGACACAGAGGGTTACAAAATAAAATAAAGTTTTATACATTCAAATTTATAGAAATAAAAAGCAACACAACAAATTTAATAAGGCAAAACCTCACTAATGGCAGAGAGAGGACAAATAAAAAGTCAAGCTATAAAAAACTCTTTCCCAACGATGTAGTAAAAAATTAATGGGAGAAAATGCCTTCTATTAAAAAAAGCAATATGTGGTAAACTGGACATACCTTCTTTCATATGAATATCTTTTACGGAGAAGTTCATTTAATTGAATTATGTTCCCAATCCAATATGAACAGAGAGTATAAAAACATAAAGCTAGCTACTACCCCGTAACCACAAAAGTTCAAGCTGTTTTTCGTTTGTTTTATAAAATATTTTCTTGATCATGGCTTTTTTTTTTCTTTTTTTTTTTTTAATTTAAAGGCTGAAACCTTATTGGTCATTAAGCCTTGAGTCTGTGCAAGTCAACGGCGCAGCCCGGCCCCCTCAGAGCGAGGCCCCCGCAGACCCCGGCGCAGTGGCAGCCCCAGGCCTAGAAAGAACGGCACCCCACGGATCTCTCGCAACTGATGCTTTTAATCTTAATATTGCGTGCAGGACTTTATCGAGGAGGGGTCGGTGTCTAGTCACCATCGACACCTCCTCTAAGCTTGCTGGAGATTCCTTGACCTCAGAGTCCGGGGAGGCACCATATCATGGCTTTAAAACCCATAAATTCCCTCATTCTTATTGTCTGAATTTAAGCTCAGTACTAGAGCAGCTGAAGCAGCTTGTGAAATTTGCATTGCATTCGGCACTGAAACTTCACACACACTCCTTGTGGAAACAATAAGTGAATTGCACTGCCCAAAAGTGTTTCTAAAAGTTGGCTTCTGAAAATGAGGGGATTGAAGATGTACTACGGTATAATAACTTTGTCTAGAATGACAACAAATTGAAGCTTGATTTGTTTTGAGTCAAACTTGTCAGGAACTTTCCAGAGTGTTCAACGTAAGGAATGAAACCATTCACTCTAGCTTACATCGAATTGGGAAAACATGGAAGCTGAGCAAATGGATTCCTTATGGATTGACAGACAGTACTAAGATTATGATAAGAAAATGAAATATTCACCAACAAAAGTGATGCTTTGTGTTTGGTGGATATCGGCAGGTGTTGGGCACTTACAAACTCTTGCCACATGACCAGGCCATAAAAATCTACTCAAGCCAACTGAAACAAGTATCTCTTGTCTTTGCCAGAATAACCTGCGCTTGTGAACAGAAAAGGTGTCATTTGTCACTTGGTCAATGGATAACCTCATACAGCCAGAACGGCAAAGAAGGAGATAATGAAGCTTGATTGAGAAATCCTGACATGGCCCCATCTGACTTTCACCTTTTCTTAGCAATGGACTGTATGCACACTTGGGAGTTTGATAATCATCAACAGCTGGAAAATTAGCTGAATTTATTTTTTAAGTCCTAGGACCAAACTTTTATAAGAAGTCCATTATGTTTTAGTGGTCTGATTGACCAAATTTATTTCTTTCAATTTTAATTATTATTTTTATGTAAGGTCTTGATTGAAATGAAAATTTTATAAGAAGGTCAAAACTGGACTGAGATGGAGTCTATTTCCCTGGATATATATTTCAAACAAATTTTAATTTGTGCAATTATTAAACCCTCAACCTTGCACAAACTTTTCTGGTTATCTAGTATAATCAAATGGCAAGAGACCATTTAAAACATGGAATTCCAACAAGGGCATTTACTAGGAAAAGAGCTATTACTTCACTACCATTCTGAAGGATAGGAAAACCCACTATCATCGATATTTTTAAAACACATAAGAAATCCTGGCTCCTGGCAAAATTTAAAAGGAAATAAATTTTAAAATGAATAGCAGGAATACAGAAGGAGCAAGGAGAATTAATTAATATATTATTAAGAAGCTGGAAGAAAGTCAACTTTTTCAAGTTTCATCTTAGAATGCAGGATGAACATTAGAAAAGGATTGGTGTCAAGGACAACAGGCAATTTATATTCTAGATATTTACTAGCAGACTTTGTAGCAGCTTTCCTCTGTTAAAGAAATTTTACTGTTATAAATAATAAAACTCATAAATTGGGACTCATCGGTATTCTTTAAGTATAGAACCAGAAAGAATGCAATATCCTTTGAAGGACACAGTGTAATTAAATTCTTTTGAATTCATTTCATTGTAAATGCATAAATTTAAAAATATAAATAAACTTTTCCAATATTGTTTGCAGTTTGGATGGAGGATGTTATTTTTATAATATCTACAAAACTAAAGATGGGAAGTGGATGGCTGTCGGATCACTTGAAGAAAAGTTTTACTTACAATTATTAGAAGGTTTAAATATTTCTGTAGATGATTTACCTTATTTATCAGACAATGAGATAGGCAAAGAAATGTTGACCAAACGTTTTTTAGAAGAAACCCAGGATTATTGGATTAAAGTATGTTTACAAAAATAAATAAATAGACACAAAAAAAAAGTCAAATATTAATTAATCATTATTTAGGTTTTTTCAAATCTTGATGCTTGCGTTACTCCAGTCCTGACACAAGAGGAAGCCGCTTCTTACGAACATAACAAATCACAAAATTCCTTCCAGAGATCAGCAGATGGCTGCCTGATCCCGCACCCTGAGCCAAATCTAAGTCGGACTCCTGGCAATTCAGGATGTTATTTACACCCACCAAAATGTGGAGAGCATACATATACTATATTAAAAGAAAGTGGATTCAATAAAGATGAAATAAAACAATTGCAGAGTGAGAAAATTATTTATATCGAAGAGAAAGGTCAAGCCAAATTGTGATTTATTTATCTACTATCTATCTATCTACTACTAACTAGTTATAATTATTTATAAATTATATGCTTATAATGTAAACAGTAAAATATTTATAATCTATATAAATTGGGAGTTGGGAACTGTTTAATATTTTTTTTATAAAAAGTACAAATATAAAAAGGGCAAAACTATTATTCTTAAAAAGTCATTATTTATCTAGCGAAATTAAAGTCAATTTAAATGCTTGGGATATTGGTGTCTGCCAATTTAATATTGCGAAGGTCAACTAATTGTAAATTATTACACAGTACATAATTCTAATTATTTATTATGTTGGCCTATAATAATTTAATTAATGTGATAAATTACTAGAAAAATAATTTCAATTCAGAAAAATGTAAAACCTAATATTTTTGTGTGTTGTTCATGAACTGAAAATGAAATCTATGATTTCATATTGTCTTTCATTTGTAATACATCAATAAATTAAAAATAGATGTTTTTCTTGCATTTTATTATTATATGTTTAAGTGCCCAGTACACTCTGGAATTATGCATTGAATCAATTCTTCATGTGCGTGAGTGAGTGATATTGTAAAAATTGTTTGGTAATTTAATGCAACCTGATGTTTCTTCATGTAAATGTCCCATTTCCAATATCCAATAATTGTGTCTCAAAATGTTCTGCAAAAGGATCATTATATCATTTAAGTCAATGATAGTATATTAACATGTTTCCTTGATTGTTTTTAAACACATATTTAGTTCATCAGCTTGGGTCAAATGTGGAGAAAATCACTACCTAAAAATATTAGCGCACCACCAGAGGTATTTTACATGCCTTTTATAAAGTCTCTAAACACTCCTGGCACTAATAAAAACAAATTGTAAAATTTTCAGTGAAGCCAGTTAGCTAGTAAGTTTTATGTCTGTAGCATACACACAAGTTTTAAACACCAAGAATGATGAATGGCTCTTTGGATGCCTAGTCGATTTGAACCTCTCACTTGTTTAAAGAAAGAAAAAAGATGGTGAAGAGAGGGGGAGGGAGAAAGAAAAGGGAAGAAAAAAGATTTTTTTAAAGTATTTTTTTAAGTGGTTAAAGTATTGTTAGTTGGTGTATATTTATATCCAGCAGCTAATGTGGTAGCACAAGGCAAAAAAATGAAACCCGACCGCATCTCACGATATCTGAATAACCAAAAAAATGAAAGTTGAAATTATTTTGGAGAATTCAGTAGTCAAAATAATAAATAAAAAGATATGTTTAAAAATATTTATATCATCAGCAAAGAGAAGAATAACAATATCTTTAAACACATTTTTTATTTATGAAAAAAAGAAACAATATAGGTCCTAAGTGAGATCCCTGAGGAACTCCTGAAGTAACTAAGAAAATTGGTCCATAGCTATGTTATAAATAGTTTAATTAATAATTGTGAGGAATGATAAATCACGTCTTTAACGAAAATTGTGGTTATTTTATTCTTTAAAATGAAATAAAATCTTGGATATTTAAAATTATCCCGCCAAACAAGAAAGTGGCGCTACAAGAAATCAAGAATCGCCCAATATTTAAACCTTTTAGTTGGTTATATAATTGTGTAATGTTTGTAGTTTGATGAATTTTCGACTCCAAGTATTAATTTCATGGATAATTTAAAGATATTTAAATATAGTTTTTCGTATGATTAATAAGAATAGCTTTTATTCGGCTAGACTTCGATGGCTTCTGTGAAAATCCCAGAACAAAAAGTAATTCTTTGCGGTGAATTCGGTGTTGGAAAAAGTTCATTATTCAGACGTTATGCCTTCAACAGTTTTGTGTCGTCTAACAATAGGAAATCCACTCTTGGGCTCGACCATTTCAACAAAGAGTACAATATCAGGGGGAAAAGAATAAACGTAAATGCAGACAAATTGTGTATTATGTTTCTTGTACATGCTAGTTGCTAAGACAGGGTTTATTTCAGCTCCAGTTATGGGATACAGGTGGTATGGAGAGAGTGGCGTCCATCACATCAAGTTATTACAAGTTCGCAGAAGCGGCTATTCTTGTATTTTCCCTGGACAACCCTGCCTCGTTCCACGTCCTCTCCCAACATTTGCTCGATATTGTCACATATGCTGAAAATGCAAAGATATTCCTATGCGGAAACAAATCCGATCTTGTCACACAGATGGCCCAAGTAACAGATGCTGATATGGATAATTTCTGGTATTCAACAGATTATTTAATTTTAGTAGTTTTAAAATGTCTACATTATGTAATACACTGATGGACAAATTTAACATATCAATTTATTTAGTTTAAAATTAAATCCATTATCTTTCTTTATTAGTTGCAGGTAATTAGGAGTTATCATAGTGAAAATAAACAGTAAATAATGATTTGTTTACTTTTGTACTGGTTAATCCCATTTGCACAAAAAGTAGCATTATGTCCTTTCATCTTGCTACATCTAAAGATTGCTTTCAGTTAAAAAAAATAGAGCGGGATGACACTGTGAAAGGCTCTCGAGGTGGAAAATTGGCTGACTCTGCTCTGGGTCCTCCCAGCCATACTCGTTGGGACGATTATGTTGTGTTAGCCAAGTCATCTACATTGCCCTGCTTTCACAGATGGGGTCTAAGGCTGGCTAGGGTGTGAGGCATGCACCGTGTATTGTGAGAGGGTCCACTTCATGGTCGCTCCCATCACACTTGCATTTATACAGTGGAATGGTATGCAATTTGATAAGGGCTTGAGGTGATTCGAAACAATGGTGCCTCTGCCTGCCTTGTTTCTCTATCTATGTCAAATACTCATTGTGCTCTTGTTGGAGATATACCATGAACTGGAGCATCTCGGCAAAACGGTGGTTGTTGTGTCTGGGTCATAGGTCTGGAGAGTGGCGAAAAGGCAGGTAGACTAGGACGGCCTAACCTCTAGGCTTAACTACTGTGATCTGGCCCCCTGACACTAAAAATGCAATAAAAACATGACTAAAAGAATGTGGCAGTGTTGGCGAGCCGGATTGGCAGAGAAACTCTCACATATCAAGAGCACTGTCGATAGGTGGCCTTCTGACCTGTAGAATAAGGGTCATCCTCTTTTGATCAAGGACACTTACTTTCGGGTCAAAGCCAAAATATGACCAGCATGTAGAGAAAGGTTGCTTAATGTGTCCTGCCTCCTTCGCTCCATATAGAGTGTTGGAATGCCACCCTACATTAGAACTGAACTTAAACACAAAAGCAAGTATCTGGGTCTTCTGTTCCAATTCTTGGAGGAAACAGTTGTTTTATTGCATATAGTAATGATGAGTTTTGTGTCCCTAGTGGGTGTTGAGAGTGAAGTATCTATTAGCATGAATATGTAGTGTGAATGGCAAAATATGGAATACCCGTCATCCCTTAATTAGTTAGTTGTGCAATAAGAGTGAATGGTATATATGTGAATGTATTTGAGCGAGTGAGAGTACGGGTTTGGATATAAGAACTAATTGTGCTGGGGGCTGAAATGTCCTAGCTGTTGATTGCCTCTGAAGCCCAACGTTGACAAGTCATGTCAAGTCAACACACAACACCCCCTCACTTCTACGACCTAACTAAAACTTCCCTCCACAGGAATCACCCAAACTGGACACTAAATTCGGCAAAATGCTGAAATGTGTCTGACTGACAAAATTAGTGATGATGGGGAAACCAGGATGATAAGTAACCATCAAACTAAAAAATAAAATGTCTTGACTGACTTTTAGACCCTTTGGAGATTTTTCTTGGGGGGGCAAGGCATAAAGTTGTTGTCTTGATCAATAATCTTTCCTGCTTTTATCTCATCAGTGAACAAATTATTAAGCCATATCTAAAATAAAATTATTATAAAAACAGTTTATGTGTATTTATGTACTGTGTATTTTTCTAACTGAATTTTTTGTCTTGTTTTAGTGAACAATGCCACAATTTGATAAGTGTCACATACAAAACATCCTGCAAAACTGGTCAAGGTGTTGATGAGATGTTTTTAGATATAGCTCAACACCTAATGCAGGCAAACCGTTCAAGGATGGAATTACAAGCCCTGGATGAGTCTTCGTTTAAAATAATTCCAGCTGAGGATCCAATGGAGCCTCCTTGCCTCTGTTAACTAGTTATTCTGCATAGCTTAGCTTGTTCAAGAATTTACCATTACTGTGTATCAGGTTTTTTATTCAGTGAACCCAGTTGGGAATAACAGACATCAAAGTGATACGTATTGGTAAAATTAATTTTGTTACTAACGAAAGTTAAAAGAAATGTGTCAACAACCTGAGGACATTGCTATATCCATGTTTCTTATTAATCCAACCACATTTTGTTCCTAATACAATGTGTATATATTAGTTTATATTTGACCCTTGAAGGATTTGACCATAAATTTGTGATATAAGATTTTTTTTAGATTTATATTGAGTCATGTCATAAAGCTTATTGGCATTTTAGTTATGTTACACTTGCTCACTATACCTGCATAACATATATTAACCACAATAACAAAAAGTTGGGTGGTATTCCAAATATAGACAAATTGTTTGACTTATTATTGATACATACAAATTACCAGGTGAAATGGAACATTTTTAAACTAAAATTTTACTAGTCTTAAAATATTTGTAATAGAAATAATTAAGTAGTTTTTAATACTAATTAATTTTATTAATTATGACTGTGTAAGGTGTAAATAGTTTTTTTCTCCTTTTTCAATGTTATAACAACCAGGTTGATGTAAATAAATTATTACTTAAGCTTGATGTGTTTTTCTTATACAGTATATTATGTTTTTATGTAAATAATATTGAAACAGTTAAGCTTGATATGTTTTTCTTATACAGTACATTATATGTTTTTATGTAAATAATGTTGAAACGTCAAACCACTGCAAAAAATATACTTTTTTGCTTTTGTTAATGTTTCGCAAAGATTTTTTAATCTTATTTTTTTATTCAAAATATGAAAAACAAATTTAAAGGAAATATATGTGCTTATGTACTATTGGTTTGTAAACAACAGTACACTAGCACAACTTTTTTCTCTCCCAAACTTTGGTTTCTGGCAGTACGCTGTTTTTCAGTATGCTGTTTAGTGTGAGGCTGGTTGCCGTTTTTACCATTTCAAGCAACCCTGATTCTTAGTTTTTTGAAGTTTAGTTTAGTATAAAAGTGATGAGACAAGAGCATGACATCACATTCACAGTACCAGAGTAGATGTGCCATTGCACAGTACCTGGTATGCTCTCAGAACCTCACTGGAAGAAGCAAGAACGCATGTCACACTCAACTGTCCTTAATGGACTATTCAATAAGGATAGGCCAGACGAAAATGATCGGGAACAACCAAACTATTCATAGTGTGGATCATCACCCTTAAACCGCAGAGAAATATGCCATCATAAGTGTACATGTCTTATTGAAGCCACCAAAATCGGGTTCCAGCCTCTAGGGGCTATCAACAACTATGCCATTGCATCCCCCAATGCAATCAGTCTCCAGATCCAAACCCACTCCCTCTTAAATATTTTTTTTTTTTGTGTTTACATACCATTCGCTCAATTACGATGTAGGTGACCTCACACATTCATTCTCAATATACACTAAAGCCACAAAACTAAGTACTATATAACAAAGAATCAGAACGGGGAACCCAAATATTGTTGTGCCAAGCACAATTCTCATATCCTTGGCTCCATACAGAGAGCACGAAGGAATGGTACTCTTCAATTAAGTGGGACACAATAGTTATTCAAATATAAAAAGTGATTTTATTTTTTTTTTTGATACTACAGTTCATTTATATTCAATAAAAAATGTATTTATTACTGACACTTCAATATATTTGTTAGTATTATTTTACCAATATTGGATAGTAAAGAAATTAAACAAGGAAAGTTGTACAAAAACTAACATTGATATTCTATATGTATATTAAGTATTGATATCACTATTTTAATTGTATTTAAAAGAAATTTCATATTTAACAAACAATTTTTTTTAAATTAAATGACCAATTTTGAGCTTTATTACAAAATAAATCAATAAAATATAACTTTCTAATAAAAATTTAAGTCAACTATATCACAAATTGGCTAGTGTAAGAATAATTTTATTAAGCTTCAATTACAGCTGCCTTACAATTCTAAGCGAATATAAAAACTTAAATTTTATAAACAAAAAGTCATATCTAGTAATAAAACACATTCTAGGGCTAAATGAAATTAATTTATATACAAACACTCAATTCATTTTTTCAGACTTATTGATTAAGGGTTTAAAATTAATTTTACAATTTTCACAGGGTGTCACATTATATGAAATAACAAAACCCCCATTCCAATTAACAATAAATAAATGAAGATATCACATGTTGAAACCTAAAATAAAATTTATATTAATAATGAAGTTTTCATTTAATGTTTATATTGTTTATAATCCATAGAAAGAAAGTATCGGATATAAATCAATGTTGCTGAAGATAAATTAATATTTTTAAACCCAATAGGAAAATTAATTCATGGCTTCTAAAACAAAATGATATTCTCTGTTAGGACCAAGTAACAAGTATATTATTTAACATGTACAGTCGAAGCCTTATGGTATATTTTACACAGCCTTCACTTTTTCTTTCTCCTTATTAATAAACAATATTAAATGTATTTGTTTCTGTGTTGTTTGTTAAATAACATACATTTGTTACATAAATATATTCTTAAATTCAGCCATATGCTTCACTTGAAATAAACATTTGGACTTTAAAAAAAAATGCATAAAACGTAAACAATCAATTGATAAAAGTCGCACTGATGTTTCAGGTACAATGAAATATAAATGCAAACAAAAAATCAAAATGTGTTTTGTATTGAAATGCTATTCTTCCATTTCACATACATTATGGTGACAGCAGAATTTTTCAATTGTTTCAGACAAATTACACAGAAGTAATCAAAGCCTACAACGCAGCCTCGTTACTTTGCTCGATCGCAGAGCTCTTGGCCTTAGGACCCTCTTGGTTTTTAGCTTCTTTGAAATAACTTCTTCCATAGCAGGTGTCATTCTGTTTCCATCCAGTTCCATACTGCATTCCCAAGAAAAATATTATTAAAAATATGAAAATAAATAAAACTACTATGTACTAAAATGTTTATGATCATCTATGGATCTTTATAATCGATCTGCCAAGTCTTATTAATTATATTTTTATTTTCCGTCAGTCCCCAACTAATCTGTGATTCATTGACTGCACATTCCTGAACATAGACTGATCACAAATTCTTAACTCTATTGCACCACTTTTTTACAATCTCGGCTCAAGAAAAACAAGTATTGCTGAGCCTTATTTCTGGACATTATGGAAACATTCGACATAGTGTGGCACCTAGGTGTTAAACATACCTTCCATTTCACATACTATCTCACTTTGGAGTCCTTCCTCTTGGATCGATGGTCTAAAGCACACTATCTAAGCATAGATAACAAACTAACCACTTACAAAACACTCATCAGATACTTTTGGACTTAAGCCTAGTACGCTGTGGGATTCTTTGTTAGGACTCATTGTCGCAGAGCTGTGTCTGGTATTCATTTTCTTGCATACAAGACGCTCCGCGACAATGAATCTTGTATCTGTTGTGTTGCATTTTAGTATTTTTTTTAATCATAAATTAAATGGTATTCTTCACTCAATGTTGTGTAACGTTGAATGTTTTGATGGTCAAAACCTGGTAATGACCATCTGAAAGTCGTTTGCATCGATACACCCGTATTTTTTTTAAATTTAATTTAATTTTTTTTTTAATGTGATTGTAGACGATAATACTGATCGTACTCCATCCTGGGAGTCATTTTCGGGAACTCACAACATGTTTGTGAATCGAGCCCTCAGTGTGCTTGTATTCTTCCATTGAAGAAACTCATTTTCTTACGGGTTGGAACCAAATTTAGAATCTCTGAGATCCGATCCCGCTCCAGACCTTCTATTGATGGGAGTCATATCAATTTTCATTGGGGCTACAATCCCCTTAAATTTAAAAAAAAAAAAAAAAAAAAAGGTTCAAAAGCCAACAGTGGGAATCGAATCCACAATTGCAAGTGCAGGATCTACTAGCTGAGAGTGTGAAGACAACCACTCGGCTAGCAGTTCCCCTGCCCAGTTACATTCTGTCACTAAAGTGAAATGCTGATAAGAATCTGATAGACAAAAACAATAATAATAAGCAAAATCAGGATAAAGACAATCAAATTACATAAACATTATTTTAAAGAGATCTTGCTTACAGTAAATTATTTTACTTTTGAAAAGCTTTTGATTAATTTTAATAAAGCAACACTTATAATTTTACTCAATTTACCTATCTGATTTAAATTTCTTGACAGGACTATCTGAACTTTTCTTCCTCCTATTTTCCATTACTTTTAACATGGCAGGCGTAGGATTTAACAAGACATTGTTGTAGGGGAGTGATACTGACCTTAAATAATAAATTAATGTTAGTTATTATATACAAATTTCAATTAGAAAAATGCAAATGCATCTTTACAGTACACATACTTCTTGCAAGGAGGTGAATACCTTGAAACTAGTTTGGTTTGTTGTTTGAGCTTCATTTTAACTATTTTCTCCGGGTTACTAGCAAGAATTAAGGCCCAATTGAATTTATCCAGTTCTTCACTGTTGTCGACATTTCTTGAATATCTTGTAGTAATACTAAAAACATTAATATAACATATATTCTGATTAATAATAATAGAATTTCTTAAAATACTGACTTAGTGTTATGAATGGAGCACGGTTTTCTGCTAGGAGGAGGAGAGAGAAAAGAGAGTGCCATCTTTTTAGGCGGAATTAGATTTTCACGTTCCATTACTCTCTAAAAAAAATTATTATTTTCAAATTAAAATTTTTAAAAATAAATTGTTAAACTAGTTGAATACCTTTCTTGCTTTTTTATTCAATTTGGCATGTGAATCAAAAGTGATCTTTCCATCGTCGAGAAATCCAGCCTCAATGATAGCATTGCTGAACAATGCCTTACAATGCTTATAATCGGGTTTTGTGTCAAAGCGTAGATTTGAGACATACATGAGGAAGTTAAACAGCACAGCTAGATTTTAAAAAAAATTAATTAAAATTAACTGTCATACATTTAAAAAATAATCAACACATATAAGCAGGTTAATTGATCAAAATTCCCCATGTTTATGTTTGCAGTATATCAGACAGAACATTTAAATTTTCAAACATAATTAATATATCTCACTTTTATGCCAATCGGTGAGTTATTTTAACATTATAATAAAGAAAAAATAAAGATCCTTACGATTTCAGGAGTGATCCATGACCTGAAAAACAGTCGAGTTAAAGTCTATTGATTATCAACCACTGTTGTAAATTTTACTCCTTATCACAGATTTAAAAAAAAAAAAAAACTAGAGGACAGCCCAATAAATTTGAATTTATGATACTTTTTTATTAATACAAAAAATAAATATATTTATTTATTGCCTGGCAGTACTAAAATAATTAGTAATTTTAGATCGATGTGTTTTTTAGAAATCAAACAACTAGTTTTTGTTTAAAAGCATCGAATATATTCTGGGCCTCACACGTCCCCTCCTCAGCGGGAGTTTCCTGAAGTGTTAAAACAAAAACTAGTTGTTTGAGTTCTAAAAAAAATACCTGATCTACAATTGCATGAAAAACCTTTTAAAAGAAAAACTAGAAAATTCCTACATTTAATCTCTTTTTTTTCAATTTAATTTTTTATATTCATAAATCAATAAAATAATTAAACTTTTATATTAAAATTTTACTTATTGATTGCAACAAATCTTCTGGTATTTTCAGGGTCAATATTGGTTGTTGATCTCCTGGAAATGTTATGGATGAAGGTTTTAACAGCCAGGGATGTGCAGATAATCTGACGGTAGATGTGAATTGATGCTTAGCCTAAGTCATAACAGTGAGGGTACAATACGCATTCAACGTGACAAACAGATGTTATAAAAAAAGGAAGGGTTGTCAATAAACCCTGACAAAACCATCTTTCCCTTTACTGAGAAAAGGACTCTAGGAGGACTTAATCCCCTCATGCTAAATGGAGCTGTAATTCATTTCTCTAAAATATCTGGAAGTCAACTTTGATCAAAGACTATCATGGAATCAACAACTAAATAAAATCACACAGAGGGCTTCAGACAACAGGGTTCCGGGGATGGCTGTTGATGCCAATGACCCCTATGTTCAGATTTAACAAAAAAATTTCAAATTAAAATGCCTTGTAGTTTACTGGGAGAAAGGGATCTCCATTGGCGTGACCTTATCTGATATACAGATGGTTCCAAAACAGCATGGGTAGGAACTGGTATTTATGGAAATAAACAAGGGACTAGAATTTATCTAAGCCTTGGGCAATATGCCACTGCCTATCAGACATTGGGGAAAACAACAATAATTAAGTTCAATGAGGACACCTATTGGCCCTGAACACCTTTGTGGCATACCGAACTGCAAGACATGGATTAAAATTCCATTCAATGGGAATGTAGCCTAGTGGCATGCAAAAAAGTTCATCAAATGACCATAGTAGAAACCATCAGAACTATTAACTCCAGGTCATGTTAGGACTAGAATAATAGTTGGTCTGCTAACTAAACGCGAATAGTTTGGAGTGGCAGAAACAAGCAAACAAAAGAAAAATCAGCAGAACATGTCCTCTGTTGGTGTGAAGGCTTACATAGGCTGACATTCCTGGGAGAGGAAAAGCCTGGGCTGAAGGATACACACCGGTATCTTTGAAAAGGCTTTGGGATCTGGTAAAATGCCTTAAGCTAGGTGAGTAGCTCTAGACAACTATGAAGATGCAGAATAGACCAATACTGGCACAGTGCCCATGCTGTAATGAAGCCGTCAACTCCTTTAATTTAATCCAATTTTTTTAAAATTACAATTGTTAATAGTTTTTTGTTATAAATACTTTAATAATAAATAAATTTTATTTTCTAGATTTTAATATACTTTAATTTTTATTGTTCACCATCATTTAAACACATTTCTATTTCATGTCACATTGTAAACTGTTAATTATTTCACAAGTATAATTTCCATGTTTACAACCAACCATACATTAATAACCACTGCAACTCACCGTATATAACAATATTTTGTTATTACATCCTATTATCATTACTAGCAATTTAATGTGTATAACAATTTTTTCAGCGTCATTGAGAAATTTAGACTTGGTCTTTTTTTTTTTTTTTTCAAGAAGCGGGCCATCCTCATTTGTGAAAAGTGTTATAGTGTATATTTTTTAAATATGAAAGTATATTTTGTATAAATCAAGTCAAATAATGTATGAATTCTAATTTAAATGCACTAATTTTCAAGGGAAAAAATGGTAATACACTTTATATCTTAAGATAAAAAGCAACTTAGAAAAGATTAAATTTTTTCAATATTAATATTCAATATTAAATAAAATTGATATTTGCAGAAATAATATATTTTCTTTATTTATATAACAAACATTTATATTTATATAATAATGTTCTCATTTCTATAACAAAAATGTATAATAATAATTTACTTTTATTCTTCTTATTATTATTTATTATTTCTAACAACAATTGATATAACATAAAAACTCACAATCACGAGCATGAGTAAAAGTAATGAATAATGAGCCATCAATAACAATTGATTTAAAAGAGAAAACAAAAGTTCTACAACAATTAACATGTTTGTAGTAATTGCAAACATGTGTTTGTATTACTGATGATTGTTTGTATTCACTGATTGTAAGATTATAGTTTTTCTTGTTGTTGGTAACCACACTTCATACTCAAAAATTATACTGATAATGTAAATTTTCTACAACACTTTTCACCACTATGGTATATGGCATACTGAGAATAAATTGCAGGTTAAGGATTATCACAATTTATGTTATCAACAATACAAATCTCACTTACTTGGTGCCTTTTTAGAAAATGCGTCACACAGAAACTTTGGAATATCGGCCATCGCCTTATTTTTTAAATTAAATACTAAATCTGAATTTGATAAATGATTAATCCAGGGAAGACATCCACCGAGCCAAGTGATTAAATTAAAACCTAACGATTCTAAATCACTCCGCCTTGATATCACTGAAAAAAAAAAAGTTTTTGTGAGATTTAATTGAAAATAATACACTCAGATAAAAATTATTTACCTCCCACATGAGCATCTCTAGAAGAAAATTCCAATGTTCCTGCATCGGCTTTTCTTCCATCAGGGCTGCCATCATTATGACAGCCATTTTTATCTTTGTATTTTGTTGCTAATCCATAATCAACTAAATACAACGGTGCTTGATTTGGTCCTTCACCCAGGACGATATTCAAACCTTTAATGTCTGAATGTATATATCCTTGGTGGTGTACATATTCTAAGATGTCAATAGTGTGCATCGCAATTGTCATTGCTGTCTTTATGTGAAATTTATTAGAGTGTTTTATAAACATTTTTTCAATGCTATCACCGTATCTTGGCATTATGATAAATCTCATATGTGCCCCCTTGTAAACACATGATCCGAAACTTAGAATATGGGGCATTCCTAAGTGCTTCATCCAGTTATCTGCCTTCCATTTCTCAACTAAAATTATTGGACAATAGTATTAAAAAAAAATGTTTATTTGAATAAATATACAGCACTTTAATACAAACTTGACTCAAGTTTCGCAGCTCTGAGGTAAAAATTCATTTCAACAAACAAAGGCCCATTTGAGTGAGGCTCCTAAAAGCAGAAAGACGTTTTATCAACCAAAATCATTTAGAAGAATTATTATTAATTATATTCTTAATGGTCATACCACTTTTGCGACGTATTTTGATTCTCCCACCTGTTTAGCACCATCTTCAGTAACTGAAAAAACAAACCAAAAAACTATATTGAATAAATTTGTTAATAACAAGGATTTAAACTTCTGTGGAATAAGTTACTTATAGGAATAATAATAAATTATAATGATGATATATTAATGAACCATCATTATTACTATTATTTATTATTATTTATAATTTTGATTTAAAATTATGTATAAAAAATTCAAAGATTAAACGTAGACATACAAAAAATAAAAATTAAATTAGACTGAGTTGCACAAGTCAAAGCCAAAACGGTTTTTATGACATTTTCAAAAAACAATTATTCAAATTAAATTTGGTATCAATCAGTACATCTTCAATGAACGACATTTGCTGTCTCTGCTTATATTCACAGTTATATTTACCAGTAAAGATAATTTACATTAGGCCTAATTTTAAAATTGTGTAAGCCTGATTTTTTTTTAATATATAGAAGGGAATAATACAAATATGGTAGCAATTTACAATAAAGCAATGTAAAAGATGTTAACCGAATAATGCCCAATGGTATGACAAATGATTTTTACTTTTATTTGCTTTTTAGTGTAAACTGTATTAGTTCCACAGGAAAAAAAACATGTGGTCCTCATCTAAATTAACAAAAAGAAGGCAACGAAATAACCGACCTACTAGCAAAAATACACATATGCAGAACTCGTTCTAAATGGGTAGAACGAAATGCCACATCTGACTAAAAGGCAAACTTCTCGCTCAGTTGGCAAGAAGGAAAACTAGAAGAAGCCAGTTCATCAGCCACTGTATATTAAATTATCAACAATGAACAAAGCTAAGAAAGTAAGCTGATGAATCTCTAAAAAGAAGCAGAAAATTTCAACTGACATGATGTTTGTTCGTTTTGGGCCGAAAACCGAAATTCCCAAATAATTGATGGCCCATACGTAATCTTTGAAATTGACAAAACAAAAATTGGAATACGAAAATATAACCAAACATCAGATTTGTTGATAGAACTTGGGTATTCAAGATCCATTGGAAAGGAGCAACAGCAGGGAATTCTGATTAGAATTTTACCTAAACAAAAAGAGATGCAGCTATGCTTCTCCCAATTAGTTTGAAGTAAGTGAGACCAGTTACCACAATTATTTTTGATTAATGGCGGGTCTGACATCTCTGAATTTTGAACACCAGACAGTCCACTTCATAGATCCTACAAGTTTAGCATGCACTGGGACTATAGACATAGAGTCTACATGATGTTCCATGAAAGAGTGATTCACACTGGGCAGGGTTAAAAATAAAATGTTCGTTAAATGGCTCCAGGTCTAAACAGCCTAGAAGAGTTGGAAGCGATTGTTCTTGATGAATGGAAAGAATTCGTCAGGATTTTATCAGTAATATTTCCAAGGAATGCAAAGATGTTTAATGGACGTGATTTGTGCCAGAAGTGGTATTACTCAGTATTAAAGGGGCAAAAAGTTTTTTACATTTATATTTGTTTTTGAATTTTCTGTTTATTTATTTTTGAATTGGGTAATAAACATTTTCCTTCTAAATGACTTATTTAAAAAAATTGGTATGCAAAATATGAATAAACCTAAATACAGTAAAATTAAAGGATTTTTTTACACTGAAAACAATGGTTTAATTGGATTTTCAACTGGTCAAAAAATAGCAAAAAGATTGAAAAACTTCGTTTTTGTTTCGTTGTTAATTCCAACAATTTCCCCCATCAATAAAGTAATAATTCCCTTTATTGTTTAAATTCTGTCTATATTTGTAAAACTCGCAATATGAGAGCAAATCTTAATTCATAGAAGTAAATAAATTTTACAATACCTTATTACCTAATCATTATTTATTCAGATATCGTGAGATGCGGTCGACTGCATCTCACGATATCTGAATAACTATCGATTAACGGTCACTAATCTCTACACCTAATCATTACATTCAGTTTCCATTCAAAATGAACTGAATAGCACATTTTTGTGATCGACAGAGAGTTGATATGTACGACTGCTTTATTGATATTGGTGGGTTTGCACGTCATATAGTCGAGTTCTATTCCGAGAAATTTACTGATCGACCCAGAGTAAACAACACTTTTATTTGTGTTGCTTGCAATATGAGGAGATACGGATAATTTGCAATTCCATCACCCAGAAACCGGCAGCATAATTGCAAAAATCTGAAATCCTATCTCTCTGAAATGTGGAAGGGTTTTAGGTTTTTCAAGACATAACATTAGAGATGTATTCCGCACTTACAATTTTAAGCTGTATCGGTATCCTCTTACTCAGGGACTTCGGGACTCTGATTATGATACGTGATTCCCTGCACAAATGTCAACTGACTGAAGAAAACCTTACATACATCCTATGTACTGATGAATCCAAGTTCACCTCTAATGGTATACTAAACCGTTGAAATTTTCAAACGTGGGCAGAGGGAAATCCGAGAATTTTGTACTCTTGCCATCATCAGATCATCAGTTCACAGTATCAAAGTTTGGTGTGGACTTATCAGAAATAAATTAATTTGGCCTTATTTCTACAAAAATAATTTAGATGGTGCTCAGTTCCTCAATTTATTGAGTGAGTTATTTATCAACACTATTAGTTGATGTTCCTCTGTAACAACAACAAAGAGTGATTTTCCAACTTGATGGATGCCTCGCATACAATTCTTTTCAAGTAAGACTTTATTTGAATCGTCACTTCCGGGATAGATCAATAGGACAGAGGACTGATCTCTTGGCCTCCTCGGTCACTCGATTTAACTCTGCTTGACTATTTTCTGTGAGGCCATTTAAAAAACAGTGTCTACACCAAACATAACCCAGCAACCTCAGTTGAAGAACTGGACAAAGGGTAGATATGCATGTCAATCCATCTCCCCTGACTCTATCGCTCTAAGCACCGGTGAAGAGTGGTTAAAAAGAGCAAATTTTTCTATGTTTACACAAGGCAGGCAGTTTGAACATGAAATGAGATTAATGAACAGCAAACCAAATAACTGTTTTTTTTCCAAACTTTTTGCCATAACGTCATTTTTGAGCAATTTAAAATCAGATTGAACCATTGTTTTCAGCATAAAAAATCCTTTAAAATGATGCGTCAGAATGTTGTATATGAAATTTTGAAGTTGAACTGGCCCCTTATAGTACTAGTATAGTAATGTAGTAGTATAACCCTGTATAGTTTTTCTACAAAAAAAAAAAAAAAAAACTAATAAAAATTTGAAACTAGATTAAAAAATATTAAATACGTATTTTTTGCTTTTTTGATAGCGTCATTGCTTCAAGAGAAATTCAACCATCTAAAAAAGGCACTCTATATAAATTATTACTGAACGAAACACTTTGTGGATATATTTAACTCAAGAATACTTTTTAGTTCGTTCAGCTTATTGGCAATTTGATAAAACGTTAAGTAATTCCTGAAATTTTATTTATTGCCCGGGTAAGGCATCTTTGATTTATTTTAATTGGTAAAAACAAATTCATTAAAAACAACGTATTGTTTAGGGATGGGAGCGGATTTTAGTTAATTATATGGGATGACAGTACAACTGGGAAAAAGGGTTGAAGATCACTTACCGAGATAGATATCTCCGAACGCACCCAGGCCAATAGACTTTCCCAACTTCCATTTTTTCTTGTGTACGTCCACTATTATTTCGCCGCTTTTGATCAAATCCGATTCTCTAGTGTTTAGAGGCATTCTTTTCTTTTGAGCGGGAGGCTGTTCGCAGTGTCTCGGAGCCATAACGAAAGGAACGCCTAAGCCTCATAGAAATAAGCCCAAAAGTATAAAAACTTTGCCAGGTGCCTGCGACATCTTCTCCCTTCGTTTCTTGATTTGCATCTCCGAGAAATTATTTTCCTCTGCCGAAGTTTTAAACCGAAGTAGATCTGAACATCGCGATTGAGCTGAAGACGTCGTTCTCTCAGACGAAAATAAATCTCGTTAAAACATTCCGACCGTCTCGGAGCGGGAAGAGGGGAAAAAAGGGCTCGGATCTGGGTCTTTGGAAGAAATGGCGTAAGGGTCACAACTCGAAAATCGCACGTAAGCGAGATACAATTGACTTTGTAAACAAATCGTAAACGAAAACAGAACAAGCTCAGAGACTCGGAGCCAAAATGCCGTCAAGAATGTAAAATAGAAATGTGAAAACCATTGGGACCTTCATCGGACCGACGACGTGTAAAAGGAGAAATACAACATTTTACAAAATTAAAACCACTTTTAAAAATTTACCACTAAGAATTTACAAATGATTTTTTGTCCATACATTTGATGCAAGTGCTATGGAAAATAATGGGCTACTTTATATTTATATTTTTGTCGGGAGTATTGATAAACATGGCGGGAAGATTAGAAAGATTCAAACCCCAACAAAAAAGGTTTTTCCTTAATACCCAGAATGAAAATCTCTGCTATGATATTTAAACCTTTAAAAACAAGTTTGAAACGAGATGGTTTAAAACAATCCGTTAATAATTAATTAACACAAGTTACATTACAATAAATTACACTAAATCTTCTCTTAATACTCCTAAATTAAATAATAATTCTGACCATAAATCTTTCCCATATTCTCTTATCAGAAAGTTTTGTGCTTTAAAGACTAAAAATTTAGAATTTAAATTTACTATTGGCTATTGTTATTCCTAACTGTGTCCTAAAAACTTGTGCTGAAGGCTTATATTTCTGTGTATTAAAAACGGGCTGTAGGCTTAGTTCTTCAAAATTTACAATTTAAATTTACTGTTGGCCCAACTAATATTTTTAACTGTGTATTAAACACTTGGACTGAAGGCTTAGTTCTTCGAATTTTGGAATTTAAATTTACTGTCGGCTCAAGGCTAATAGGATATTATTGCTAACTGAGCCTTAAAATCTTGTGCTGAAGGCTTAGTTCTTCCTTTGATTTTCATTAGGTAGTGGGAATTTTCCCCTCAATTCGGAAGACCTCTGAAATTATTTCTATTCATAAAAAGGACAGATTTAATATTGAAAATTACCGTGGTATCGCTACACTTTCCTCTATACCTAAACTACTTGAAAGCCTAGTTCATGATTGTATTTCCCCATTCTTCCAGAAAGAAAATGTCCAGAATTACTTTTAATAATTAATTAATTAAGGTTGATTAATATCATCCTTCTTCGGAGTATTACTTTAGAAATATAAATTCTATCTTCATTCATTATCACAGAATTAATTACACTTATCATAATCCAATAGGCAGAATTCAAAGAATTTTAAATTAATGTGGTATTAAAAATGTTTACTAAAACACATTAATATTTTACTACACACCATTTATTTTTATATCATATATTTTAATTGCTAATGCATTTCGGGCCATGTACCTGGCCCCTCTTCAGAGGACAATATTTATTGTAATAACTAAACACATCTTTTTACCTGTTATATGCTGATGATTTTAAAAATTTTCTCTCTATAAAATTAACATGAACCTCTTCTTTTGTAGAAATCCATTCATTGTCAAATTAAATATTTAAATTTAAATGTAACTAAATGTTCAATAATTTCCTTTAATTGTTTTTCCAATGCCATTCTTTATAATTATTCTCTCCATAATACGACACTAAACAGAGTATTCTGAGTCAAAGACTTGGGTATCTTGTTTGATAGCAAGTTGCAATTTAAGAAACATTTTATCAGTATTAATAAAAAGATAACAATAAATTATTTTTAAAAAATTTAAAACTCTGGCTTTTGATATAAGAAACACTCATAATTTTCATAATCCCAATTCATCATTGATATTGCACAAAACTTTCATTCATCCTATCCTTGAATTTTATACTGTTGAACGGAATCCACACATTTCTCCTCACTCTGAAATTTTAGATAAAGTTCAATATAAATTTATTAGAATCCTTCATTTTTGATTTCCTCTCTTCAATCTTTCAGCACTAGCTGACAGAAGGCATTTTTTATTTATTATTTCTTTACAATATAATCAATGGGTGACTAAATTGTGCTGACCTCAATTCGTTTATTACTTTCACTGCCCCAATACATGATAAAAGGTATTCATCTATGTTCAGTGTACCCTTTTGTAAAATAAATGACATATTTTATTCACCATTAAATAAAATAATGAGAGAAGGAAATAAGATATGTCCAAGTATTGATTTTTTCATCTAAATTTTAATACATTTAAACATAAATTAAAAGGAATAATTTTATGGAATGTTTTGAAATAAATATAGTTGTATTATATAAAATATAATTCTTCTATCATATAAAATATTATATAATATACAAAATATATAAATATAGTTATTATTAGATTATTTATATTCTTTGTAAAAGGATCTTTGATCCAAATGTATAATAAAAAAATAAATAAAAAACATTTGTTTTTATTAATCAAAACTGTTTTTAAATCATTTAAAGGGGGCGTTGGTGGCCGCAAGGTTTAGTCGTTGACATGGCGCTCATCACTGTAAGGTAAAGGTCCCGGGTTTAAATCCAGCGGCCCTGCATTCGAACCCGACATACTTACAAATGGGCTTTTTTCAAAAACACCGGCACCCTGAGGGTTTATATGACCTCTGCTGTTGCGAACCCTCGTTAAAAAAAAAAAAAGTCCTTACAGATGAACTAATTGGACTATCAACTGTTGCTTCTGCATTTTTAGAATTTTTAGGTTTCTATTTCATTGATTAATTACAGTCATTAAAAGTTTACCTTATACTATACTCATTAAAAAGGGTATATTATAAAGGGCATTTTATTTATAATTAACAAAAAAATAATGCATTTATAAAAACATTAAATATGTTTACTTTTACAATTTTTATTACACAATGTTTATTATATAAAAAATTCGCAAGAGTGGAATGAGGAATGTGGAGTTTTAAATTTTCTATTTAGACATTTCAATTTTTCTCATGTGTGTTATTTATGACATTTTGTTTCATTTACATTCATATAATTTTAATAGCAATATTTTTTTTAAATGAATATTAATCAAATGAATTAAATAATTTCAAACAGAGCTAATTAATTTATGCACTAATTACAGTTAGTTCAAAATATGCTCGAATAATTTTTAATCGAAATTCAATTTGTACATAAACCATTGAAAAATCCCCAAAATTGTGAATGACATTCCAAGAGGGACCAAAGATGCTTTCAAGAATGTTTCCCAACTGAAAATGATATTTTAACGTGTTAAAGATATTTTAATTTTTTATATAAGCATTAGAATTTTATAAGCAAATTAGAAGCAGTAGTTGTAGTAAATTAAAAGGAAAGGTGATTTACATTTATAGATACATATACAAATTTATTATATGAAATACTTAAAAATGAAGGGCTACAAAGCCTTCAAAAGGAGATGCACAACTCAACATAACAATATTTATAACAAAAACAACATAACAAAAATAAATAAATAAAGCCGGCAAGGAAATTCCATAAATTCATAATAATTAAATTTTTATTTATATTTACAAGGGTTCAAAGGAAAATAAGAAGAACAAACAGCTACAAGGTAAACTTTAATGATTTTAAACAAAGTGTTTCACTGCAATATTTATATATCACAGAGTCTATGTTTAAGTTGTTATAAATTACTCGTCAGAAATGAAGAATGGAGTAGCAGTTTTGACTTCACCACACGCTTTAATCAAAACTTCTTGAACAGGTTTGTCGCCAAAGTCAGTTTTCAAATTTTCAATTGTGTGGACAATTCTCTGACCTTCAACAACCTAAAAAAATGTATTTTTAATAAAATAAAACAATTGTTTAAAACATACAAATAAAAAATAAATAATATATACTTTTCCAAAAACTACATGATGACCATCAAGCCAAGGAGTTTTAGCGACAGTTATAAAAAATTGGGAGCCATTTGAATTGGGACCTTTAAAAAAAGAAAGTTAAGCATTAATTAACATGTTGACAGCATAAATAAACTATAGATTTACCGCTGTTAGCCATGCTTAAAAATCCTGCCCCAGTGTGCTTGAATTTGAAGTTCTCATCAGGAAAAGATTTTCCATAAATACTGACCGATCCTGTTCCATCGCCTTTTAGAATATCACCTCCTAAAAATTTCATGCTCCACCAGTCATTTTGTTTATACATATATATATTAACACTGACAACAACCTTGGATCATGAATTTCTTAATAACCCTATGAAACCTTGAACCGGCGTAAGTTTTTCCGTTGACCCCTTTTGTAGCAATCTGAAAGAAGTTGTCGACAGTTTTTGGCACATCATCGCCAAACAGTCCAATTACAACTCTTCCCGCATCCTTCCCTCCGATGGAGATGTCAAAATATACTTGTTTAGTCACCTTGAGTTTTTGGCCCTGTTAAAAAAAAAAAAAAAAATCAGAGGAAGTATTAGAAAGTAGTATTACTTTGTAAAGAAACCTTAAAATTACTTTAATTCGGTTATACAAACAATAAATCAATAATAACTATCACGAAAAAAGTTTTGACTTGATTCATTATTAGTATTATTTCCATTATGTTTAGTGATCTGATTGACCAAATTACTTCTTTCAATTAATTATTCTTTTTATGTAAGGCCTTGGTTGAAATGAAACCGCATGGCTAAATATGTCACTGCTCTACCACTTGAACTATCGTGACAATGAGTCAAAGGTTGTAGGTTCGAATCCGGCTCGTGACACTAACTTTTTCATTTCAACCAAGACCTTACACAAAAAGAATAATTATATGAAATTATTATTATTAATTAATACATTTTTAGTGGTCAAATTGACCATATTAACTATTTCAATTATTTTTTTTTTTAAATAATTATAGAAATTATTATTATCAAAGAAAAATTAAAGTCAATTTAGTTTTTTAATTCAAAAGAAAGTAACTGACATGTAAGTGAAAGTTAATAAGTTAATGCTTTCTTAAGATTAATGACTTTTCTCTTCACCAAGGTGTATGTTCTTTCTAAAATGGTAATGCATTCAAAACTTTGCATTTTAAATTTATTGACAATTATGAATAATATTATTATATTGCAGAAAAAAATATATAGGTTTTACTTTAAAAAAGCAAATAATAAATATGATTTCTAATAGTTTCCTGTTACAAAAATAAAAAATAAATAAATAAACAAAAAATAAAAATAAAATAAATATATAAATTAATATAAATAGTATGTAAATAATGAATTTGTCAAAATTATTTGTTAAAAAAGAAATGTATATTGATTATTATGTCCCTAATTTTGATTCTGATGATTAACTTAAAGTACATGGCATAATTAATAATAAAATAAAAACACTAAAAATGAATAGTTATTGTACATACATTGGATGAGGGAACTGTGATGATAAAAAGAAATGCAAATGAAAAAAATATTAGAGACAGATTCATCGTTGAGAGTAGTTTTTGATGAAGATAATGGTCTACTTCCCCAGCTGGAATGGAAGAAGAGGGCTTCGGCTGACATTAAATGGATTTGGGAGGGGGTTTCACTCCCCAAGATTTCCTGTTTCCCTTTCATACTCTCACTCTCACTCTCTTCTCTATTCCCATTATAAATGATATGAACGTCCATTCACTCCCTTAACCGCCGAATTAAGGCGTTTGCAATTAATAAATCAAAATTTCCTCTTTTCTCGTACATTTAGGTTGGTTGTATAAATCTAAAATAATCTTATCTAAAATGATAAAAATAAAAACAAAATAATTTTAACTTAATTCGATAACTTAGATAAACAACTTTAACTTAATTAGAAATTCATACCATATTCAGTATGAGATATGAGAATTAAGTATTTTCTCAGAATTTAGTAGCCACGGTTTCATATCATGAAAACAATGGATGATTATAGATTTTATAAGCTGAAATTTACACCAGCATTTACATACATACACGCTTGCAATTTCAGCTTTTATTTCATTTACAATTAATTAACGGCTGGCCTTGTGAATCACCCATCCTGGGTGTTAGTAGTCCGATCAGACTATCTTATCCGTCCAACTGCATTGGTTGTGCTCCATCAACAGCTCAGTTATTTCAACCTCCAGCACAATCAGTTCCTAAAGCCACTCCCTCCCTCTTAAACGCATTCTTTCTTATTTACATATCATCCACTCAGGTTGGTGGAGTACTCAATATTCCTCCATACCCCTTAGACCTGTTACTGACCTAATTGAGATTATACGGGGTACTCTATATTGCGCCATTCAAACAACACATTTATTTCAATAAATACACTCACTCTCAACAATGAGGACACAAAACTAGCAATACTGTATACAATAAAACAACCCTCCAAAAAATGGAACAGGAGACTTGGATAACTCACTATGCTCAACACAGTTCTCATACTGAGTTGCATTCCTACACACCCTCTGTATAGAACCAAGAAATTAAACCTTTCAAATAGATGGTTTATGTTGCCCAACTTTTCTCTACATACAGGACAAGTACGTGTTTTGGCCTTGTATCAACCAATATTTTGAATGAATAAGGGGAAAAATCCTTTACTAGAAATTATGAATGATGGAATGAGTGCAGTGTTAATCCTTTTTTAAAAAAGATAGTTCCTACTCACAGTAAGTTGTTTTCCAACGATCTGGATTTTGAGCCATTAGCTCATCATCAGGTTGAAGGATTTCTAACATAACTCTCTTTTGCAATTCATGTCGAGAGAATCTATCTTTAAAAAAAAATTCTTTACTCGTCATAAAATTCCCTGAGGATTATAAAAATTAATAATTATAAACAAATTAATAATAATAATTCATTTATTTATTTTCATTTTTGCTAATTTGCCCTAAGGTAATACTTTTTGACTCAAATTATTTAAATTATATGTGTTAAAATTAAATTAACCCAAATAAGAAAGGGGGGACACGATATAAATTTCAATTTCAATACAATTTTTTTGTTTTATTGTTTAGGTGTAAAAATGAAATAAATAAAATGGGTCACAAATTTTTGTAGGTAATCCAATTATTCCAGTAAAATAAATACATAAAAAAAGAGGTAATCAAATTTGGTATTTCCCAAATTGTATGCAAAAACTATTCTATTTTTAATTGCTAATTTCATGAAATTATTTAAATAGGAACCACATTTGTAAAATAAGGTCAATCAAAAAGGTTTACATTTTTAGACTTAAAGGGAAAAGTCGGAAGTATTCTAGCAGTAAGTGTTCTTAAAATCGGAAGTATTCTTAAATTAGATTTGTTTGAACATGTTTGATGTGTCCAATGTTAGGATACAAATACCTTAGTTATGTGTTTTTGAAGACATTCAAAAGTTTGAGGATTAAATTTTAATGAAAGAAAGGAAAATTAAAAGAAACAACCATTTGTTTTTGCTCAAAACAGTAAAGATGCCTCTTTTTTCTTTTAATTTCACTTCTGTTTACAAAATTTTAATTGATTCGAGTCAATGCGTTTAAACATCCTGTACCACACAGTGCATTTTTAAACCTTAAATACATCAATTTTGCTTCAAGTAATAAAAATTATACATTCGGTACAATACGCACACATATTTAGTGCTGTAAAGTAAATTTTACACTTTTATGTAATATAAATAAGGAAAATTGACTTAGTTCATGGAACCTACTACATCCATACAAATCATTTTAATCAAATTCAAAAGGAATGTAATTAACTGACTTGCACCTATAATTTGTCCATTTTGAATTTATATATGTACACATTTACACTTTTAGTGACTTTGAAGTAAATAAATATTATTTTTACAACAATAAAAATAAGACAACAAAATCTAGAATTCTAGAACAGCAAATATAAATTTGTTATGTACATTCAATATTTTACAATAAATTAGGTGAAAAGTCATCAAAATAAAAATGAAGATATCAATTACTATCACAATATTTACTATTTAATCATGCCACCGATATTGGCAGAATTATTTTAAAATATATTTTTCATTTTAATGCATAATGTACGCATTTTGAGATATTTGGTAATACTTTTTCTCCGTTTTTTTTTTTCAAGATTAATTTAAGGCTATATTTCTGGTACGTCTTTACTTGTTGGAATTGATTTACTCCTTAGGTGGTTGAAATCGTCAAAAGACTTTTTTGCAGCATTTGACAATTCATCCATAGATTTTCTGGCAGTCGATGTTATCCCATCCAAAGATTTCTTAGTATGAGTTATAATTTCATCTGTACTTTTGACAGCGTTGTTCCTGATTTCGATGACCTCTGTGTTTATTTTGTCTATAACCCATTCAATCGCTTGCCTTCCCTGTAAAACAAAATACATGAATAAAGAAATTTAACAGCAAGTGCTAAGACAATTACTTTTCCAGCATTAGACATTATTGTAGAAGTAAGGAGATCTTCCATGTAATTGTTAAGAGGTACACCTTGTACTGTGACAATCGCTTCCTGTCTGAGCAATGTTTTTCCTTTATCATTTGGGTGAGGTTCATACTTCAACATTTCATCTACAGCAACATATTTGCCAAATGTGAGCTACAAATAAATCAACGATTAAATAAATAATGCAATAGTGCTCGTACAAATAAAACAAAAAAAATTACATACATTTCGAGTTTTTAATGTCATGATTTTTGCTTGTGGATTTACTTCAGAAAGCTCACTAGCATAGCAAATGTTAGCTGGACCAATTAGCTACAACATGATCAAAAATAAATAATTGAATCACTACTTAAAACAATAAATATAATGTACAAGACTAGAATGAAACTACATGTCTTTTAATAAATCAAAGCCATGCCTTACAGTTTGTTTTATTACATAATGAATATTCAGAAAGTTCTAAATTACTAATATTTAATCTATAGTTTTAATAGTTTTCGCATTTCATAATAGTTATCTTATTTTACTTTCTTGTTTAATATATTATGAGTATTGAATTTGTTTTTGTTATTAGGTGTAGAAATTGAAATGACTACATATTAATCTTTTCAGGACTGATTTTCGGCGTTAAAACATGTTCCTCTGCCTGTAGCCTCGGCAGCTATGTGACCCCCAGCCTGATTTAATTCCCTTTAAATCATTCTCTTACGCCTTTTTTCCGTTTCAAAATTAACTTTATAACTGAGTAAATAAATATAAGGAGAAAAATAAAAAAACTAAGTTGTATTTAATTGACAATTCAGAAAGTTTTCATTACGTACTTTAAAACATAATAACCAAAAAAACAAATCAGGTACTCATTCTTAGAAATGGGGACTGACTATAGTAAACTGGAAACATTCTTTACAACATACTATAAAGTCTCAACAGACTAGGTCTTAATTCAGTACCGAGGTTCCTGTCTGACACATTGGATACAATCTCAGACCAATAAATGCCAGGAATGTCCAGCTAGCGCTCCTAAATGGCAAAAGAACCATGAAGGTGTGATAATTCATCATAGAGGCTGAGGCATGTACAATCCTGAGATCTCATCAATAATCCCAAAAAGGTTAACTCAATACATTAATTAACATTTTAACTCAAAATTAAGGAAAGTAAACAGCTCACATAAAAAATAATTACTACAGGGTTCTCTTCGAATTCTAGCACATATAAAATACTATGTTAACTTTAAATATTTACTGTTTCTATATTTTAAACCTGCATGCATTTTAAAATGTGATCATAGAAAGTCAAGTATTTACGTTATCCTGGGAGTATTAGACATAAAATAAGCAAATATTTTTCATTGATAACGATTTCAATTAAAAATTTACAAGAAAAAAAAAAATTCCACTGCCAAAATATGACATAACGCTACATAAAAGTTTTTAAAAGTGTTGGCTGAATATCAATAACCTTTGGCACATGGAACTTCATTTAAAATACTTTCTGCTATCTGTGTCAATGCCCTTGAGATAAAACAGGTCATATCTGTCAAGGTAGCATTTTTAAATTTAATCGTTTTTACAACAGTGATTCATTGTGTAACATCGTTAATCTTAACCAGAGACTAGACATAGATAAAATGTTTTGATTACCGTTTGGACCCATTTTGGCAGTCCCCATTTGGAGCTGACCAATCTGTGTGTATGAAGTACTCCATTCACTACCTGTCTGTCAACTACATCGGTTCCTATTACTGCTGGATTCATCGGATTTGGATATTTTCTCCATGCTGCTTGTGCAACAGTTTCCCAAGGATGGCTAAAAAAAATAATATAACAAATATAATTAAAACCATTTTATTTTTAAATACAGATTTTCTGATTAGAGCAACAGACAAGTGAGGATATGCAGATTAAAATAGAAGAATCAGAAATCTCACATATAACTATTATTTTATTGTAGTTCTAATCGGAGCATTTATTAATTTTTTACTGACTGATGCACATTAATTAATTAATTATTTAAATAAAAGACCTTTTCTTATCTTAAATTTTATTAATTATTATATAGCTGATCTGTTATTATTATATTCAACAAAAATGAAACATCTTAGATAATTTTGAACATATCTTCAACTTAAATTAACACATTTTGTTCAGATTAGAAAAAATGCGTGTTTATGTTATTTTCTTAAAACACAGGAAAGAACCTCTAAGACCTTTTATTCTTCTTTTGGTACTCATTAATTACTTTTTTTCCGGCTGCACTTAATGCATTAGCCATTTAACCATTAATTACTATAAAAACTGTTCCATGAAGAATTTTGAATTTCAATGCAAAACAAGTCAAATTGCTAATTTAAAAACTCTACTTTTTACAAGTATTAAATCATTAGATAAATCAATGTCTACAATAGTTTTGGAACTGTCTTTAACAGTACTCAAACAGAGGTGTACAAATTTCAGTTGAAATATTAAACTCCTAATATCACAAAGTTTAAAAATTCAAATTATAGCATAGTCACAGTCATAATGGATTATTCATTATTGTGTAATATATGCAAATAATCAGCACAATTATTATTGTGCAGGACAACCTATCAAACTGGCATTTTTAACAGAGTATCCCTTGGATCATTTATCATATCAGAAAGACCATATAAAACTTGAAAACTGAAGCATTGAATTATTTACCTGATGAATTAATTACTTGCATGAAATCATTTGACTTGTAATATTAAACATGAATTGCTTTTTTAAAATGCTGTACCTTATACAATTTATAATTATTGCATTGGACAAAAAATATAAATGAATAGTCTATGGAAGTATTGAAACTGTCTTTCACAGGACTCAACCAGAGCTGTCATTTTGACAATAAATTTAAGTCGATTTTATATTTTATCCATTCTTATTTGGAATAAACGTTGTTTAGGTATGGAGTGCAGTTGTGAAAATGGGGCCTCATAGTAAAACCACAACTTTAGAGCATTGGAAGTTGAAACTTTCTTTGCAAAAGGATCTACTAGCCCAGAGTATGACGCCTTAACCACTCAGCTATAGCGGCCCCCCAAATGCCTTACTGATGTTTCTTGCAGGCTCAGCTGCTGAATGACCGAGTTTAAACCTGTAAAGGAATATTACATGAAAACTGCGTGTTTCCATATTCATATTTGGAGGTCACTAAAAAAGTGTGTAATCGATTGGGGAGCTCGTCATGATAAACAAAAGTGGAGTATTAATAACTGCTTAATTATAATATGTAAACAATTGGAAGTAAACAGAAAACTGCTATATCCTCTCTGAATTTCTAAAATTATAAGATCAGACATTTCATGTGAAACAACCCAATATAACCGTAGAAGAAAAAAAACACTGTAGTTTTTTGAAAGGATCCGATGGTCTGTAGACACAGCCTCGTACATACTGAGACCATGCCTCCTAATCAAGCTCTTTGATGAACTAAGATTCACCAGTGTGATATAAGCACAGAACAGTGTGTACATAGCTCTTAAGTCACAATATGCTACACACCTCGACTCAGACAACAAAATCTAATCTACATCTATCATATACACCGTATCTTCTATAAATACTGTCAAACTGTGACATTTTAGCTGAGCAACACTTGCATCTTTGACATATCATAACGATGGTATCACTATTAATAGCTTTTAAAAAAATTTCACGATTGTTCATGAAGTCTTTCGAGTTTCATTATTGAGAAATTCTAATTTCTTTAAAAAGTCAATCTTGCAAAATTTTTAGTGAGATCAAAATAACTTTCCATTAGACAATTTGTTGACATTGGAACAAGAAGTGCATGACGTTAAGGAAAGGTACATTGCATCATATTAAAAAAATTGTAAATTTAAATATAAATAAGTTATAATTATTAATAATTTAGGAGGTTATAATTCTATGGTAAAATGTTAAATACTGTCTGGAATGTTTGTAATACTCACTTGAAAGTGTGCTCTGACGTCCAAATCTTCATGTCTTGGTTGTGTTATCTTGTGTTACTTATTTTGAACAGTTTGTTGGAATGGAGAAGCCGAGGAACAAGAGCAGAAGAGGAGACCCGTTGAATGGCCTCACAGCCATTAAAAAGAAAGGGCCATCGATTTTCCGATTCCGTCTCGCACGACGGGCCCCCAACCCCGAGGTTAGAAGCTATCGCTCCCTGCTACATCTACGTCTACTCCGAACAATTACGTCACGCTCAACTGACACAATTTTTACAATCTGCCTACAATGAAAATTTTTAAAAAATTATCAAAACGCAAGTAAACAATAAAATACACGTAAAAGTATTGTTTTTTTGCACAAAATAAATAAATTAAAATATTATAAAGCACACTTAAGCCAACGTTCCCTATTTACGTTTAAAAAAAATATAATAAACAACCAGCTGAATTATATTAAGATTTATTTATTGTCCAATATTTTTTACAGTTTTAAATACTACAATATATTGACATATTTAGTTTTAATTGATTACATGTTTATTTTTAGTTTGGACCATGCAAGATAGAATGTGCTAGGTCGTTGCATGGAGTTGTGAGTTGTGTGACTGATGTGTTTTTTAAAAATATTTTTTCAAATTTTTGTTTTATTGTTAATTTTAATTAAAGATTATACTGAATTATCGCCAACAATGCACAATTTTAAATTAAATCCGCATGTTCTGCCTAGGCTACGGTACACTTTCTCAAGACTAATTAATTGACAACTTAAACTATGAGCCAACTTCAATTTGTTTTATTTTTTAGTTATGTTATGTAAATGTTTATTTTTAGATTAGACCATGCAAGATAGATTAAGTTAGGTTCTTGCATGGAGTTGTCTTTTTTTATTAATATTTTTACTAATTTTTGTTATATTGTTAATTTTAATTAAAGATTATACTAAAACTAAACTATCACTACCAATGTACAATCTTAAATGAAATCCGCATACTCTGCCTAGGCTACGGTACCCTTTCTTAAGACTAATTGATTGATAACTTAAACTATGGCAACTTAATAAACTATGAGCCAACTTCAATTTTTTTTTATTTATTAAATGTTTATTTTTAGTTTAGACCATGCAATATAGAATATGCTAGGTTCTTGCATGGAGTTGTGTGTCTGTGTTTTTTCAAATATTTTTACTAATTTTTGTTGTTTGATTGTTATTAATTTTAACTAAAGATTATACTAAACTGTCGCTAACAATTTACAATGTACAATCTTAAATGAAATCCGCATGCTCCGCCTAGGCTGCGATACCCTTTCCCGAGACCAATTAATTAACAAATTAAACTATGAGCCAACTTCAATCGTTTGATTTTGTAATTATTATGAGCCTTCCACTCCCACATGTCCTGGGACCTGGCAGAGGCTGATTTTCTTTTGCACACATGACTTGAATAATGTATTTTATAAATAATAAATCACGTGTAGAAATGTGTTATAATTAAGTGACCGTTAGTCGATGATTATTTGGAAATCATGAGATGCGGTCTTGGGTGACATACGTTTCAGAAAAATTTTTCTTTATCGTGCCAACGTTTCTATCATTATTGAGATCATCTTCAGGGCCTGGAATTTACAAACATTGTTTAAATTTAACAAATACATGTAGCATGTGGAAAAAAGAGAATTTATACAATGCAAAAAAATATATTTTATATTCAATCAAAGTACCTCTACTCACTCAAAGTGTTTGTTTTCTTCATAATTGTGACATTCTTGTGTCGTGCGTAGAAATACTTTGATTGAATATAAAAAAAATATTTTTTTGCATTGTATAAATTCACTGTTTTCCACATCCTACATGTATTTGTTACATTTATATAACATAAAAGTAGTGAAAAAATTGATTCAATTAAAAATAAAACTTCTTAAATTTTGAGAAAAAGCCTCTCCCACCTTTTTTCACTTGTTTTTGGCTATATACCACCAATTATTTATAGTAAATTTCATAATTTTAAGTACCAGTAGTTTTTTCTTCTCATTCTCTGTAATTTTAATTCTTAATTTCATGATGCATAATGGATATTCATGTTTGTTATTCTTTTAAATAATTAATTAATAGTTTTAAAATGCTGATGAATAACTGAGCCGAAAATGGCTGAGCTGACAAACGGGCAACATTTCTTGACTCCATTGGTGTACTCGTGATGAAGAAGCTGTGTTTTTCTTTCCAATTGGTTATATCTTCTTAATTTTTTTTTTGGATGCAAAGAGAATCGACATCTGCGTCTACAATCAACATCCATAGTCGATTTTCGATATCACGATGGTTGGTCGATTAAAATATCGAACCTAAATTTGAAAGTGCGTATTGATTCTCGGAACTACTAACCTGTGAGTTGTACGTTGTACCTACACGGCGCATATTCTTGTTGACGTCGATTTTGTTGTCGTGCTTTTAATTATAAAATTGATCGTATTATTTGAGGGTAATTATTCATATTTTAATTGATATCTTGTTCGAAAAATCCGGTTTGGCCTACTGTACCTTTTTCACTTTGTCCAAACCGGTCTATTGTGTACGTTGAGCGCACGTTGTTAAGGCATGGTTTTTGAACGTTTTTCCAGGTGAAAATGGTAGACGAAACTGAGAAAGACGCCGGCACGAATGTCGAGGATAAAGATTCCGTGGACAAAAGCATTTCAGACCTGGATAATAAAATAATAAAGCAGGTTGAGGTTAGTATCGGCGTTATTTCATTATATTGAGAAATTGTGCTTGAACCGGTTCTTTTCATTTTTAGTATTATTTTGGTGATATCAACTTGGTACGAGATAAGTTTATGCAAGAGCAGATCAAGGTTGATGATGGCTGGATTCCCCTTGAGACGATGCTGAAGTTCAACAGGCTAGCAAATTTAACCAAGGAATCGGAAGTGATTGTTTCGGCATTAAAAAAGTCGCAAACAGGTTTGATGGAGGTAAGCGGATTATTTATTAATTTTTAAAAAGTAACAGTTACAGATTGGGTTTGACTCCCCAAAAAAATGCAAACCTTATTGTATGCAGGTAGTTCAATTAACCAGAGTATATTTATAATTAGTTAACTGTTGAGTATAATAAAAATTTAAAAAACGAAACTTTTTTTGTGGGATATGGCCTTGTTCTACATACATTGGCCAAGGAAAGTCTGCTTATCGTGGGGACGTCCGTTGGGTTTTGTGGACGAGGTGTAAAACTATTTTACAATACTTTCTACATACTATTCACAATCAAGTCGTAGACTGTATCAGGATTCGAACACAGGGCCAGTGTGTGGTAGCTGTGTCATGGTAATACGAGTCTGATGCCCTAACCACTCAGCCACTGTGGTACCCTGTGAAAAACGGTTAGTCACAATTCTAAATATAAATTGTGAGAGATTGAGGTGATGAAGTTGCAGCATGATCATCTTTGATTATCCTGGCTTTGTTTGTCTGGCACATTTCAACATCTATTCTTGACGTACAAAACAATCAAAGTCAGAAATAACATTTTCAATAAATAACACTAAGGATTGCAAATGCCAAAACATTCGACGGACAAAACCAGCAAGGATAAGCATGTCAAAAATGATGAGTAATGAACAAATTACAGGTTCATCGCCATACAGAATACATGTAGAAATTATTGTTTCTGTAATTTGGTTGTTTTCTATCATTTTAGTCTATCTATCATTGCTGATTTAGGCCTCGTTCAGAGGAGGCAGTTAATCGCAGACGTGTATAATGGAGTTTAGCCAGGTAGCAAATGATTGGAAACTCAGTCAACTCGTTTCCTCGGCCACTTCTCGCTCATTTTCTCATCCCCACTTGTTAACTCAAGACCCAACTCGCTGTTCATCCTTCCCATGATCACCTAGTTGAGTCAACTGAGTTTTCCTTAGAAAGTATTGCCATTTGTTTTGTTTGGCCCCAATCTAAAAGATTTTTGTTGTACATAATATTTTGGGAACTTTATTTTATTTAACACGTTTACTGCCGGTCCTATTGAAAGTTGAGACCTTGATTCCATTGTGGCCTCATTTGCCTGATCAAACAACTGACTCAAGACGCTATCATGGCTTCATCCTCAGTGAATGTGTTAAACCATTAATTTATTAAAAAATTATGTCCCTATTTTAATGTTTTAACAAGCACTTAATTGTAGGCTTTGTAAAGGTCAGTAGAAAATAAATGTATCAGACTATCTTGTTCTAGACACAGCAGATGCTGTTGAATCGAGAATTTAATTAACTGTTCACATGTCAGTGTAATCAAAGAATTTTCATTTTTATTGGCCTCTTTTGGTTCCCATTGAAACTTCAATAATTATTACCCTAAACACATTTTAAACTGAACAGCATTGGATTTGTCTACTCTCGTGAGTTAAGTCTGTGTGAAATTATTGCCAAGTCATTGTTTTGTTGAACCAAATGTATAATTTGTTAGTTTTTTTTTAATAGTATAGACTCATAGAGTTGAAGTTGATGGTGGTTGTTGGTCTGTGAGCCGGCGCCCAACCATCAACTTTACAGTAAGGGTGTACAAAACTTACAAGTGAAAAATATATTCTTAAATATTTTTAATTTGATAGGTTATGAAAATATATCGTTTTAATAATCCGGCTTTTTTGTTTTTGTGTTGTTTGATAATTATTTTATTTGAATTCAGGTTAGTGAAGACGGCACGAAGATCAGGCGCTCGCCTTCAGTCCCACTCCCAGAAATAAATGAAAACAGTCGGCAGGAACTCACCAACAGGACTGTTTATTGCAAAGGATTTCCATTAGATTCCAAACTTGATGAATTGATTGAATATTTCAATCAATACACTGGTGTAATAAATGTTGTTGTATGTACTAATTTATTCTTTCGTGATAATTTATACTTTGCCAATTTATTCAATTTTTATTTTTTTAAATAATTTTTAGATGAGAAATTACAATGATAAAGCCACCAAAACATGGAAATTTAAAGGTTCTGTTTTTGTCAATTTTAAAACAGTTGAAGATGGAGCGGAATTTTTGAAATTGGAAAGTGTCAAATATAATGACACAGAATTATTAAAGATGTGGATGTAAGGTTTAATTACTTTTCTTGACATATAGTTAAATTTGGTTCATTTTTTAATTTTTGCTACTTTGTTCAATGTTTTAGGAAAGATTATGCTGAATCTAAAAGGAAAGAACGATTAGAAGAGAGGCAAAAACGTTCAAAAAATAAATCGGCTAAGGTAATTTATTTTTAGAAGTCAGTTTTCTTAAACGCTTATTTGAATTATATTTACTTGCTGAATACTTTATAAGTACCTATAGATTCACTAACTAGAAAGTTAAAACAAATTACCTTGCTAATGGTCAACAAAGATAAAGCAGGGAACACAAGTGCAAAGCTTATTTAAATTTTATGAGCACAACCAAGTAATAAATTGTTAGTTACATTTAATAGTTTTAAATAGTTATTCCGGTGTTTTGGTAAATTTTCTGCCTAACCATCATAATTAAATAATTTTTATAAAAACTCATGAATATTCGATCTCGTTTAATTTGGTTTACATTAAAATAAGCATGTTGTAATTAATATAATGACAAAATTACATACACAGTTTATTTCAAACTACAAAAATATCTGGCGCTACTTGAAGAAAATGGTGGAATTTTATTATGAGCAAAACCATGTAATAAATTGTTCGTTAAATTTTATGAGCCATTCCATGTAATAAAATTAGCTGTGCGACGTGCAATAATGCCAATCCATGTTAGTTAAATTCATCCTATCAGTAAATGATATTACAGTGTTTTGATAGATTTTCTACCAAACCATTATGTTTTTAAATAAAATCTAATGAATTTTTGATCTTACTTAATTTGGTTTATATTAAAATAAGTATGTCGTAATTCATATAATGACAATAATACATATAGTTTGAAATAAAAATTTGAGTGTCTGGTTCTTTTGTCTTCAACTGTACTCGATGCTACTCAACAAAAATCTGTATAGTGGGGACTTGGTTCGCTTAGAGTAGCGTTGCACGGCAACGGGCAAATGTGCACAGGGGTAATACAATCTTATGGAAAATGGATTTGCATCTGGTGGGTGGCTTTGGGTCGTTGGGTAGCATTGCGTCGGGTAAGTGTGTTCCCCGCTTAAGACACACAAATTACAGTTATTTTATGAACAATTTATTTTGTATTGGTCTACTTAATTAAAAGAAAGCAATTCCTATTGTATGAAAGAGGTTTTATGTCAAATAATCTTTGGATGACATGAAAAGTTTGATAACTTTTGATAACAATAATAGCAAAATTCAATTTATTAAATAAAAAAATATTAACGATCTAATGTAATACTCTGCATGTCATGCCTTAATGATTTTTGGCTACAATGCTTCTTTACCTTCATATACAATCTTTAAAGTATTTATCATTGCCCTTACACGAGTTATTTTCACCGCATATAATGATATCAAGATAAAGCAGTTAATGTCAATATATTTCAGAACAATGAAGATGCTCCAGAAGAAGAAGAACAAAATCACGGATTTCCCAAAGGAACTGTTATCCAATTATCTGGCTTTAAAGTTGATGAACCAATCAAAAGGGAATTAGTCAAGGAAGCAATTGAGGGACTAGGAATTTCTGTAGCTTACATTGAATATGAGATGGGTGATGAAACAGCTTGGGTTAGGCTAGAAAACAAAGATACTGCAAAGGAACTTATGAAAAAAGTAGAAGAAGAATGTAATAGTCATTTAGTTGTTAATGAAGACAACAAGTTAAGCATCAGAGTAGTTGATGGCGATGAAGAAGAACAATTTTTATGCAAAGCTAAAATGGATCAAAAAGCCCGAAGACGTACTGCTAGAAACAAAGGCAAGATGCAAAAAAGAGGTAATTTTTTCTATTTTGAACTATAAAACTTTCAATTTTTTAATTGTAATTTGAAATTGTAGGTCGAGGAGATAGACATTTCCATAATAAGAAGAGGAAAGGAAGTCCTCACCATCCTTGTGAACCACCCACAAAAGTTTGCGCTTAAATTTTTTAAACCTGACGGTTCATTTTTATTTTGTAATTTCAATTTCTTAAAAGTTGATTACATGAAATACATGAAAACTGTAAATAAATTTCCAAGTTTGTTTTTCTTTAGTTTTATTAAAAGTCATTTTAATAAATGTAATGTTTAAAAATTACATCAAACCAAGTACATCGTGATAAGTTTTCTTGTTCTTAGTTTATTATACATAAATCATATTAGTCCATGTGCATCTAGCTGTTGACACTTTCTGCCATTAAATTGTCATATTTCCTTTTATGAAATCACTCCTCCCCTCACTCAAGATATAAAGGTGGAGCTGCTCTATACTAGCTGTTTTTATATGGTATTGTTCTGTTTTATTCAATTATTATAGGCTAGGATTCGCTGTACTGAGAAGCTGATCTGGCACTGGAACGGTAAATACACAACCTGCCCAACAATACACAAACTTTCCCAATGTGGGGAATGTACCCTCTCGCATTGGAATCATTTTAATTGTGCGTGTATGTCTCTTTTGTTTTGATTTGTGAGTCAATCATGGCAAGCTAGGATGTTTTGAGTTCAAAGAACAAGCACATTTCTAAAGAATAGAATTGTTATTGTATTGAAGCTCACATATTCTTTTTAACTTATAGAACTCAATATAAATTATTTATTCTTGAAAAAGTCCATACAAAAACACTTTCTGTTGTAGTAATTAAGTAAAAGTGAGGATTTTTTAATGGTAGGCTGAGGACCTGTTTTGACCGCAGCAGTTGTTTTCACAGTTGACGGACTCTGCGGTTTCACTAGCAGTTATGTCGTTTTCACCATTCCACAACATGTTACTTATCAGTCTTGTTCATGTTGTTTTCCAATATTGTCAATTACAGTACAATATATTTTATTGTTTATTGATGCAATGAATGAAGAACAAGTGCTATATTACCAATTGAGCGGGGGGGGGGGAAGAAAACGAAAAACAGACGATTATGGGTTCATCCAATTGTGGGCAAAAGAACACTTCAATAATTTGTACTTAAAATTTTGAAATCAACGAGAAAAAGGTAGAAAATTTCAAAAGATAGAAGACAGGATTGACTCTCAATAAAATAGCAAAGGTGATGGAGACTCTCACTGACAATGGCCCAATGTGATGGAGACTCTCATTGAAAATGGCCCAACATGAAATATCTGCAAAGAACTGGATTGACATCATCAGCATGCTTTTGCAGCAATTAGTTTCAGACAAAGATCTAATCCTAACCATCTCTTGTTCCACTGCCCTATGCTGGATGCAAAGAGAACAAATCTGAAACAACACCTTAATGGACTGGCCATGTACTCGAATAAACCTCCTCAGTGAAAACAATATAACAGTGTATGAAGAATAATTATTAATATAAATAACTATTTACTTATATTAATAAGTATATAATTTGTGGCTAATGAACAATATAAAATACAATTAATTTTAAATTTAATTTTATAAATAAGATATAATATGGTAAAAGAAAAGTTAACACAATAATCTTTCAACAAGCTCTTGGGGGAGACCCACTGACCTGGTTTCAAGGTTTCAAAACCACCAAGCACTATCAGGTCCCATCTCAAGAAAGAAATGGCCCACTAACTTGGTTTTTCACTTAGTAAACACTGCTCAAAACTGCTATCCATGTCAACAATTCAAACTATTTTGAATCTATATGCAATATTTCTGTCGATGAGACGCACAAAGATGAGGCCATGGAAATGTTTGGACTGTCCGCCTGTTTTCAACCGAATTTGTACTTTTAAGAAATTTTTGGTTCCATAGTCCACTTTTTGATGTGAAGTTAGGATTTTTCACGTGTAGCCATGCGCACAACAAAGTAATTCTTTTAATTCGAGAAATTGCTTTTAGAATATATAAAGAAGCCTAGAAATTAGAAATTTGAAAAAAAAAAAAATTCCAACTGCGTGTCAATCAAAATGGAACAACCATTAACGACAGATAAATGGCGCCAAAAAGTCTGTTCGAATAGAAATGATAAAAGATCAAATGAGTTTTTTAAACTCAAAGATAGTTCTTACTCACAGATTGTGAGTGAGAAAACAACTATGAGTAAGAACTATTTTTGTTAAAGACATTAATCAGTTATAATGTGAGATGTGTGGTGTTTGGTGACTGTTAATTAATGATTATTTGGAGATCGTGAAATGCAGTCTGGTGTGTGTCTAATGTGAGAGCTAATGTTGGATGAGTAAGGTGTCTGTAGGCGCAGATGGATGTAGTCAGTTACAGTGTGAGACCTGGCAGTGTATATCAAAAGTAGAATAGCTGGTTGTAAATCCTAGGTTTTACCTTCAGGACACTGTCTTAAAGTTAGACTTTTTTAATTAATAAGGACAATCATTTTCTTTATTAAACTGTACAAATCAATTGTGTTATTTAGGCCTGAGTGCGATTAATTTAACAGTGTAGACCTTTTCTGGGAATCCAGTTTGAGTTTCCAAACTGAAAGGTTCCAGACCAGCTTTTTTGAATAATGAAAGGAACTTAACCAGAGGTCTTGTTATGGAAGAATCAGTTTGGTCCAATTCTGTGTGTTTTGGAGAAACATTCTCTTTAATGACAATAACACCATTTTTGTTCAAAGAGTTTCTAAAAACATTTTCTAATTTATTTATTTTATGTTCAAAAAAGTTTTTAAAAACATACTTGCAATTTTTTAAAAAGCAAATCAAATCCTTGTCTGTTAAATGAGCCAAGACCCACTGACACCAGATCAAGTCATATTTGAATTCCATTTTGAAATTTTGTAAACCTGAAAAATAACAATTTGCAAAGTTAAATTGTAAAAAAAGATCCAGTTATAATTTCAAACGTTACCACCAATATAAAGAAGCCCGAGTTCATCAGAACCACCAAGGTTTTCACGGGCCTTTATTATAAAATTTTCATTCTGATCAATTAGATCAACTTTGTTGAAAAGTTTGATCAATATCTCTTTTGTAACACGGCCAATTCCGGCTCCACAGTCAAGTGCTCTGCCTTTCTTCGGAGGATTTTTTTGCTGTTTAAAGCTCTTATAATTAATTTATCAGTAACATAATAATACAAATGTAGTATTCTAGTTTAAAATAATTTTAAGGTTGTGCTTTAAATTAGCTGTCATAGCGTACTGTACATATCAAATGTGGTTCATGAGATTTTAATGAAAAAAGCCCATTTGGAAGTACTTTGGTTGTTCACTCAGAGCTGCTGAGATTTGAACCCATATCCAATGCCTTAACCACCAAAGCTCTTTTTTTTTTTTTTTACTTATTCTTATGTAAATTATTATTAAATGATTATCAAATTCATCAGAAAGGGAGATATAAAAAAAAAAGTTAGCATTATTTTAACATATTGTCCATTTCAATTATTACTACCATGAATTGCATGAATGCATTTATTATTGTTCAAATTATTCAACTGATTACATGCATTTTTAAATATAATTAAAAAGTTATAAATGGAGCATTACCCCAAAAATCATGTCCAGGAAGTTTTGGGAGCCTTTGATATCAACATCTGAAACGTAACCGAACCCCCCAAGGACGCCATCTATTGTCGGTGCCACCATCTTCCAGTATTTTTTTGCTTGCTCATAAAAACTGTGGGTGCCCATTGTTTTGGAGTACAATGTTTACAATCAACCACAATTTGGTTACATATGGGTATCAATAAGTGGTTATTTATAAAATAAATTTCAAGTTTTAAAAATAGCCAAACAAAAGTATAGTGATACATATGATTTTGTGTACTAAAACAAGAATGAATCGATTAACTTAGTTTTGTAAAAATGAAATAACATTTTTCACCAAAAAATAGACAAAAATTAGCAAAATGAAAATTTATTATATCAAATCTACAAATTGAATGAAAATGTCACGATTCTTTTTTGTCAATTGGTTTTAAAGCAATCATTTTAACTGGGAATAATTGTTTAGGGAAACCTGTCTGAGTTTGTGTCTGAATTGGTTTCAAACCGGCCCTCGCCAGCAGCTCAAGCAGCATATTGAGTGGCCTTGTCACAGATGAATCCTCCTCGTCCAACTGGATCTCAGGAGTGGAAGTCACATTTTCCTTTATGATTATGACACCATTTTCGGCCAATGCATTCCTATGATGATAAGAATAAGAATACTTCTAAAATCTAAATCAACAGTTTTACCTGCATGTGATGAAAAATTTTATGAAGTCACCATCAGTCAAATGGCCTAATACCCATTGGCTCCAGATCACGTCGTACTTGTGTTCAGGTTCAAAATTCTGTAACCCTGAAAATGAAATTATTAACACCTTAATTAATAAAATAAATTAACATTTTCATACCACTGACATACAATGATCCAAGGCGGTCTGTTTTTCCAATAATATCTGGCGCTTTTTTTACGAAATCTTCGTTCTGCTCAACCAAATCGACTTTTTCAAAAAAGTTTATCAACAATTCTTTAGTTATTCTACCGATGCCTGCTCCACAGTCTAAGGCCCTTTTCGTTTTTGGAGCATCGTCTAACTGAATGAAATAAAATAAAAAGTCTATTTAAAATAATATACGTAAAAAATATAAAAATACAAGGCCAAAAAATTCCCATAACATAATTATTAACGATTGATTCATTGCAGACACAAAATCTGATGATAACTGTTAATATTTATCCATACATGCTTAGCAGTCATAATTGACCATATGAATTATTTCAATTAATTATTCATTTTTGCTAATGGTTAATGCTTGGTTGATGGAAAAAGTAAGTGGGCACTCTCAAAACGACAGACAAGAATGACACATGTACACAGAAAACAAACGCTTTGACACTAAATATGACCTCAATAAAAATCGAAACGTAGGCACGATAAAGAAAATGTTTTTCTAAAACCTAACCACATCTCATGATCTCCAAATAATAATAATTAAAAAAGTAATCACTTTGGTAATAGCTCCCCATGGCCAATTCGTAAGTGGCTGAGAATCGAATCTTTATTACACAGCATTTGAAAACTGGCAAAAAGAGAGAAAATTCGAAAGGTTGTAAGTTGAGATGAGAATTTGGTGTCCGAGTAGATCTAAGTCACAATAGCTAAAATGGTTAGAGCAGCGGCGTATGTAGTTGAAGGTTGTTGGTATGAATTCCAGTTGTGACACTGACTTTTTCATCTCAACCAAGACCTTAGGAAAAAGAATAATTTAAATAGTTAATATTTATATAAAATTAATTAAATTAGTATAATTTTGAACAATTAAGACCACCTTTGTTTTTGGGAATGGCTAATAATTTACTTTTTGAGCCAGTTTTTTTCTTCATTATTCAAATGTTATTTAAGTTTTACTGATTTTCAAAAGTATTCAATTAATTAAGAGTTTAGTTTTGGCTCAATCAGACTGACAAATCCGTTGTGTTTTGGGCCACTGATTGATATCATAACTGCTATACAGCAAATAACAATGGGCTAAAATTCAAATTGGAAATTTACCTGAAAGATACTTCTAAGAAATTTCTCCGAACCCCTGATATCTGTGTAGGATATGTGACCGTATCCACCGAGGACTCCGTCGATAGTCGCCGGTATCTTCTTCCAGTAGTCTTGAGCCTTTTTGTAGAACTTTGACTCGTCCTCGTCCTCATTGCCGGTCGGCTTGTCGTCTGTAACATCCATCATTTCATGCCGGGACGTGTTAATCATAAAAATTTATTTATTATAACGTCACAACAGTTTTCAAATTTAAAATTGTGATTTTGAAAAGTAAACACGAAGTATTATCGGTGTTAAATGTAATCATTTTGTTCTAAACGTGTTTTACTAACCACATGGACACATTGTTAGAAAAATTTAAATTTAACAGAAAGACCCAATTAACCTCCTCTTTACCTTCTGCTATTGCTAGGCTTGGTACTACCAAAGTACTAAATTGGTAAAATAAATTCATCTATGAACTTATAATTCGAAATTTTCTTTAAAAATATATGCATTTTTAAGTCTTTATAAAGGAACTTTTTATTAAATGGGCATGGTAAAAGCAATAAGATGTTTCACATTTTACTGTACAATCGGTTCGACGTTTCTGAACATTTTGGTCTGCCTATCTTCCTTGTTTTGGTTTCTCAGGCGCGTTTCTGCTTCTCATCATCTTCAGCTTTACATCACCCAACAGACATAATATGAAATTCACATATTTATAATAATTAAAGGCTTAAGCCTTTTATAAAAATGAAAAAAGAAAAAACAGTCAGGTTTGTAATATAATAAAGGGCCATTTCTAATCAAATAATAAAGGGCCTGAATGTGATCCCTGTGGGACTCCAGTTGTAACTGAAATTTTGATTTAAATGATTACAGTGTTACAACCTGTGCTCTACTGGTTATGTACATAGGAGTGAAGCCAATTTAACAAATTGCCATTTACTTCATAACATTTTAATTGAGCAGCCAAAATAGAACGATCAACAATGCCAAATGCTATGGAGAAGTCTGTACAGAGTTAACTTGAAAGTCACTGGATGAGGAGGATAGAATATAATTTTGATTGGAAAGTAGGTTACTGGTAATACAACGTCTAAAAACAAAGCCATACTGTTCCGGAATAATCTCAGAATTAAAATCATATGATAAATTAGACATACAAAAGATTCAAGAATTTTTGGAAAATGGACTGCAAAGAAATAAGACTATAATTGGAAATACAAGACTTGTCGCCAGATTTAAAGATAGGGGGGTTGAAAGTAGATTCACTGCGAGGAAAAAAGTGCCTGTCTTTTAGAGAAAGATGAAATATTATAAAGGGTGGTTCTGAAATATTATAAAGATTCTGCACAAGGTCTATTAAGTAGCAGGGCCAAAGGATTTTTTTTAACTTTTATATTTTAAAAAATCTTTAGAAATATAATAGGAACCAATATTGCTATTAAAGGTATACTCATGGTTTAATACATGAGTATCAGGCTTGCGTACATTACTAAAATTAACACTGTCATAACCATTACATATTTCGATTTATTTATAACAATTAATGGTTTAAGCCTTTTATATAAATGAAAAACAAAAATCAGTCAAGTTTCTGATACAAAGTCTTAGACAAAACCAGACATAAGTTAAATGCAAATATTAAGAACAAAAGTGCAAACAAAATGAATAAATGACATGAACATATTATAAATAAGAATCTAAAGAAAAATTAAAATATATAATTAAACATGTTTTAAAATAGTTAAAAAGTATGAAAAATATCGATATTATCAGGCGGTTTATTGGATATTTTTTAATTTCTGCCTATTATGCCCACGATAAGGGTAATTAGTTCTGTGATAATTAATTAAGAAAGGATTTAGATTTCTAAAGTTACAGCTGCAGGAAATATTGATATTAATTTTCAAAAGTAATTCTGGACAATATAGTAAATTATATAATAATTTGTATAAGAAAATAACATAGGGTTTATCTCTCCTAGAAGCCAGTGTTTCTAAAGTGCAAAGAGAAAAGATTGCTTCATAATCTATTTTAAAATCACAATTTTCCAGATTTCCACAATTTAAAAAATATATATTTAAACAAAAGAATGTATACTGAAAAATTTTCCAGAGAATTTTTGAGAGTTATTAAATGAGGAGGCCAAACTGTTGAGCGATATTCTAAATTGCTGATTTATAAAGTATTATTATAATTAGTTGATTTTTGAAATCTCTACACGTTCTAATAATAAAATCTAGTTGCCTAATAGCTTTATTATGAATGAAATCTATATGATTTGAAAAGGATAAGCGATCATTAAAGATTATACCTACATCAGTAATGGCTGAGGACTTTTCCAATGCCTGGTTATTGAATTTATAGGATTGGATTTCAATTCTTTGGGATAGGGTTTTTTGAGTGAGAGAAGCTAATAAAAGAATATATATTGACTTTGATTTTTAAGCCATTGTTAGCACACCACAAACAAAAATGAGTTAAATTTTCTTGAAGCATGTGCATGTCATTAATAGATTTAATTGAACAATAAATTTTTATATCATCTGTGAGGAGTAAAAAATTCACATCAAGAAAACATCTGTAATATCATTTAAATAAACTACAAAAAATAAAGGACTGAGGTACAACCCTTGAGATGCTTCAAATTATTTGAAAGTATGAATTGTTTATGGAGTTTGAAAAGTATCTATCTGTTAGATAGCTTTGAATCCATGACAAGAGAGGTTGCCCTATTACATAAAGCATGAAACTTTAAACACGTTAAAACATAAAACATGTCATATTAACTCGATTTTTTTTTAATTTTTAAAATAACGTTACTTTTTAATGTTTTATCAATTATCAGTAAAACCTATAAGACCAATAGTGCCCTTTTATAACTCTCCATGCCACAAACTTGCGATAAAAATAGATAAAATAATTTAAATCCATACCAATTTCAAACCTACATTTGGTATGAAACAAAAACTTAAAGAGGACTCGATTAATGAAGTTGTTAAAAATTATATAATATACCTCTTAAACATAAGCCTACTATCTAATTATTGTAAATTTAATAATATATTAGTATGAAATGAAAGGGTTATCATCTTCTCTGTGTTGAAATATTCATGAATAACTTTGAAAAAATATGGAATCATACTCCCCAATAGTCAGTGTTTTAACTATATCGGATACAAACATACTAAAGATCACTCCAGAACCTGGACTTATGCACTAACTGCAGACAATCCGACCCAGAAAGTGACTGCGAATGTAATACGATTTGTGAGTAGATCATTCTTTTCAACTATCAAAATTTTGCCACCGACCGCGTTACCTGTTCAGGGATGCCAATGTAAACGGAGTAAAAATTTACTTTTTGTTAGATCGGGTATCAAAAATGCTTGTAAAAAATTCTTATGAAGTTATTTCTAACGAAGTTCAGTATTTGGATTGGTATTTATTTGTCGAATTCCGGTCTGTTCGGTTAGCATCTTTCTCCCATTGCTGGCTTTGTTTCATTACCCACTCTTGCGTCCGGCCACCACCCCTTAAAATAAACTTCTTGATTTTTATTTTGAAATGTACAAATCCCCATTTAAACCGTATTGTTTTTTAAACAATTAATCGTATGTTTTTATCTGTCGGGAGTGATTGACTTGTCTCAACTTCAAAAACCACCCTTCATGTTGGAGGTTTCATTCAACCACTACATTCTTCGTATATGTTTTTTGATCACTGTTACAATAATAAAGAAATACTTTAAAGGTAAAATTATTTTATCGCTTAGGACCTAAAGAACTTTTTCGGTTACGACGATCGAGGGTTTTCGATAAAGAAATTAACTTTTAAAACGATCAAATTTGTTCAAGGGTAGACGTGTTGTTCGGTTGTGTAACTCATATTATTTTTCTTGTTTAGGTCGGCTCCAAACGATGTCTATGTTCGGGACGATGAAGCGCCACAAGGAGAAATCTTTCCAGTTATTGTAAGTCCGTTTTTTTTTTTTTTTTTTTTTTTTTTTTTAAATTAAAAATCTATTTTAATTTCAACTGTGGATTGTCAGCTTCAAAAATAAACTTTACGAGCTTTTAATTGCACTTTAAACATAATGTGCGGACATTTTAATAGCGAAGTTATAATACAAAAGGGTTGACCCATCAATCCTTTATCATCTGCGTTGTTTAAACAAAACAACACTTTATTCTTTGTATTTTATATTTTGTAAAGATCAATTTAACTTGTTTATTACAAATAGTTACGTTTAAATTAAATATTCATTATTGCCTAAATTGTCATTGGATTCAAAAGTACATTTAGGTTTGTAAAGTACCCTTAATTTCTTTTTTTATCACCAGACTTTAATGAAAAAAAATCAAAATAATATAAAACACTACAATTTTCATAATTCTACGTAATAGTTTAGTTAAATTGTTTTAAATAACCATAAAGGAACGAGTTGATCCTCATTGGAAACTTTCAAGAGGAAACAGGTCTAAAGGTCATTTAAATGTCTTTTCAAAAGTACATAGATGAAATTTTAATATTATTATTATGTGTGGTGATTAGTGACTGTTAATTGATTCTAAATAAATATTATTATTATGCAATCTCCAAACATATTTTTATACTCTTTGTATAGGTGTGCTTTGTATATATTTTGTAATAGTTTTTACTCATTATTGATTTATATAAGCCCAAATTGGCACATGCATGTATGTATATACATGTACACGTGTAGAGTTGAGCTTATCACTGCTTGTAGTCCACCAGCAATTCCACATTTTGTAATTTACGATAAATTACAAGCAGGCTTTGATAATTAATCTTGTCAGTTCAAACACTGAGGTTGGATCCAGGGTTTTGTTAGGTCATTTCAGCTCCCAAATATACAATCTCCAAATCCAAACCTATTCGCACCCACTCACTTTTATTCGTTCTTCCTTCCTTCTTACAAACAATTCACTCTGGGTAGTGGAGTACTTGGTATTCCACTACTGACTAGCCTTGTCACACTACATATTCGGACCAATTAATACATTCATTCTCAACGTCACTAGTGGACGCAATGCATGTGTAAACTATTACAACAGTAAAACAGTCCTGTTTCTTCTAAAAGACCCAAATACTTGCTGCCGTGCTCAGGCACATTTCTCAAATTGTATGGCATTACTACATGCTCTCTATATAGAGCCAAGGAGTAGCACCGTTCAATTAAGCGAGTCACATCGAGCAACCATTATGTTAGACATTAATACAGGCTTTAGCCCCTAAAGTTAGTGTCCGTTTGACGATTTTACACACCTTGGGATTAAATTATAATTGAAATTCTGAATTAATATTTATAGTAGGGATTATGAGTTAAAAAAGTAATCATTTGGCAGTGAAATAAGTCTGTTGTGTTTTTCTCTAATTGAATTTTATCCCCCTTGTGCCTTGGAGTAGTTTTTATTTAGTCATTATTGTTTACATACTCTGAAAAGGGATTAGTTAAAATGTTTTTATTTTATTTAAGATCTTGTATTTTTCAAGGTGTTTTGCTAATTTAAAATGCATAACTAAATAAACAGTTAGGCTGACAAGCTTGCGTCATTGCCATGTCTTGCATATCATTGCCAATGGCTGTTACAGTTAGAACTAAGTCGGTCTTCAAGGAAATTTGAGATCGCTGTAAAAATTTTGAAATATGTCAATCGGTAGACATATTACCTGATGGTGACCTTAAAATAAGTCAAAAGGTTGACAGTAACAACTGAATTTGCTTTTTTCTTAAACAAAAAAAAATTGTTTAACTTGGAAATAGCAATCTTAAAGAATTATGTTAATTTACATATCCAGTTTTGATCTGAGAGTGCAAAATTATAGTTTAATTTTGTACCATCTTAGGGATTATACCACTTACGGTGAGGAAGCGAGTTGTGTGAAGCTTGTAAGTGAGGATGTACGAGTGATATCTAGTCAAGGAGACCATACAACAGGAAGTTCCAAGGTGAAAATGCACAACATCGTCGATTATTCCTGGGAGGAGAAATTTTATGCGGGCCAGTTGCTTGCCGTTCATATGGGTGGGAAGTACTTTGCTTATGGCATAAAAGGTAAACATTCATCTAAGTGTCATTTGTAATTTTTGTAACTTTTTTCTTCCATTGTTCACAGCTGTCAATAAGACACAAAGTGTAATAAGAGTTATCAACAGAGAAACTTCAAAAAGGGCACTGATTAAAGGCATAGAGGGGATGATAGAAGATCTTGCATTTGCGTTTATTCCAAATAAAGTAATTTTAGCTTGCCTTGACTGTAGCGGAGCTGTTCAAGTTCACAACATTGAACAAGAAGGAAATGAAATTACCTGCAAATTAATATTACACATCCTTGTGGTAAAGGTGTTAACATTTTTCTATATGTTTTTGTTTTTGAATATGTAACACATTTTATAATGTTTAGGATGATACGCTTGAAACGTATTTGCCCAGACGTGTATTCTGGTGTCCTTATATGACAGAGGATGAGAATGCAGCTGCAAGAGACCCTTATGAAGATGAAATACGCCATTTGCTTGCCGTCACCAGGGATAACAAAGTATGTTTTTTCTTTTTTTACTTTTTGTTTGGAAAAATATTCAAGTACAATATTAGTTGTTTTATGTGGTCATTACATTGTTAGCACTTCAGTGGTTGTAGTGTTCCATTTTTACATGCAGGTAGTAGGCAGAGCTATTTAATCTTCTTCCGTCGCTTTCCATAAAAAACTTTTTCCATTGGAGGCAGAAGTATGTGGTTTGAGTCCTCGGCCACTTTTCCTTGGCTTCACTGGTAGATGGCTCTGTCGTGCCAATTTGGTGAGGTGTGATTTTAACCATTGATGATTGAACCTGAGTCATGCCAGCTTTTTGTAGCATACAGAGCCGAGCTTTTTGGCTAATATGGTATTACGATCATTCATTGCATTTGGTCCTGTTCACATTCATTCCCACTTGGAGTCATTATATCAAAGGGGTTCGTTATTTATGCTCATTTGGTGTAGACATGAATCTCAAATATTCGAACTTTGTTTCATTTTTAATATTTTAATGTATATTCCTGTATATTCCCAAATTTTATCAAAATTCCAAACTGTGCAGCAGTCCAAATATTACCGAATATAATAATTATTATTAATGCATTGTTATCTAAATTGATGTCATGTATTCAGTAAAAATGTAAACTCTTTGACCAAAATTCCTGAAAAGCCCAACTTCATCATCTTCTCTTATGTCATTCTGAATGCTGACCCTCTTTCTCTATTAAGAAACCCAGAAACTTTTTTTATACTGTGCATTGGGTAAAGCTGGTAAGATAGCAAACAAACTACAGGCCTTACCAAGTTTCGATAGAGCAGGAGCCGTGTGTGTATTTAGTCATAACATAGCTGGGTAGAATTTGATTTTTTCTTTGTATGCTCTACCACATATACGGTCCAATTTTTCCACGGAATTTTCCATTTTTCCGTTTTGATTTAACTACTATGTCTGAGGTCTCAACACGATCTCTCTTTAGTCCTGTCATTACTGCAAGATGGTAAGCTTTTTTGTTCTTTTTGTTATTACAGCATACTTTTGGACTGTATGATTGTGTTGGATACATTTTCATTTATCACTGTCATAAACAATCTTTTTCTTAAGTTATTTTGTGGTGTATGTTAATTTGCTTATGAAATATTTTTATATTGGTGTTTTGTTTTAGATTGAAATGTGGAACGTTGCTGTGGTATCTAGAAACCACGGTTCAGGCCCTTTAATGTCTGAACAGATCAGCGAAGGTTTTCTGGAAATTGAAGTGTCGACACATTTAATTTCAGATGCGGCTTTCTCTCCTGATGGGACAGCAATCGCGACTGCTAGTTACGATGGGAAATGCAAATTTTTCCAGGTTTTTGTCAATGCATTGAATGATTTATAGACAAGTTGTAAATTTTTAAACATTTAAATCAGGTTTATATGTATGGGGAAGAAGAACCAAGGTGTTTGCATGAATGGGAGCCACACGGCGGTGAAGCCGTCACGACTCTTCTCTTCCTCGACAATCTTAGAAATCCGCATCCAGAGTAAACAAATTTACAGATTACTTTTGATTTAAGGGTATAAAAATTAATTTGTTAATTTTAATTTTTTTTCAATTTTAGCTTCCAATTTTGGAAATTCGCTATGACAGGTGCTAAGAACAATTGTGAACTGAAGTTGTGGTCTTGTGAGACTTGGGAATGCTTGCAAACGATCACATTTTCCTCGAGTGTTCCAAGAGGAAACAAACAGCTCAAAGCTGGTATTGATCTTGCTGCTGGTTACATCTTACTGTCCGACATGTTTTCAAGGGTGAGTTAAAAAGTTTTCTTACAACTACTATCTAATAAATTTTAGGAAAAACTTGTGTAATAGTTTCCATATTCATTCATTTATCTCAGTGTTTGTGGATTTTCCACTAGCCTACCTTATAACATTAATGAGTTCATTTCGAAGGATGTCGGAGTTCAAATTCAGGGCCGCTGGATTTGAACCTGGGACCTTTACCCTTCAGTGATGAGCCATGGCAGCTTCTGATACCCTTATACTCTTACTTTAAGTTCTAAGTCCATGATATAATTTTTTTTTTTTAGCTATTGTACATTATGGAACTTCAGAAGAAAACCAATGAAACCCAACCCTTTGTGCAAACAATTACAGAGTTCAAATTACCATGTGCCATACTTAGTTTTGGAATTGTGGATGCTGGGCCTAAAGTATTCAAAGCCAACACGTCATTCAGCCTCGAAGATCTCTGCAATGGTAATATGATCAGAAGTTTCATGTTATAATGACAATGAACTTTAAAACCTATCAAGAGCATATTGTAATATTTGTCATTGTGTTTGTAGGTGAAGGTGATGAAGAAAGTCAAATGGCTGTTTTGGTGCGGATGTTTGTAGTGCAACCTAAATCTCTCCAGGAGTGCCATATAGTTTTTCAAACATCGAATGCGATTTTAGTCCCTCCACAAATGAGTAATTATCATAATAACTAATAAAATAATTGAGGTATTAAGTATCAAATGATTAAGGTTATTGTTATTGTTGCGGTTTGTAATTTTCAATTTAATCATGAATTTTTCAACATCACAATTTAAGTATGAATTTATTTGAATTAATGTTTTATAGAAGGATTTTTGGCAAGATTTTGTTTTCCTTAAAAGCAGTCACCTCCCTTGAATGGACAAATTCTGATTTCCAGCTTTTTCCCATTAGTTTCTTTGCTTTATAATCTTCTATAAAACAGAAAACTAAAAAACTTGTGCTCCCCAGATACTGCAACCTTCTAGCTTTTGTATCTTCTTAGTTCCTCCTCATTGCAAAATCTGCAAATGGGATCATTATTGAATATGCCCATGTTATGTAGATGTTCTCTCAGATGCCAGTGACCGGTTAATAGTCCTATCACCCCTGAATCTCGCAGCAGTGAGCTTGCCAGTCTTGGTGAGGGTTGTTTAGCATATTGTTCTTTTAGGTGAAGTTTTACAAAAACCAATCCTGCAGATTTTTTACTAAAACGCCTATTCCGGCCGTAGACCAGAACATATTTGAATGGTTTTGCCATGCTCATGTTTATAAGATTAAAACACAATGCTGTCTGGTCTGCTTATCTGAGAAAAGGCCTTAGAAATTGCAAAATTTTTTTAAGGTAAATGAATTTTAAAGCATCTTCTGTTTGCCTTGACAAAAAATTTAAATCACCCCAGAAAATTTCTTTTAAGATCATTAGTCATCTGAAAGAAAGGAGTGTCAGTAGACACCGATGGTAAAACTTGCGATAACAATATTGCACCAACTTGGAATCCAAAACTTTTTAATTGTGATAAGACCGCCTAATTTTTTTATAGCATTTCAGGATAAAACTATGTAATTAAAAAATGAATGTTATTCAGGGAGATCAACTTTCAAAGGAGCATTTAACTTGCTCGTACCCACAAATATTCTCAGTGAATTTGAAAATCCTCTGGACATAGAAAAGGCTAAAATCTTAATACATATATTGTTTTCCCAATCCTTATTGGACCCATCATGCAATAGTAAACATTTTTTTAATTCTTATCCAAAAAACGGACACATCTTTATAGTAGAAAATATTTTATTCCCTAGTGTCCACTATAGGGAAATATCAACGTGATTATTGATTTATTATTCTAATTTATTAAATTTATGGTTAATGTTCGATTTTGTTCTAATAGATAAATTTGTATCCCGTAAAATACCAAGCTTGCCTGAACTGACAGAGAATACCAATTCAGGAAATAGCACATCCTCGCAACAGCCAGTTCAGCTTAATTTGATGAAACCGGAAGCATTTCACTCTCCAGCCAGAGAATCACCAGTATGATTTTTCATTGTAAACAAATGATTTATGCATAAAATATTAATTAATCTTAATGTGTAATAACCTTTTTATTAGACGACAATAAGGGAAAGTGGAAATTCTAGTGATAGAGAATCCCAAAATCTGAAAACATACGCAGCAAACACTGTTTTAATCAGCTCAAATGAGGTTACAGTAAGCATTAAATGAAAATTTATGAAAATTTGAACTTAAGCGATTTGTTCCACAGACTGCTGGGGGCTTTGTTAGTGCTGGTAGTTCTCCGAGCAGGGAGGTACAAGAAATTCTGTCATCTCCACGCTTTTTCAATCAGTCAACGCAACAGCCATCTGAGCATACTCCAAACAATCTATCTTGGTATGTTCTTAATTTAATTAAGTTAATCCTTTGTGGCTAATAAAACAAATGATTTCTAGTCCAGTCAGCTTGCCCAATGATAAGCTGCGAGGGCTTGAATCAGCGATTCATACGCTTTCAAGTGACATTTCTTCATTAACACATTTGATATCCAAACAAAATAGTGAAATTGAGGTAAATTCATGTTTGCATTAAATTTTTTGTACATTTGTTAAGAGGTGGGATGATTTAATTTTTAAAACAATCTTTAAGGCATTGAAAGAAAATATAAGAAGAAAAGATATGGACAATTCTTCAGATTTAGAAGAAACTATGGTACGAGCTCTTTTAAATAGCAAGGTCAAGTGTGCCATGTCAAACAAGGTTCTCGCCGAAGAGATTTCGAGCAACCTGCAACCTTCTGTATTAAGTTTAATCAGTAAAGAAATGCAACAACAAATTAGACCAGGCAAGTTTGTAAATTTTCTGGAATATCTGTAAGAAACTTATTTCCCTGTTTTTTGATTTTACAGTTGTAAAAAAAACACTGGAAGAATTGAAGGTAATTATTCAAAATGAAATATCTACAAAACTGACTGCCTCTGATCAAATCCTTAAGGATAATCTTGGTAAACTAATTCGTAGTAAGGTAAGAAGACTTTTCGTCAATCTGTTTGGCATAAATTAAACCCAGAGTAAAATGATTTTTTCCCAGCCATTCATGGAGACTTTAAACAGCCAGTTGAGTATATCTGCCGGGAACGCAATGGAACACATTTATAAAGATACTTTTACAAAGCTCGCCGTTCCAGTTTTTGAAAAGGCCTGTGCCAATCTTTTTAAACAAATCAACGATACTTTTTCAAAAGGCCTAACAGAATGTAAACAAAATTTTAAACACTTAAAAATCTTCTGAATAAGTAGAGCTGTTCAATCGTGTAAATAATTTACATTTCAGATATTAAAGAAATAGAGGCTCACGCTTGTAAGTCAAACGAAAGGATGAATATGGAAATCATAGCGATGCAGTCTGCAACTGAACACATGACTGTAGCAACGCAAAAATTTTCAACACTTGTTGAAAAGGAAACAAAAAGGTTTGTGAAGGACCATGCATGAAGCATGCACATAACAAATTGACCAATTATGTTGAACTTCTTATCGACAATTAATAATGCAAATAAAGCAATTATTGATTTGAAAAATTCAACAATATAAAAATAGTTGTTTGTTATAAATGATATAATTTACAGCTGTCACTTTTAAATCCTTAATAGAGTAGTTAGTTAATGTATTGATCATGGTAAACATGGATCCATGTTTTCTAGTCAAACCTCAGGGACAGCTATCTGTGATCTACATTTACATGGATTCTAAATGTATAGCATTTAGCATATAGCATATAGCCATAAATATATAGGCTATATTTAGCATATAGCCATCTTTTCACATCAGTTTCTGTGGATTGATTACTGTTGTATAACATATAAGGAACAGTTTTTCCTCCTTAAATTACATAAAACACACTCCTTAAATAACATAATTTTTTTCAGTTTTGAAACCGATTTAGGTTTATAAATGGTCCTAACTTAAAATTTTGCATATAAAAGAGAGGACAATAGAATCACACAGTTACACTGAAGATAGTGAAATGCCAAAACACGTTAGACAAACCAATGAGGGTAGGTAGACCAAGATGATTAGTAAGGATCCAATTACAGATCCATGGATTTTATTTTTTAAAAAGTTTTTAAATATAGTAGTTTACCACAAAAGGAGTAATCAGTTTTTCAAACCAAAACTTATGTATAAATAAAATGCTCTACAAGGGGGCGTTCGGGTTGGTCGGTTATGAATGTGGAACAAACCTTTTTTGATAATTCTTCATTTCAAAATATGAGACATGTATACACCACTTCTTGTGAATTTTGGCCCTGGTTTCGCAAAAAAAAATTTTTTTTTTGAGGGTGGAAATTTTCCTTATTTTAATATTGTTATTTTGCCTTTCTACTCGCTCATTAACTATGTGAGTATAACATTTTACAGAATTTTTTTTTATAGATTACGATAAAAAAAATATAGTAAAAGCTATCGAAGATTATCAATAACAAAAATTCCTAAAAACCAAATATTTTTCAAGTAAACTAGGTTATAATTTTGTGTGTTGTGAGAGAAATTAATAATATGAAATTTCATTTTAGCACCTGAGACCCCTAAATATAATTTTTGTCTGAATTTAAATTTATCGATTTTTTGAGCCCTAAAATTTTTCCAATTTTTGATTCATTATCGGAATATCTGATTGAAACGGCTATAATTCAAAAACATTTAAGGATTTTAATGTCAAACATACCATTTGGAAGAAGTGAAATGTAGCTTTTTAACGGTGTGTGTACCATTAAAATATATTTCTGTAAGAAAATACACAAAATAGCAAATTTTTTGTCAGAAATTAACCTCACTTTTTTTTAAATGAAATAACCCTAACCATCCCTGATAGTCCAATTTTTATATTTGATAATGTTATAAAACACACTTTACAATTTCTTTAAAACGAACTGTGACAATTAGTCCACTAGCTTTAGAGAAACATGATGTTTGAGCTTGTACCAAGAATGCCAGTCAGGCTGTAAGTGTCCGATATTTTGGATTGTAGAATCATCAAAAAAAGTCCAGTCCCAATTTGCGACCTACCAACTTAGTTGCGCCCTTGTTAGAAAAGAAAGAAAATTTAAATTATTGCTCACATTATTTCTTAAAATGAAGAATATATGAAAGAAAATAAATAATTAACACATTAAAAAGTGTGAACTTTTGAACATGGTATAAGTTCGGCAATTCTTTAAATTGTAGTGCAAAAACATAGTATCGTGTAGAGTATTTTCAAAGAAATGAACTTAATTAATGATGAGAATTCTTCTTGATGCCTGCAGGGTGTACGTATTGCATAGTCATGTACGATCAATTTTAGTCTGTCTATTCTCGATGGTTGGGTCCTGTCAGACAGGTTTCGGCTTTTCACCATCATCAGTGGTGAGGTTCTGTTGAAACACTCAACAACATTAACAATAAATTATGTATTATTATTAATGATTAAATTTAAGCTCCCTTTGAGTTATTAAATTATTAATGCTCAATTTAGTGTGCTCATTATACTTTTAATTAGGTAACTAGCTGTGAAATTGTTAATATGTGTGAAGAACGTTGAGGCAAAAATCTCTGAAAACTTAAAAAAAGGTACAATTTTTAGAACGCCAAGTTGTTAATTTCTGACAGCAATTGTTACTTACTGATCTAGTGATGTTTAGGTCGATGTGCTCATATTTTCTAATTTATAAATTGTGTTTCAGATTGGAAGATGCAATATTAGAAGTAGGTAGAAACATTAAAGGTAGTACATTGAATAATGGCAACATGAGGTCAGGCACAGCAACTCCTGCCCAACATTTTTTAGACTCACAGCAACTAATAACACAACTGTCCCAATTGATAAAACAGGGCGATTATAACACTGCATTCCAACAGGTAATATCTCATAACATCAAGGTTGTTCTATTTGAAATAACTTTTTTAAATATTTTTTTAAGGCATTGTCGGCTTCTGACTTAAGCCTCGTTATGTATGTTTGTGAAAAAGTTGGACCCCACCAGGTTTTCACACAAAACGGCTGCCTTCTACAGCAACACATACTATTATCACTTATTCAACAACTGTCCGCTGATATGTCGCACCATTCCGAAACAAAATATAAGTGAGTTAAAAAATATAATTGTTTTATTGTCAAATTGTTATGTTTTGTTCTTGCTTGTTAGGTACCTTGAAGAGGCAATTATGAATTTGGACAATTGCAATGCTAATACTCGTGAACACATGCCAAATGTTTTAGGAGTGTTGCTTAAACAACTTCAAGTTTATATTGCTACGAACCCCAAAGGAAAATTCAACAGGAGGGCGAAAATGTTGACAATGGCGACCCAGTCGCTACTTTAATTCCAATATCATTATTAATAGTTAAAAAAAAATATTTTGTGTATAGATGTTTATCCTTCCTTAGTCTATTTAATAACTATTTCTAATTGGATAAGTGCTTATTCAAAATTTGTATTGAGATCTGACACAATATTAGAAGAGCAATTGTTTTATTTGTAAGATATCTATATATATACATTTTTTATATATATTTGTATTAAAAAAAAGAAAAAAAAAGCTTTTCTATTAACAACGAGAGAATTGTTTATTCCTCTTTGTTTTTTTGGTTTGTTTTTGGTTGTGGTAGTGGCTTCTTCTTTTTCTTACATGACAATGGATTTGGCCCACCCTTTTTTTTTCTTCTCTTCTTAAAAACTGGTGTCTGCGGTCCAAGAACCGCTTCTTTAAATTCATTCAATACTTTCCTCTCATCTTCGGAAAGTCCACAACTGAAACCAAAGAGAAAGCAACATTTTTGAAATTATTGGTTTCTAAGAATATAAACAAATAAATTTTACAAATGTAAACATTCTCAAATAAAAGCAAAGAAACAACAATGACTGAAAACATAACAAGGTAGTGAACAAACAACTCTATTATTGATGAATTAGATAGCAATAACTTTCTTATTTTATTATAAACTTGAGATAAAACAAATAGAAATAATAAAACAAAATAAGAATAAAAACCATTTTTAGTTTTTGAACTCTACTGTTATTTTTTAATAATTCAAAATGAATCAATCAACATAGGAAATTTCATGTTTTCAAAGCTATGTTATTATTTTTATGGATTCATAATCAAGATTTGAATGAATTTTATGTAAAAAAGGAGCACAATTAGAAAAAAAAAGAGAGTTTACAAAAATGAAAGGCCTAAGTTCAAAACTGCCTTAACTTGTAAAATAAAATATTTGAATGTTAAATAGCATTTATTCAATAACTTATAAGAAAAAAAAAAAAAAAGAAAAAAAAAAAAAAAAAAAAAAACTGTAAAACCAAAAAAAAAAAAAAATTTTGTTTTTTTTTGAGAAAAAAATTCAAACGAATCCAATGAAGTTAAAAAGAATCAGGTGGAGATATCTTACAGTATATATAGGAAGACTTGCTCTACATAAAGACAATCTTTTGGACGTTTCACATTATGGACTTTTTTAAATCTAATAATAATAATAATAAATTATGGTGAGGGACGACATTTAAAAAAGAAGAAAAAAAGTAATTACTATTATTGATAGATATTTAGAATCATGAGATGCGGTCTGGTGTGATGTAGGTTTCAGAAAAACATTTTCTTTATCGTGCCAACGTTTCGATCTTTATTGAAATCATCTTCAGGGCTCAAAGTGTTTGTCTTCTGAAGATGATCTCAATAAAGATCAAACGGCACGATAAAGAAAAGTTTTTCTGAAACCTACATCACACCAGACCGCATCTCACGATTTCTAAATAAATATCAATTAACGGTCGCTAATCACCACACATTATTGATAGAATTGATCAACAGTTGTAATTATACTGATGTTGTGATTGAGTTTGTGGTCAGGGTTGTGGATGTTTCTTCATCCAAAACAGTTCTGCCTATCTTTCATTTTATTTGAAATCATACGTCAAATAAAACAATGTTTATAAGTCCCAGGCCCTGAAGATGATCTCAATAAAGAAAATGTTTTTCTAAAAGTTATATCACACCAGACCGCATCTCACGATCTCCGAATAATCACGTCAAATAAAGTTGAAAGCTTAGCTGAACTGTCTTTGGATTAAGGAAACATCCACAACCTCGATCACTACAGCAGTATAACTATAACTGTTAGTTGATTCTATCAATAATTTAAAAGTAATTACATACAGGATGGCTTAACATTCAACTACCCACTGGGTCTCGCAGACAAGGAATCAAACCACTTTACAATACTTCTTTAATACTATTCACAATTAAATAATCATAGGCTGTGCTGAGAATTGAACCCAGAATGGCTAGCATGGCAAATACGAGTTGCTCTAACTACTCAGCTACCGCGGTCCTGCACTCTAACAAGAATAAAAAAACCACTCTTTACCTCGAGTAAGGAAAAGTTAAATTGCAAATTTTCTTCTAGCCACACACACCTTTAACATATAATTGAAAATCACAAAAATAATATATAATTTTTTTAAAACTTACATTTCATTCATCTGCCGTTTAGCTAAAAATTGTGTGTAAGGTGATGGTTCTTCTAAAGTTGGTGCTTTATTAAAAATAAATAAAATAGGGGCTGCTTTTACTCTTTTAACCTTAGCCTGCAGTTCTCTGTCTTGAGTCGCTATCATATACCTTAAAATTATTTAATTAATGTCAATTAATCAGTTGATCATGATTCAAAATATAATTTTCACTGAATGTTAACAAACCAAAAAGAATCATCACCTGTTTGGATTCTCTTTGCCCAACATGCTCAGTAAGCATTTTGAGGCTGACATCGGTGTTTTGTGTCCACATAAATGCACGGAGAATTGTTTAAGAATTAACATGGCTCCGTATACAGTTGGACCTGTGATAAAATTATTGCTGTTAACGATAGTTTAATATGTTTGTAATGAAATTGTGAGATTTCTTTCCTTGGCATGCGAGGTGATTCTGTAATTTGGTTGTTACTGATCATCCTGTTCTACCTATTCTCACCATTTGGAAACAGTGAGGAAAAGCATGCCAGGAAGATCAGTAATAACCAAATTACACATAAATAACCGGTTTAACTAAACATGAATTGTGAAAATTTTTATTCACATTGCCGATGAAGATTAACAAAAATATTAATATACAAATTTAAAAACAATTGCAACGGGCTTATTTATATTTAAACAAGTGGCTAATGTTCACACAAACAACCTGAGCTCATACTCCTTTGCTCAATTTGTTTACAAATAATCAAAAATATTTTCCTTTCGTCGTTAAATTTTGAAGAGAAAACGCTTCATTCAAGGAGAATAGTGCAGGTATTCACTCATTTCTGAATGTATGTTCTCATATAACATTGCAACATATATTGCTTATTTCTGATATAAAAAATATTTTCAAGAAAAAATTATTCTTATTATTTTACATTTACAACTATATTTTTAAAAAAATTTACTGTGATATAATGACCAGCTGTCATTTCCTAGAAGAACTTCTTGGATTTTGTATAAAACATTATAATTTTGAAAGAAACAGTGATAATCATAAGATGTAATGACAGGACTATATGATCAGTGAGTTCTTTTATCACTGACATTGATTTCATTCGTATATTTTTCTGATCAATGGGTCTGTGGATGTTCTTCTGAGTTCTTGTTTCTCATTTAAAGAGACTGTGCATTTTTTTTTTTTGTAATGGCGAGCCATCGACACAAGTCATATCTGCCCCCAATTCACAGTGAGGACTGAAGGGGTACTCGATATTCCGCCATTAGACCTCTTCCTTGCTCATTCACACAAACAAACAACTGTAAATAAACAAATATACATACACACGGTTCTACTAAATAATAATGTGTATTATGTCTACTTTATTTACAAATGAGGAAACACCCCTGTTTTTCTTAAAAATCTTAATAGGGGACTCCACGTCCCAGTGTCTGTGCAAGGACTAGCTTTATGTCAGGTGCCAGGCCTGTTCGCTCCCTGTAAGGGTGAAACACACTGGCAACCTTTATCTACAAGAGAGGCACCTGCATGGGGTTTGCCCCAAAAGCAGGTGACCAGGTGTCAATCAAGTATGGCCTATCCTCAAACAGGTGAGCACAATCCTTTCCTTGCAATTCAGATCCTTGGCAGATTCAGATCTCAGCAAGAGCTTGTCGGACGTTCCGGTCCATTGATGCTGCATTTATTATTTTATTCATTGCGTTCTTTACTGCTCATACAGTGTCATAGGGCTGGTGGTTTTATCTGGAGGGCAAGATGTCCCAGCTTTTTCTGCTTCATCTGCACGTTAGTTGCTCTCTAGCCCAATGTGACCGGGTACCCAGACGACTTCCATTGCTTTTCCGAGGCACTCCAACTCAGTATATCTCTCTAATAAGAGAACAATGAGAGGGTCCACTGAGAATCTGTCACGAATAGCTGAAATCGTGCTCAGGAATTACAAATTATGAATGTATTTAATTGTTGTTTTTTTGTCAACGATCCCTAGTGCTAGGGATACGGATTCAACTTCACTGCCTGTTGCCTACTTAATTCCTTAGCGCTGTGGGGACTAAACTGTTGTATCATTTAATTCATATCATTTAGATATACGTAATAAACAAACCATTTACATTATTTTTAAATACCAGAAAGCTATTTTACGTGATAAATTTGGTTCTGCCATGGGCAACCAAAATGGTCAAGCTTAGGATGCAGTATAGTTATTAAAATTGTGTAAGCAATGACTGCAATAAGTTAATTCCTACAAGGAAAAAAGTGTAAAAAAAGAAAAAAAAGGACAAATGATGTACAAACCCAGTTTCTCAGTTTCCACTACACAACATGGGGTTGTCAAAAGCTTGACATCACCAAGGTATTTAGGAAGCTGTTCTTTTATATTCACTTTGCTCTGTAAACAAAACAATTGTTGTTAAATTGTACAATAGTACCAGCCACTCTACTGGCCACTGTCTACTTACTTTGAGAGCTACATGGCAAAACGTGCCATCGACTAAAACCTGGAATGGTTTTCTGAAACCGAAATTGTTTATGTAGAAATTTATGTATTTATTCACTTTCTTTTGTCGGTTTATACGCATTTCGTTTTAAAATCGAGTCGCCGTGACCTAGGCGAAAAATTCAATAAAACTGAACAATCACTGTAATGTTAAATATGCACAATGTCAAAAGAACAAGCAAAATTGAACTGAGAAAGTGAGAAGTGAGAACTGACTGCAACAGTTGGTGAATTGTTTATTAGGAGGTTATTCTTCAACGACTGTTATCGTTCAGACCACACGTGGCCCATCTCAAAATTTTCGTCACAATAATTACTTTATGGCTTCCACTTAGCTTTTAATAGCATTTAAAATAATTATTTTGCACAAAACATATAAATATAAATGTCAATATAAAATATACACTTTAACTTATTTATAAAATATCTCTTCAGTTGATATGCCGGTATAATTCATGCAATAGCATGTAACTAAAATGAAAATAAGCGTAAAGTTGTTAGTTATAGGATTGGACATAGCATTGGCTTTTATAATTACACCATACATGACATCCAATTGGACAGGCAAACTATCATTAAAGTCATTGGAAACACCTACTCTAACAACATAACATTCAATAATTCATTTACTTTAAAGATACAAATAGAGCTTTAAGCCCCCTTACATGTACTTGTTTTAGAAATAAATTTAGTTTTATAAACATAATAAAATAATAGTAATAGCAATAGTAATTATAATAATAAAACATATATTAAAATATACAAAACAATAATGGCAATAATATTTTAATTAACATATTAATTTCTTGATGATCAAATCATGAAATCACATTACAAAAGAAAAGGGAATGAGAAAAAGAAAAGGGTATGATTCAGATGCCATGGACCTGAAACAAGCCCTTGAGGAAACAGAACTCTCAGAGTTCTGTCAGACAGAAGGAGATGAGATTAGGAGCAGTCGAAGAAAAATGAAAACGATTTGTCAGTTTTCAAATAAGCAAATTATGTGTAGAGATTAGTGACCGTTAATCGATAGTTATTCAGATATCGTGAGATGCGGTCGGGTGTGATGTAGGTTTCAGAAAAACATTTTCTTTATCGTGCCAACGTTTCGATCTTTTATTGAGATCATCTTCAGGGCCTGGGATTTACAAACAATGTTTACATTTAACAAATACATTTAGGATGTGGATAAGTGAATTTATACAATGCAAAATATATTTTATATTCAAAAGCAAATTATGATTTACGGAGTTGAAGGCATTGGAAAAATCAAATAGAACAATGATGTTACACTTATTATCATCAATTAATTAATAAGGCTAATCAAATTTTAGGTTTTATGCATAAAACTACAAAAAATTTCAAGTTGTTTTGGTTACATCAGGAAATGCTAAGTAGTTCAATAGAAAAATACAGCGATGATTTATTCGCACTCTCTAGTTTAAAATTACTAGAATGTATGTTGGATACATACAAACTTATGGAATCCGCAAAAATGCAATCACTAAACACAAGACAAAATAATATCTGATATTTACTTACAAACTCTTAAATAATATGATTGATTATTATTTAATTTACCAAGTTTTCATGTTTCACAGAGTAAACTAAACAAAAAATATTTGCAAAATCTAACAGCAGAGATACAACCTTTTTTAAAATTTGGTCTAATTCCTCGACTAATGGAAACGAGTAATATACTCCTTTAAACTGTGACACTTTATCTTTACTTAGTCATTTTAAATATTTTTTTAAAATATGGATCTTGGCAATTTTGTTTGATTGGTTTATATATTTCTGTTATTTCATTAAACTTACCCTTTTATATTTTTAGATATTTATCAAAATGGCCAAGTGGCATGTATACAAAAATAAATAAATAAATGATCTGTTCAAACACTTTAGAAGACGATGGTACAAAGGGATATAGTTGTGCAATAGTTCTTGATCACCTTTCTTACGGATGGTGATAATTGATATATACAGTTATACAGTTCTATTTTTATATTTGTAATTTTTTTTGTTGGCATGTTTCACTATACAAAGTTCAAACAGGTAGGAATAACAAAAAAATTGTTATGTAGTACAAAAAATATATATACATTAACATTTTTAATGATAAATATAACCATCAATTAATAAAATAAGACATGTGTTTCACTGCAACAGCAATATCTAGTTTTACATTTGGCAAAAGCAATTCATTGATCTGTAAAAAACACAAACAAAAAATCATTATTTTTATCTACTTAAAATTAATAGAACATATATGTGATGGAAACAATTAAAGTAGAGTGACTCACTCCACCTTAACTATTTCTATTAATTTTCTAGTCAAAACATTTAACGGATTATAAAACAATTAACAACACTACCTCCACTTTTTAAAAACAGACAATAAACAAGAATATTTTCAGCGATTATATACGTGGTGTAGATAATGATCAATAAATGTTGAAAGTGACTTGAATTATGTTTTGTTCACACATTTCAATAAAAATTGATTAAATTTCCATTTGCAAACCGATGAATGTCTCCTAGGCAGCAAGTAAATAAGCGATTGGATTTTGTCTTGTGAAACAGAATTATTTTAAAGCTGTTCATTGCTTGTTGGAGGCGGCAAATGATGACCCGTCTCTTATCAAGACACATAAGTGTTCTACAGGATTCATGTCAGAAGAACGTGCTCACCAATTCAATGTGATAATTCCTACATCCTCCAAGTAATGGGTGACCACTCGGGATACATGCGGTTGAGCATTATCATGCATTAACACAAAGTTAATAGCAATAAATGGAGTGAACCAGAAGAAATCCTCAATGTACCTTAGTGCAGTCTAAGATCCATTCTGTATGATAATAAATTCAGTACAGGCATGGGATTCCACTCCATGCCACAACTGACTGTCTTTGAAAAGACTGTGACCCATACATGGCACATGAAGCAAAGCTTTCTTCACATCTTCTCCACACATGGTCCCTGTCATCTGATTGTCACAAACCAAGCCGGAACTATCTGTGAAGAGAACAGCCCTCCCCCGTTGTTCAAGGGTCTTAGTGAGATGGTGATTTGTGAATAGTTGCCTTTCTACTCAATGCCTCTCCAGTAGTAGAGAACGTGATGCATGATGCCTAGAGACTAGGCTATTCTCACAAACCCTTCTGTTTAATGTTTAGAGCTCATCCTTAAATTACAAACTTTTTGGAGTTGTCTAACTATAAAAAAAGCCATTAAATGACAGTTCTGTAGAGCAATAGGAGCTGTAAAACGATCGTCTCCAGCCACTGTACATCATGACCGACCACTACCATAGAGATTTCCAGCGGTTTTAAAATGCTGTAGACCATCGTGGATGGTAGAGCTTGGCACACCCAGGAATTGGGCTATGTAATGGATGCTGCCTCTGTCATTGGCCAAAGCATCTGCCCAGGCATTTAAAACCATGCTTTTAAGATAAAAATATTAATTATAATTAATTATTAATTAAATACAAGTGTCTGCTTTTTGTGTCTTTGAGTGTATATGTCAATGATTCCAAATAATTCTAAAAGTTTTAGCATTCATATTCATTACCGTTACCAGAAATGTTGAAAATTTTGTGCCAAAGATGCTACATAGCATTTCAACAATCTGAGCCAAAAGGCAAAAGTTTTAATTTTGCAATAATAAATCCAGAAATTCCAAAAGCATTAATGTTTATAATAAAATTCTACTAATTTCAAAATCACACATCATATTTACTTAAGGCTCATTTTTAAAACTATTTTATAAACAAAATAAAACAACATGATATCAAAGTTAAACAGTCAATTAGGATATTCTTGCTGTTTCACATCATGAACCGAAAGACATTACTCATAACTTGAAGGGAAATCTCGACTTGAACAACAAAAACTTGACTGGTTCAGACTTTAATTGATCAGCTCTGACAAGTAAAGGTTCTCACAATCAGGTTGTTAATTGTTAATTAACTCAACTTTCCAAATCCATGTTTTTCATGGTGGCTATTGTACTTGTAATTCTTTTCCCATGTGTAAAGAATGTTAAAAATGACATACTGTACCCAAACACCAAAGATACATGTATTTTACCTGATAATCTGAAGAGCAATTTACTGCTGAAATAATACTAGAGTCGCTAATCATTATTTTACTGTCTGCTAGTATTTGGATGCAACACTGAATGCGTATGATTGCTCTCCTCGATTCATTGTCAACTCTCTGAAAATTTAATGATTGTAATTTTTTTTCAACTGCAATACTACATGAACCCTGGGGTGTCGGTGTAAAAAAAGCTGTTCTCTTGGATTTGAACCTTACAATGACCCAGGCTGTGTCAAAACCTTAACCATTGTAGATTCCGACACCCCCCCCCCATGTACTGTAAATTTTAAAAGTATTTCAACAGTTTTACAAAGACGTACGAGATCAAGATTCCTTGCGAAACCTCCAGCTCCTTCTTCACTCGTCTGAACGGGGTAAATCCAAATAAACCCATTTGTACCGATTATCAAGCTTGCACCGCATATCGTGTGAAAATGTGTTTTTGTTCTCATAATCAACCCGGGTGGAACTGACATGAGCACACCTTGTGAAAGCTGAAATAATATTTTCAATAGTTTTACTCTAAATCTCTAAAAAAAAATGAAAAAATTACCATGACTTACTTTTCCATATCGAAGATTTCTAGTGTGTAAAGCTAAAGCATCACCAGTGTACACTTTCTGCACTTCGGCGCTGATAAGATCCCCTTCAGAAAGGTATTGCCTCATCATCCTCTCATCCTCGACTGAACGTCTCCTCTTAAAAATGACAATTTGTTTATTTCTAACAGTTAACATCTGGTGAAAAAGGTACCAATTCGCCTCCAGGGAGATTGACAGACGAAAGGAGAAGGACACCGTCCAATCTGGCGTTGATGTTCACTTTCCACCTACTCTGCTGTACCTCTGTGATCCTACCGATGACGACATCGCCAATTTCCCCATTGTATCGACACTTCAACGGCTTTATGAAAATTAATTTGTTGACACGTTTTTCAATACCGGCTAAAGAAGATTTGATCTTATTGTTTTCCAAATAAGTGCCATGTCCACTGCAATCGTAAGCAATAGGTAAGTAAACATCACCTTGTATTGTACAGTTTTACTTTAAAATTTTATTAGGTTAATACCTAACAAAATAAAAATAATTAGCCCCATTTAATAAAAACTTTTTTTTTTCTTTTTTTTTTTTTTACAGGCAATACAAAAACTTTCTTGCTATGAAGACATTTTAATTTTTTTTAAAATCTGTTTTTATTATGTAAATATTTGTTGAAATTTAATTCTTATTCACAAAAACTGACGCAGCAATCTTAGGGTGTTGCAAATATGGCATCAGGACTAAAAATTTAAGAGGCAGCATTTTTATTTAGTCAGTAGCTGCAATCGTTTAGGCGTTGCCAGTGTAAGGTAGAGATGGCCCTCTATTTGAACCCAACATACCTACAAATGTTTTTTTTTTCAAAAACACCAACATCCCAAGGGTTGGTACGACCTATGGAAAAAAAAAAAAAAAAACCTCCGTTACGAACTAACTTAGTCATAGTGAGATGTCCTCCCGTGATCTGAGGAAGGAGAACTTACAATTTAATCTTATCGATCGTTTTGGTCTACCTAACCAAGTCTGTTGAGTGTGCTCAGCTTTTTTCCACTAATAAATAATGCTATAGTTCTCCAATGTTCTATGTTGCAATTTCACCTCCAGCAAGGATAGGCAGACTTGTCCCACTGTGAGTTAATGGACTAATTTTTGTTGCTAGCGTAGAACGCCACTGCGAAGGGCCAAACTGTGAGGTGAAGTGATAATTTATACATAATCCCAATGACTTGTTTGAACATTTTTTATTCTTGGCTTTAATCAATCAAAGCTTTGGAAACAAAACCTAATTCTTAAACTACATGAGGTGGAGATGGACAGTTATGACTAAGTGACAGAGAGTTCTAAAGATTCTCCAAACGTTTTAAGTTGCAGTTTCACACCTAGCAATGATAGACAAACCAAAATAATTCATAATGGTAAAATTCGAAGTTAATGATGTTAAAGCGGTCCTGTCCTCGGAACAATGGAGACATGAAGAATGAGGGAAGCATTCATCCTCAATAGTATGTCCTGCTGTGATTTTATGGATTAACCTTTGCTGCAAGTATTGAACTACCATGAAGAGCCAAACTGTCCTGTGAAGTTACACAGTAATAATTTTGGCTTGTTTGAACTTTTTTTGTTTTTAGTTGTAATCAGTCTAGAAAAGCTTGGGAAGCAATGCTTAATCCTTAAACAACATAAACAGGTGGAGAAGGAATGTTACAACTAAGTGACAGAGAGTTCTACAGTTCTCCATAACAATGTTCTAAGTTGCAGTTCCACTACCAGCAAGGATAGACAAACGAAAATAATTCATAAAGATAAAATTCTAAGTTAATGATGTTAAAGCGATCCTGCATTGGGACAATAGTAACCTGAAGAATGAGAAAGGCATCCATCTTCAATCGCATGTCTCACAGTGCTGTGAAGTACTAATCTTTGTTGCTAGCGTAGAACCACATTGAAGAGTCAAACTGCTGTGTCCCTATATAATTTCTACTAGAACTTATCATCCTTCTACTTTTCTCGTGGTTAATGGGAGAATGATTTTTAGTAATATAACACCCGTCCTCCTGACAAGGAGTTTAGTGGTAAGGCAGGCCAAAAGGCTGAACAAACCTCATAAGTTTGGGGTCGTCCGTAACAATTTTCCCCGGTGTGAATAATTCCAGTTTTCGGTTTTCAGCAGGCAAGAGGACCAGCCTTTCAGAGGCGAGTCGAAAATGCGGCTTTTTGTTGACATGAGTGTTGGAATTAGAGCTTGTCATTCTGAACCGCTGTCATAAACGAAAACACGTGTGTTTACAGTCGCAGGTTACAAACTTGTTTACAGTAACCGATCAGTAATTAATTTTACTAAAACAATTTATCGCGGTTTATATTTTACAGATAGATTTCTTTTAAACGTTAAAAAACGGCCCTTTTTTTATTAATTAATTTTTGCATTTTCGACTCATGTGAGTAGAGGGAAAATTGTAGTCCTCGACACTTGAGCTTTTGTAATTAACCATCAGTTAAGCATTTAGCCGTAATTATATTCACTTTAATAAACTAAAGGTCGTCAGGAATATTAAAGACTTAGCTTTAACTATAAAAACGAAGTTTAATTTCTTAGATTGAATAAGTTTAAATCAAGTGTTCAATGGCAAATGGAAGGGTTCAAGTATAGCTTTCAACTCCAACACGACACACATACACACGGCACTTGCCGTTCGAGTTATCTCTTTCTGACAGTGTTCCGAAAGCTGTAGTTCCTACTCGTAGGTCGTCTTTTAAATACAATTAATATAATGGCCGCGAACATAGTGCCGCACGAATTTATTTCGAAAGCGGAAGATTTTGCCGAAGAAGTGAGTATAATAAAGATAATAATAACTCGGGCCTTCCTTTAAAGTTAAAATAATTTTTTTGATTGTGCATATGCTCACTAGTTAGGACGAATTTGCCCTTATTTAAAACATCCCTGATTCTTTTTTTTTTTTTTTAGGTGTATAAGCGGACGCGGGTTTTTATACCAACTATAGCTCGAATGTGCCTGATCTCGACCTTCTTCGAGGATGGAGTGAGAATGTGGGTCCAATGGTCGGAACAGAGGGAATACATGGACCAGTCTTGGGGCTGTGGCAAGTTCCTTGCAAATATGTTCGTGTTCGTCAACCTCTTCGGCCAGCTTGGCGGCTGTGCGATGGTTCTCGTGCAGAAGAAAGTGTCGTACGCTTGTGGCGTGCTCTTCTTCATTGTCGTACTGCAAGTGAGTTGTTGTCTACGAGGCCTATTTGCATGATCTAACATTGCCTTTTCATGCAGACCTTAGCGTACAGTATACTGTGGGACGTCCACTTTCTCCTGAGAAATCTTGCCCTCATAGGAGCTCTTCTTCTCGTTCTCGCAGAAAGCCATAAAGAAGCGAGGAGCTTCTTCGCAGGAGTTCCGACACTAAGTGAGTTTTACGCTTTCAATGATATAAGGAATGAAATAAATTCTATATTGACTTCATTTTAAAACATGTTTCCCAATGCGTAAGGGTCATTTTTAATATTTAAATTATTGGTGTATTAAGTAGGATGATCCTGAAAAAGTAACTCATTAATATACTCTTTAATATACCAGTTTAAAAAAAAAGAAGAAAAAAAAGAAAGAAATATACTACAACTATTATTAGTCCTCCCTTTGACTCATTTTATAATGTATATCACCTAACTTTTGGATAAATGCCCTGGGAAAGTGATAGGAACAAAATGGGCTTTCTTCGACTTTAAAATTCCATATTCTTGAGTCTTAACTTTTTCTACAATAATATTTTTGCTGGATATGAAAAACAGGATAGAAATTAGTGATTACATAGTTTATTATAAATTATCGGGCTGGGCTTGCCTTATGGAATATGTAAAGATAAGATCAGAAAGTATTGTACATTATTTTAATAATATAATTTGAAACTAATTAGTTCTCTGGGAAGATTATTAATTGAGATATAACAGTGCATATGGATACAATTTTACAACACTATTCTTAGAATTAAATTAAAGAAATATTTTTTGATAAATGTAAATTCATAATATAATTTCATCATGTAAAAGCAACATATAATCATTGTAAAAATGACCCATATTGGTTGCTTTCAAAGTTCAGCAATAATTGCATTTCAGTGGCTCTTTCAATTAACCATTTGCTTGGTTGTTTTCTGATCTTTCCATCAATAAAAAATACAGTTTCTCTGATAGTTACTGATTATTAATTTATATATGCTCAAATCATGTACAGAGTTGTGGTGTCTTGATTTAATTGCCCTACTTTGTCTTTTCCTTTTCAAAAATGTATTCTTCTTCTTGTTGGATGTAAATATTTATGCTATTTGGGTGGCTAACAATGTATATCTATACTCTGTTTGCCCAGGACACATACTGTACATGCCCCCCCCCCCTTTATGCATTGCTGAGTTCCCTAAATTAGAACACAACTTTCATACATATTTCGCAGATACTCTACATTCCATCAGTGTCCTCACTCACCTCTATCTTAACATGTGATGACCCATCTGGAATTGCATAGTCCAATGGGGGCCTGACATTATTTATACACGCCTACACTACTTTAAACATGCACTCCAATAAATAAATTCATTCTGATTGATTGTTATTATATTTTTTAACTTATGAATAATAGTTTTCATTTTTACTGGTCTTATACCAACAGTAACGCAAGACTCATAAAGTGTAGTCTTGCTTTGTCATAAAATAAAAAAAACACAATAATAATATAAGAAATATTATTTTGTTATTGTGCCTTTAAGATGAAAAAAAATAAAAAAAGATGAACAATTGAAATTTGGTTGTATACTTTTTACTTTTAATTTTTTTCAAATGTATATTAATGGCATTACGAGCTTGCATTTAGTCAGAGTAAGATTCCGTTGATTATTTCATCATATATAGTAGGGGAGAAGGGTTGCATGAAAAAAAGCACCAGGGGCAACAGTGGGAATTGTGCCCACGACCACGGGGTCTACAAGTCGTTATCATGCTGATGACTTGGCTACCGTAGTCCCCTGGTTGTGTACTTGAACTATTTATTTATTGAACTACTCCAACCAGTTGATTTTTTATTTCTGGCTATAAAATTTTAAGGCTCAGCTGCCGCTTCATCACCGTTTTGGAATTCTAACCTTAATGTAGATTTAATATGAATTTGAATGAACGTTACATTTTCCAAAGGGTTTTCCCCCAAAGGATTCCAAATATTTTTTAATTCAAATTAGTCAAATATTTTGAGGCACTGCCAATCCATTTTCAATCAAACATAAAAGAATGCTTCATTGAAATCCATATGATGGGACATCCAACAATAAAAAACCCATGAAATTAGGAAATTTAAATTTATTTTACCACAAATGTTGGATAGTCGAAATTAAGATTCTGGGCTACATTCCCATGGCATGGAGGACTTATTTTTAATTCATTGACTGTTTATCCTCAATTTTGACAGTTTGGTAGGCTAAAAAAGATTTCAGGGCCAATAGGTGTCCCAATCCAAAACAACTCTAGGCTTTACCACAGATGCTGTACTGCCTTCAGTGCTGCCTTGCTGTCTGTGTTCTGTTAACAATACCTGGCCTTTTAATTTCCTTGACACAGTCTCGTTTGAAAGATGTGGCATATTGCCCAAGGCTTGTATAAATTGTAGTCCTTGGTTTATTTATTTCCATAAATACCAGCTCCTGATCCATTCTTAGTTTTGGGCCATCTATATATCAGATATAGTCAGTATTTATAGGGATCTAGAGATTCTCTCTACTCTATCCCACTTTCTACTAGGCATTTTAATTTGAATTTTTTTTGTCAAATCTGAAGTTAGGGATCATGGCATTGACAGAAATCCAAAGAACCCTGTCTGCCTGAAGCTTTAGTTGCTCCCTGTTATGTTAATAGGTTATTGGAGCCTGTCTCTCCATTAGCCTATGAATTGTGGTTCTGACCTCTCCCTGGATAAAGATGTATAGTAGAGGTAGATCCTGACCGCCCTTAGCTGTAACTTTTTTCAAATGGTGTCTCTTATTATCATAATTCTTACCAATGAGAGTAAGAATCATCATTTGAAAAAGGTAAATCGACATACTCACCCCATCTTTATTATTTCTACCCCTAGTCTTTGTCCACCAAACCTCCAATCCTTAAGCTATCATGGGGCTAACAACTGTTGAGTAATATTACTTAAAATAATATGATAATCAGAAATGATCAAACCCAGACTTAAACAAGAAAATATCTCTATTGTATATTGGTTGGCAGGGAAAAAAGACAAAAAAGAAATTAAGACAAGTAGGTATGGATTTTAGGTGCATTAGAAAAATTCATGTAGTGATAGTGCGGCCCAATTTCCAGCTTAGCCTAGCTTCCTTTCTATTTTTTGTTTTAGGCTGAACACCAGACAACGAACCTTTAAAATAAATAAATAATAAAAAAAAAAAATTACATTTTGTTGTTTTTGTTTTCATTATAGATGACAACAATCCTAAGAATTACTTACAGCTAGCTGGAAGATGTCTTCTCGCTTTTATGTTTGTAACACTTATCAGATTTGAATTCACATTTTTGCAAGTAAGTACAGGAATGGAAGACGGTATAAAGAGGCACATAAAATTAACTGTTCTGATATTTGATATTTTCTTTTAGATATTTCAAGATCTACTTGGATGCATAATGATGGTCTTAGTCACTGTTGGCTACAAGACCAAACTCTCCGCTCTTTGCTTAGTCTTATTTTTAACAACCCTGAATTTCTACCACAACGCATGGTGGCAGATACCTGAATACAAACCTCTTCGGGACTTTCTGAAATATGACTTCTTCCAGGTAAAAAGTCAATGAAATGATTTTCTGTAAACAAATTTTTGAGATATATATCTATTTAGATGTTTTATAATTAATCAATATTTCACCTTGGAGTTAATTTTTCATACAAAAATGAGTATTTATGCAAAGACTGTTGAGAAGAAAAATTAATATCACGAGTCGGATTCGAACCCATGACTTTCGGCTCAATGCTCAGCGCTCTAACCACTTTTGACTTAACCAACCTTGATCCCTAGAGGCAATAACTTTTTTTCTCAACCATCTTTGCATAAAAAATGGAAATAATAATTAACAGATAACTAAATTAAAAATTATTTTGTGCCGAAGAGATATTTTATATACGATTTTAAGTCCATTCAGTATGGTAGTGTGGTATTGAGCTCTTGTTTCCTTCAGTGAGGTACTGGGAGCGGCCACGCTAAACAGCACACTGCTTCTCTAAATATAAGTCTAAAAGTAAAGAGAGTAGATTGCAGTATCACACTTGCAATACCGATGTCACACTAAATGTCCTGAATGAGTTAATGTTTTGAATTTATTACAGTTCAGTTACTTCAACGTATTATTTTTGGGTTTCTGATGATTTTGTATTTTTCAGACTCTATCTGTAATTGGGGGCCTTCTCATGATTGTTCTTCTTGGCCCTGGTGGCGTCTCTATGGATGAACACAAGAAGCGGTGGTAGATTCCTAGCCTTTATCTTTTTCTCGATGTGTAATGTAATCAACGCAATTTAAAATGTTGTCGGACTGGAATGGAATGAATTGTAGCAAAAAAAAAAAATTGTTAAAAAAACCGTTACTATACACAAAGTCTATTCTCAAGCGAAGTATTTAATTGAAATGTTGCGACAATTTTGATGTTGAATTACATGAAGAAAGTTATGGATATATATATCTTACAAATGATTATCCCTGTAAATGGTTTTAGTTTTCCCACCCGAGTTCAATTCAAAATGTATGTAATTGTTTTTAACGAGAAGGCCGATTAAATTAAATTTGAAAACAAAAATCTTAATGATGAGAATTTCTCTGTTAAATCTGTATTAAAAATATCTTAGCATGTAAAAATTGATGCTGTGTTAAATAATCTGTAAATACATACAAAATATTTATAATATTCCATTATAAAACATATACAATAACCAATGTTCATATATTAAATTTTTTTATTGTTGTTATAGGAATATTATATTTTTTGCCTTGTGACCAATTTCCAAGATTTATCATTATAATTCAGCTTATAATGATGGACTTGTTTTTAGTTAAAAACTATTTTTTTAAATAAATAAGATGTATTTTTGTATTTTGTTTTAATTTTTGTTGACAAAAGTACTTTGTCCAATATAATTTTTTTTTTGTTATTAAAATATGAATCAGTAAAAGACTATTGTAGAATTTACCATAAAAATGAATAAATCGCTCAGTTTTTGTTTATTATTATTCATGAAAGAAAACGGTCTTCTAATAAATTTTAATTTATTTTCAACAAGAATCTAATCTCTCTTTTAATTTTTAGTGCAATACAATATGAGTGGAATTAGGTCCAGGTCTGTGATAAAAATATAAAATTAACTCTTTCCCCTGATACACACCGACATGCTACCATTTGTGTACGCTCAAATATTTTGATACTTCACACATCATAAAAACAAATGTTTAGTTTTAATTTTTTAAATTAATAACTATTAATAATTTACAATATATGTAATATAGATTTGTTTTTTAAATTATAATGTATAGGGATTTTAGCTTTAGAGGTTCACAAGAGTTGTACATATACAGTATATGCATAAGATAAATTCTTATTTTCAGAATAAAATTAATAAACAGTCTAGTTATCTTGTACACAAATTTTCCATACTTCTAGGCATATTTTAAGAAAAAGTGCAAATGGTGATAAGTGTAGGAAATAAATACAGGGTGAGTTTAACTTCTATTCCCCCATTATTTTTTTAAACGGACATTTTTGGGAAAAACCCCAAGCCAAGTTTACTTATTTTTTGTCTAGTTTCTCATGAGCCTACATTTTTTTAATCAACTTTACTAAGGATAAGAGTCAAAGTTTCTATTTTTAATCTGGAGCACCCTCGAACAAAAATTACCTTTGAAGAAGATGCCTCCTAAATTGTTTATTTATTTTTAATGGCTTTATTTTTCAATATTAGTCAAAGAGCTTTGGGGCTGAAATGACCAAGCTGTCAAAAAAATAAATAAATTAATTAAAATAATAATCCATTATATTTAGTGGTCTGATTAACCAAATAACTTCTTTCAATTAATTAATCTTCTATAGGCTAGCTGGGAAATGACTCTAACTTGGTCATTTTAACTGAGAATCCCATATTTTTATAGTACATTTCACTTCTAGAGCTTATTTTAAACCACTTTTACTGAAGGGAAAATTTTGATAGGATCGACCGATTTTTTTTATGCAAACAAAATTGTGTTCTCACATGTTTGGACCGAGTTTTGGTATTATATAAATTTTTCGACAATGTAAGCATTTCAATCACAATATATTAATGAAATTTTCAGTTATAGTCGTAGATAATCTGTTTTTAATTATTCTGCCTGTTTTCTATCGAGTAGGCTCCTGCTGATTTTCTTTTTGGCTGTACCAATACAAAATTGATGTTTTTCTTCCTAGATGGCTGTATTTATATGATCACGTTTTTTAACGGTTTCGATGAGTGAGTTTCGTTTTTAGAAAGTTGAAAGTACAAAAGTTTTTTCGAATCCAATCAATCCTTCAGATAGGCCTAAGGATATCACAAAGATTGCAGGATGTTAGCACTTGTTAATCTCAGTGGTATACACAATTTTTGGTTTTGAAGTTAATAAAACTCTTCAAAATTAACACCTAAAATGTTGTTTTGTTGAAGGTTGTCTTTAAGATACTAATGCCTTTGTCTAAAATTGGCTATTGTCCTTTCTAAAATAGATAACTGTACTTCAGAACAATGCTTTCATTAACCAAAAGGATTGATTTTGTGTAAAATTGAAATAATAGTAGCTTTAAGTTAACAAGTACTTTCCATTAGGTGGTGTTGATTTCTGTGACTATCTCTTATAAACAAATTAATTTTTAAGTCCACTGGAAGGAATTATGGCTAAATTTTAAACTGAAAAGAAATCAGTTGAATCATCAAAAAAGGTAAAATATTGCAGAATGTTTTAGGATCTTTACAATGTTATTCTGATTTTTGAACAATTTTGTCAAACTTTTGAATGTAGTTTGTTAAAAGTCTAAGAATTGTGAAAGATAATGTAATTCTGTCAATTATTGATAGAAAGATTTTTTAAAAATCAGCTTTCATAAAATGAGACAGTGGAATATGGAATACCTCAAGGAATTCAATTAGATTAGTTATCAACTTATATAGTATGGTATCAACTTATAGCCAAAGGTCTTGGGTTCGAATCCTGCTTGTGATACTTTTTCATTTCAATCAAGGCCTTACATGAAAAGATTAATTAAATGAAAGAAATAATAATAAAAATAGTACTGTATTTGTTATAATACAGAAATATAAAATAGAATAACTACATTATAAGACAATATGGCATGGAAAATTCCATCTAATTAATTAAAATTACCAGAGGTGAATGAAAATTTATAAAAAAAATGCAAATAAAAAAAAATTAAAGAACATGAAAGTAAAGAAAAAAAAAAAAAAACCGAAATCAAATTTTACCACATTTTAAACATTAAATATTTAGTTCTTTAACACAAATATAATAAGAGACTATTAGCCACTAGCCGATTGGTCAGCTTGAAAGACTCGGCTCACTGACCCCGCAGTCGTGTGTTCGATTCCCAGTTACCCTGGCTCTGTTTTTTATGCAACCCCCTCCCCCAACAAAAAGAATACTTATCATATATGAATCACATTCATCGGCTAATAAGCCATAACATAAATATACGTGTATGTATGCAATATTTTTTTACAAGTGGGGTCGAGTCAGAGTTTAACCTTGGACCTTAATATTTCTTTCGATTTAAAGAAAATGTTTCAAAAAGAAGTTCAACATTACTAAAGATTTATAGCGTTTTGGAGGAACAAAGCATGATGGTAGAATACTACAGGTTAAATCAAATTATAAAATAATTATATATTACATATTACAACAGAGGTTTGACGCAACATATTTGAATAAATGTACAATTTATGTTGGCACGTTCACACATATGTGAATTAAGCCCTTGATGAAAGTTAATAATTATATTTAAAAAAAAGTTCTAAATATTTATAATTATTGGTGTGAATCGCACTAATACAATAACAATTATGAACCAACTCCGTATGGTTATATTACACTTGTATAAAAAGAAAAAAAAAATGGAAAAACAATTATAGTGAATCTATTTATCAGCTCCTTCCACTCCTGCTTGTGTCATCAAATCGGAGATGTTCTTTTCGAGATCATCGACCCTTGTTCCCATTTCATCTAGTGTTTCTAGCTAAGGAATATTATAAAATTATACAAATTTTATCCAGTTTTTAAATGCATGCTACTCAGCAGGTAATTAGTCATAGTTTAACAATGCACGTTCATTTTTATTTAGAAATAGAAACATAGAAGACCTCAGTGACGGAATTCATTTGAGCATCCAATTTTATTAGTCGATTCTTCTACTGTAGAGATTCAAATTTAAGCTTCATTTGCCATCGTGTGTGGTAGCTTTGTGTCTGTCACCGTGCAGACCTCAAAAAGAAAATCTCAGTTGGGAAAGTATTGTAAAGTGGCCTAACACCTCATATCCATGATATTGGTTGTTGAATGAAATGACAGAAATTTTATTGTGGGGTGATGAGAACCTGCAATTTAATAATTTCCTATTATTTTGATATGCATATCTTGCTTTGTTTGTCTGCCCAATGAAGACAGACCTTCCAACCGATGATGGTGGTATAACATGTTAGACAGACTAAAGAAATGAAATAGTTACACCAGGATGATTGGAGTTGATTAACTACATCTCACAATTTGGGTAGTGTTTATTATTGTCACAAATAGAATGAAGTTGGATGGGTGTGGGGTCATCATAATATTCCATATTTGGAGCATTAGGTTGCAAATTTTCCTTTGGTATAAAAATATCATAAAGGTTTGGATTGTGTGATATTCTTGTGCTCTACCAGTCAAATACTTAAGACTGTACCTAGACAACAGACTGACATGGAATCCCACACAAGACTTAAAAGACAACAACTGAACAGAAGACTTGGACAACTACGGAGACTTCTAGGACTGAAATATGCCTTGACCGTCAACACTAAACTAACATAATGCAAAACTTTCCAACCAATATGGACATACAGAATAGACTGTGGGGCTCTACCAAGCCAGCCAACATCCAGCGCATTCAATCCTTCCAATCAAAGTCCTCAAATTGTCAATGCTCCTTACTACACCACTAACCTCACTATACACGACTTCAACATTTTTTTTAATCAATGAACTGATCGTTTTTCACACCAAACCCTTTCTACATATTCCCATAGAACCCACTACATTGCCTTATTCGACAATTGTTTCCTTGCCCCTTAATCTCTCATGCTGAGTGCCACCATTGGCTGAGTTCTCATGGCATGTGTCCTCGTTGTGTAGCACTGGCACTAGTGTTAGTACTCTGAATGTGTGCAAAAAGTATTATGATCACATTTGTAATGTGTAATAATATGTATAGGGTACAAATAAAATAATATTGAAAATTTATTTTGAAAAAGCGATTGAAAAGGGCTGTTTCAGTTGGCAGAATTTACAAGCCAATTGCTTGGCAGACTTTTTACTGAAAGATATCTTAATAATGATTATTTAGAGATCGTGAGATGCAGTCTGGTGTGATGTGGGTTTAGAAAAACATTTTCTTTATCACACCAACGTTTCGATCTACTAAGATCATCTTCAGGACTCAAAATGTGTGTTTTCTGTGTAGATGTGTCATTTTTGTGTGTCCTGTTGAGGATATCTTAGCACATATCTTAATAATGTGAGGTGTTTAGTGACCATTAGTCAATGATTATTTGGAGATTGTGAGATGCGGTTTGGAGTGACATAGGTTTTAGAAAAAACATTTTCTTTATCGTGCCAACGTTTCGATCTTTATTGAGATCATCTTCAGGGCCTGGGATTTATAAAAATTGTTTAAATTTTACAAATACATGTAGGATGTGAAAAAAAACCATGTTGGCATGATAAAGAAAATGTTTTTCTAAAACCTACATCACACCAGACTGCATCTCACAATCTCCAAATAATTATCTTAATAATGTTCATCTTCAGGTAAACAAAGCATTCGCGCAATTTATAATCGTCCTTTATATAGATAATTATCACGTGTAAAGTATTATTTTTCTAATAATTGACTATTATAAAACTAGTGGTGTTAGTTATGTCGATTTTAAACTTGTTTACAACCGCACGTTATACATTTTGAAGACTGTGAAATGGTAAGTTGTCATGTATTCAACATATTTAAGCATACAAATTGAACAAATAAGAGATAAAGTAAAAAAAAGGATATTTCTTGTAGTAATTTGATCTGACATCGTTTGGAATTTATCCTGCGTTTGTTGCAGCAGATTTTGTATCTGAAATCAAATTTTTATTTTAAATTGAAGCGTTCGGAATCGCCAATTTAATTAAAAATAAATTATATAAATTGAAAAATAAATAAATAAGTTGAAATAATAAAAATAAAAGAAGGTTACATTGCAGATAAAGAAACAAAGTTAAATAATATATGTGCTAAAACAGCTACTTACATATTGTGTCAGTTCTTGTATATTTTTAGGATCACTATGGGTACCTACTACATAATTTTGTTGTTCGTCTGGTTTAACTTCTTGTTTTAAATCTGCCATAATTTTTGTGTTTTGAACAAAAACTTTTCCCTTCCAATAATCACGATCTTCGAGCTCCTGTTTACTCTCAGCCACGTCAATCGGCCAGCGAGATTTCCCTCTCTGCCCTAGAAAGCTTTTTTGCTTCTGGAAAAAAGCAAAGAAATAATTTAAATTAAATATAAAAGATAATTGAATGAAAATTCATTTTCAACGTTTCCTAACATTGCCATTCTTTCAGTATAAAGTTGGTCATCTTTGTACACAAATTTGGCGCCATTTTTGAATTTTTTTAAAACACTCCCTTTGACCAACATTAATTGAAACTAATTAATGTAATTTTGTTGGAATTTTTCTAATATAAATTACAAAATCATGTAGAGTTTAATCTGATCAAATTAGACACGCCTTTTGTTTCTCAACAACAATAATTTATTCGAGGGTAAAGACCGACATTCCTTATGTAACAAACAAAAGAAATGAATAACTAATCAAAATAGATAAATTTACACTTTGAAATTTAGTGTTTGGTTCTCTTCATACATCATAATTTTATTACCGAATTTATTTATGACAGTGTTACTCTTTCAGTACAAAGTTTTGACTTTGACTACCATCTTTTGAAATTAATTAAGGTAATATTGTTGGAATTGATCTAAAATACACTGATGGATAAAATAAACACTTCATCCTTAAATTTTACTGTATTTAGGTTTATTCAGCTTTACACACCAAAAATAGGTTTGGTTGTAAAAATAAGACATTAAAAAAAATTAATGCTAAAAATTATTGAGTAAAAAATATACAAGCAGACAATTAAAAATATAAAAAACTTTTTTGTCCTCTTTAATACCGAGTTTTCCACCTCTGGCACGAATCACTTCAGTTAAACGCCTTTTACACTTCTGGGATTAGATTTCTGGTAATCTATCCCATTCATCAAGAAAGGCCGTTTTCAACTCTTCTAGGGTTTTGGACTTGGGTTTCACCGTCGTGCTCGTAGCTTAAGTTGGTCCCAAATGTGTTCGATCGGGTTCAAATCTGGAATTTGGGCTGGCCATACCAAGGACATAAATTCTAACATCATTCCGGTAGTCATGCATAATGGAATGGGGCCTGGGATAATCCTGCATTTGCAAGAATCTCCCACCGATATGGGGGGCAAATGGCACTACATGTTCTTCGATTATGTCTTGCGATGTTAGAGATCTTCCTCGCACAACAACCAATTCGGAGCGGGCGTCCTAGGAATGCCACCCCCGAACATCAATGACCCCACCGTGGTATACCACCTGAGGAACCGTACAGCATGGACTCGTCCGCAATATTCCAATGTCCAGTTCACTTGTACCCATGCGAATTGAAGCCTGACCATTTTCTGAGCTGTGGTAAGGAAAGGTCCACGAGCCGGGTGCCTAAGGTTATTTTCATTGAGCCTTCTTCTTACAGTTCTGGAGGAAATTGAAACATTTCGGATTTGTTATCTCATTTCCCGTAATGGTGCGGTTTCGTAGAGCCCGATGACGGTTGAACCTATCGTCTCTCTGGTCAGTAAACCTAGGATGACCCTACCCTAGCCTTCTAGTGTGAACCCCTGTTTCCCTGAAGCGCGGAAGAACTCTTCCTATGGAAAAGGTGATTCGCTCTGGCTGTATCTTTTCTCTGATAATGTTATGATCCTTGCACTGTCATACTCAAATGCCTGACTGGAGGCATTGAAAAAGGCTTAAGAATAACAGTAATATTAAACGAAATCAACGAAGGAAAAAGATTAACTGAAAGCGATCTTCAGCCGTAGCAGAATGGAAGGGCAAAATGCTACTTTTTATGCAAACGGGATTAATCAGTTCAAAAGTAAATAAGAGAAGTAAACAAAGCATTTCCTGTTTATTTTGACTACGATAATTATCTGTAACTAATGTGGAAAGATAATGGATTTAATTTTAAACTAAATAAATTCAGTGGTGCGTTAAATTTTTCCATCAGTGTATTTCCAATTTCCAGCAAAATAAAGTAGATATTAATATGATAATCATATAAGACAACCTGTTTTTTTCTCAAACATTGATTTATTCATTAAAAAGACTGACATTCCTTCAGTAAAAAATAAAATAAATGAATAAGTAATCGAAATAGACGTATTGATAAATATTAAAACATATTCATAATTGTCCGGTTCATTTTACACATTCGGATTTGATTACCTGATTTATTTATGACATTGTTATTCTTTCAGTGCAAAGTTGGTCATCTTTGTACAAAAATTTGGCGCTATTTTTAAATTTTTAATACACTTTTCCCTCGACTAACGTCTATCCAAATTACTTAATGTAATATTGTTGGAACTTCTCTAAAATATTTCCATTTTACAACAAAATCATGTAGAGTTTAATCTGATCGAATAAGACACGACATTTGTTTCTCAACAACAATAATTTATTCACGAGTAAAGACCGACATTCTTTATGTAACAAACAAAAGAAATGAATAACTAATCAAAACAGACCTATGGATAAATTTACAACTTAAAATTTAAGTGTTTGGTTCACTTCACACAGCTTAATTTTATTACAGAATGACACTATGGCATTGTTATTCTTCCAGTAAAAAGTTTATTATCTTTGTACACAAACTATTAAATTTAAAAAAAATCTTTATGATTTTCTAGTTCACTTCACACAGTTGTATTTTATTACCTTATATATTTATATGCACTTAGTGTTATATATTTAAAGATGACCATTTAGGTACTTCAACCGATCTTAAACTTTATAATCAAGCACATAAATCAATTTAAAGTCTTTTTTTCTATATACGATTATACGGGGATTAAAGTAATGTACTGTTTTTTAAGCTGTCAACTGATCGATTGCTACTGATTAAAATAAAAAAACAATACAGGGCTATAAGGATGAGACATATTAAATTCTCATAAGTAATTAATCCTAATCCTATTAGGATTAATAAATAAAGGGAAAAAATTAATTTAACGTTAAAAAAATCCTAAAAACAATGATTTTGGACGAAATGAAAATAGTTTTTGCATATGGTTCGTAATAAAACTGCGCTTTGTTTTGGTTTGTCACTTTATTCTTCGATAAATACTTAAATTTTTTATTGTCTCTAAGCTGAGTTATAGTTGATTTTGGCATAATAAAAAATAGTCTCTCATTAATGACACTCATTAAAAATTCATGTGTAGTGCCAGTATTCAATTGCAAGTTGAAAAGTCAATTGTTCTATATTTAAATACACTGACAGGCAAAAAATTCCACCCACTTGTAATATAACTTGATTTGTATATATTTTTATGTATTAATCAAAGTTTCACGTTTTTTAACGTTTAATGATTGAGTCTTTGTCTAAAAAAGTAAAAAAAAAATGTATATTGCTAAGGAAAATTAAAAAAAAGACGGACAGAAATTTTTAATTAACATTTCAATATCGCGTATTTTCTCCTCTTGCCTTAATTACATCTCGAAGACACCTCGGAACTTTCTATTTTTCTACCAAGCTGGAAGACAAGATCGTGAATTGTATGGTGGATGTGAAGTGATGGACGTGCTCTTATTCGTCTTTTGAGGTTATCCCATAAATGTTCGATGGGGTTCAAGTCTGGAGAACGGGCTGGCCAGGCTAAAACCCTGATGTTATGCTGTTGAAGGTACGTTTGTACTATGCGAGCAACATGTGGACGGGCATTATCGTGCATTAGAATAGGATTGTCGCTGATTTCATCGAGGATAGGCAACGCATGAAGTTCCAAAATTTCATCCACAAAGCGAGTGGCCGTCAAAGACCCTCCACGAACAACAACTCTGTGAGACTCTCCATCGACATTTCCACCCACACCATCACTGAAAAGGTTGGCTCCAGGAAAAATTACAGGCTTCGTATTTCATTTCTCCTTCTCCACACTCTTTCACGCCCATCTGGAGATCGTAGAGTAAATCAACGCTTATCTGTAAAAAGTACACCAGACCAATCGTCCAAAGACCAATGGCCGCGTTCTCGAGCAAATGGGAGCCGTGCAACTCTGTGTGTTCTGGTCAATTGTGGTCCTCTTACGGAGCGAAAAGCCATCAGTCCATACTGATTTAATCTTGTTCGAACAGTGCGTTCAGAAATTTGGACACCTCGACTTCCTGGAGCTGATGAATTCCTTGAACAACAGTAAGGTGCCAGTTTCGCAAAATTCTCAGTCAAAAAACGTCAAAATTTTATGGTTCGACCCTAGTACGTCCAAACCGGGCCTTCTATGGTAGGACTCAGTTTCTCGAAAACGGTATTTCTTAGGGAACTCCGATGGCAACTGCCGCATACCTGATGGAACGTCCATCATCAATAAGTGCCACACCACGCGCAACATCCTCAGCACTAATTGGCATTTTTAAGTTTAAAAATTGAATTAAAAAAAACAAAGATGAAAACTAAATGATTGCTTCAGAAATCAAATGAGATTGAATAAACATTTTAAATTACGTAAAAAGCAAACATTGAAAAATCTTTTATTCTTGTTTTGGATTAAGGGTTAAGAATATTTACCTCTAATTGATATTCCCAATTTAAAACTTAGCATAAATATTTATTGGAAAAACAATGAGACAAATTAAAGTTTTTTTAAAAGAGAGTAACACTAACGTTCTGTGAAAATATAGCAGGATTTTCTTTTTAAGAAAAATTTGTAATCAGTAACCTTTTTATATTCAGCATGAAGTTACGGTATTGTTTATTGAAAAATACTCCTTTCTTTTTCAAGAATTCTTCCATCAGTTTTTTTTTTAATCTTTCGGGACAACAAATCCCTGTTCAATCTTTTGTCCTGTTTGTCCTTTCTCCCAAGATCTGCCACGAAGAACAAAAGAAAAAATGGTGGAAGAATTCGAGAAAAAGAAAGTACTAATAAATTTTTATTTAGATAATTACGTTTTGCTAATTCCATTGAATAATTTTATTTTAGAAAACAATTTTATTACAATTTGGCCCCACATAATTGTTAACGAGTAAGTAAATTTTTATTTTTGAGAAAAAGAAGACTGCCAAGCAAGACATGGTTACAGGTATCATTTATTTAGGCTTTGATTTGCCAGATTTGCAGGAGAAAAATTGATCTATTAAGAAAGCACATTACCAACTACTGGGCATTGATTTAAGATGGTATGCTGTTCTAACTACAGCTGAAAAACCTGCTGCCGGTATTACCACTCACAAAAGCACAAATAAGATGATATTTTAGTGCAATCAGAAGTGGTGGGATTTAGAAGCTATTAGTTTGGACATGAAAAAAAATAGCATTCATATCAAAATATTAAGGACTGTTAAGGCATAAGTAGAAAGCTACGAGCAACTAGAAGAATGGCAAAGTCTGTGGGGTTAAGAGTAAATTATAAGGCACCTAAGTATACGCTAGTTTCAACGTTTAATAACAGAATATGTCAGTCAAATACTGTTGAAATAAATGGGAAAAAGATTGAAAATGTAAACACATTTGGGTGCCATATACCCAAAGCAGCGAGAGGTACAAAATTTAGAAAAAGAAGGATTAGCTGCAGATAGCGGATGCTTGTTGAATCGGTTTATGAAGTCCAATTCCATTTCACGCAATCATAAATTCTGAATTTATAAAACCATATATCCGTCCAGTACGCGACCGAAACATAGATACTTAGAGCTACTGCGACACAATTAGAATTTGGAATAGAAAAATACTGAGAAGAATATTTGGCCCTAAATTGGAAAAAGTAGCTTGGAAAATAAAAGCAAACAGAGAGCCTAGTGAGGTATACTCATAGCCAGACTAAGTGGCGGAAATTAATGGGAAAAGGCTAGATTGGTTGGGCATTGAAAGAATGGATATGAGAATTTGACCGAGAACAAATTGTATAGAATTAGACCAGAAGGAAGGAGGAAAGTACGTAGACCGAAGAGAAAAAGGTTAAAGGAGGTGGAAGAGGATTGGAGGAAGGTAGTGAAAGAAGCTGGAGAATGAAAGCACACGAAAACGATGAATGGAGGAAAATTACTCAGCAAGCCAATGTCCTTCAAGGACTGTAGCGAGAAAAAATGGCAAAAAAGGCGCTTGTAGACGTCGAATTAACGGCATAACTACTAAACTTAGGAGATGTAAGGCTTGAACGATAGTACGACTTCTGATTACAAACTCCGGAGCCGTATGTATAAACGTGGAGCAGCAGAAACAACCCTATGAAGAACTTTTGAAATTGCCAGGAAGAAGAAGAAACAGCAGAACATGTCTTATGTTGGTGTGAAGGCCTCGGAAGGCTGAGATTCTTACTCCTGGGAGAGGAAATACCAAGACCTGAAAGATCATGATAGAACATTGGGTTCTATTAAAAAGCAGAACGAATAGCTCTAGATAATGATGAAGATGGACAATAGACCAATATTGATCGGGATGCGTAAGGTCATTATCATTCCTAATAATGTATACATATTATAAATTAATGGTGAGAGATGGCAAATTAGTTCTGTTTACAACTATACAAAAGAAAAAAAATGATAGAATCAATCAAATGAAAAAAATCTCTTCCCGAATTCTTATCCAAATTATATTACAATTTTTTTTTACAAAAACAACAGAACCCAGAGGTTTGATATGACCTCTGCTGTGCAAACCCCCGAAACTGTACCGTGGTATATACTACACACAACATGTAGAAAATGCAACTTTTAAGGAGATAATTTTAATGTGTTCAGGAACAGAAGATCATGCTTTTCCCGATTAATTGCATAAACGGAACCATTTATTTCTCACAACAACATACCTCATAACAAATTTCTCTCTAGCCTTCTTGAAATGCTGAAGAGCCAACCAATCCTCGCCGTGAAAAATTGGACAAAACCTTGGATGAAATCTCGTTGGTCCCTGATTATCCGTGCCAGACGGACATTTCACAATCAACAATGGTTGCTGTGATTACCGTGTTGCTTTTGCCAATTTTATAAGCAAGCTCTCGTTCCAGATTGGGTCTTCTAACGGATTTCGTAAAAGAGCGAGAACAGGCGGACCGGATGACCACACGCCTTTTGAAGAAGTAAAGAAAGCATAGAACGGAATGAAATCCCACAAAATATTATTTATTCGAATACACAGATAAAATATCATTTTTTTCATTATGTTCTCCCAGTAAGGAGTCCGAACAATTGTTGCTGGGATTACCGCAAATTCGGATTACAGAGAGTGTTAAAAAAAATACATACATATGCACAAAAAAACCATTTTAATATAACACTATACTCACTATTACTCTATACTCAAAACCTATTAGGGTACATATATATGATCAATTTTTCTTTAAAAAATAATTTTAAAAATCTATCTCACACATACTCACCTTCTCTCTGTGTCACACTCACTTATTCTCTTAATCTCTCTCTCTCTATCTATCTACATTAAAAATATTCCTCTCGACAGAATTCTGCCTTCCGTCAATAATTATCTTTATCTTCCTGTTTAATTATTCTCTCTCTCTCTCTCTCTCTCTCTCTCTCTCTCACTCTCTCACTACTCATTTACGTAGTCTCTCTCATTCGCTTAATACTCTCTCTCTCTCATCATTTTACAAGTTCGCAAACAAGTTGCATGTGGAGAAAGAGAGAGTGAGTGAGTGAGTGAGTGAGTGAGTGAGTGAGTGAGTGAGTGAGTGAGTGAGTGAGTGAGTGAGTGAGTGAGTGAGTGAGGGAGTGAGTGAGTGAGGGAGTGAGTGAGTGAGTGAGTGAGTGAGTGAGTGAGTGAGTGAGTGAGTGAGTGAGTGAGTGAGTGAGTGAGTGAGTGAGTGAGTGAGTGAGTGAGTGNAGAGAGAGAGAGAGAGAGAGAGAGAGAGAGAGAGAGAGAGAGAGAGAGAGAGAGAGAGAGAGAGAGAGAGAGAGATTAGGAACAATTATTGACGGAAGGCAGAATTCTGGTCAATCAACTGGGTTCAGAAATGTTGATTCGGCTAGGTAACAGTTAATTATAGTAATTAATTATTTTGTAAAGAATAATAAATTAGTATGTCACAAAGTTCTAGCTAAAAATACAAATTGTATTGTTGACTACATTCTACAAATAAGATACTGTTTAATAAAATCGCTGTAACAAAAATCATCACGTCAATATTTTATTACGATTGCACTGCAATTAGACACTATGCCTATATATTTAATTTCAACTTATCTCTTTTTCCTATCTGTGCTTAGTCATTGAAGCAAAATTCATGTTAAGAAGATAAACTGGAATAGAAAATATTGAAAGTATCGGACAAGGCGAAAAATAAAAGTTGTTTTTTTATCTACCCTTGATAGTCGTTATACATTGTTTTTTTGTATAAGGGAAGTATTTTTATGGAAAGATTATCAACAATGACCTCATGATGTTGTATTATATCAGTGTTTTTATGAGTTCATACACTTCCACACCATCTAAAAATTTAACTACATCGTTTCGACGATGCCTTGGTCAGGCATTCTGGTTCATCTCACTATTCAAATTTTCAAAAGAAAGTTTTTATTGAATTTAATAGTGGGTTAGTTATGAATTATAAAATACGTTAAAAATTTGTTATTTGCATTGATTTGATCTGTGTCAAGTTCTCATGGGTTGTAAAGCCAATTTACAGACATCAATAAAACACCTCCCACCAAGCTGCAATTGAGGTCATTTTTATCCATTTACGTCCTCCCAGTCGGTTCTGAACAGCAAAACATTTAAATGACCGTACTTGCCTCACATCGAAAATTGGTACTCGGCAGAAGGCTTAATGTCTTAATTATTATTTAAGGAAAAGATGGACATGGATTATCCGTATTTGAAATGTCATCGTGTATACTCGAGATAAAACAATTGCTAAACGACTAAATCAGTTTTTTTATCTCTCGATAAGAATAAAAGGAGTAGAAGAGGATAGTAAGATAAGAGTTGTATTTAGTTGGTCGTTCGGTTCCGAGGCGGCAAGACATAAACAACCGGCCAGGCGTGTACTAAAGGCGAAAGGATACCATGAGACACATCGCATTTATCCTTCTGCCCGTTTTAACGATTCTTTCCCTCTGGCAGACGTCGAACGGTTCGAAGAACGTACCACCAATCATTTTCGGTAAGGCTCAAACTCAAAATTTAACCAAATTGCGCCGTTTTGTCGGGGGAGGAATTAAAATAGTGCACTGTTATGGGGGGTAGTTCCAGGAGACGGAGGCAGCCAGCTAGAAGCCAAGCTGAATAAGACAAGCACTGTGCATTACATATGTCAAAAAACGACGCCAGATTATTTTAGCTTGTGGCTCAACATCGAACTTCTTGTTCCTGTCGTGATCGACTGTTTCGTAAGTAAATAAATTGCAATAAAATTTCTCTGTCACCCTCTCTCACATTAAAATTAAGAAGCACATATAAACTAATTAATTTTTACTTTAAAGACACATCACCTATTGCTTGGTTTAGTACGAGCCAAATATAGTATTCTGTGGAAATTGGTGTTACTTAATTAAATAACACCAGTATTTTTTCTCTTAAATAAAATGAATGCATTTCAGTGTAATTGCAACCCCTATTCTTCTGATGATGTTTTTGGCTTACACTCCTTTTAATAAAGAGAAAAAAATGCTGTACTTCTTAAATAAAGAAACACTAACGTCCACGGATGAATAGAAACCAGTTAAAAAAGAAATCTAGTTTTCTAGTTCTAAAAAAAGAAAAAAAATTAAGGAATTGACGCAGGCTTACATGTTTATATTACAAAACGGGCCATAAAAGGCAAGAAACACGCGTCCTAAGAAAACAAGATATAGATTAAAAGTCAAAATAAAACAATAGTTAGTTACGTAGAAAGGCAAATAAACAAATATCATTTATATCGATTATTTTACAGATTGATATTGCTTTTGATACAATAATTTATGGGCTGAATTGAGAACACGCCATGAGTTTTTGTCCCCACTAATTTTTACTGTTGCCGAAAATTTTTCTTATTTTCAACTCGAATCTCTAAAGAAATTAGAGACGGAAAAATATTTCAAAGCTTTTTACGATTTTGTCCAAAAATTTATATGAAAAACATATTTTTTATGTAACAAATTATAAAAATGATTTAGACTTCAAAAGAAAAAAAAAAAAAAAAAACCCTATCTTTTCATTATTCGGTTTACTTAATAGCAAAAAAGGGATAATCCAGAGGTCATGGATAAGATAATTTATAAATGGAGTTTCATACTGAATGTAACTTTCTCTAGTTATTTATTGGATAAACAATATTATTTTAGAGTGGGATAAAACTATTAAAAATATTTAAAAAATCAAAGCATTTATATTTTGTTTAAATTTATTTTTATTACAATGAAAACTATTAATTACTGTCATTTTTAGATTGATAATATTAAACTAGTGTACAACAATGAAACAAGAAAAACGACAAACCAACCTGGAGTCGATATAAGAGTGCCTAATTTTGGAGATCCTTTCTCGGTAGAATGGCTGGACCCGACTAAGCTCTCGCCTGGTGCTTACTTCAAAGATATCGGAAACGCTCTTGTCGAGATGGGCTATGAGAGAAATGTCAGTATTAAAGGAGCGCCTTTTGACTTCAGGAAAGGACCGAGTGAGTCTTATTCGAATGAGTCGGTCGTGGAGCAATATATAAAAAGCCTCTGATCAATAAACAGCGTTTCTATAGCAGAATCTAAACAGCTCTAGTAGATCAATTAACAATTTTTTTTAGAAGTGCTTTATTTTATATTATTTAAATTATTATATATGAAATTTTAAATTTCATTAAAATAAAAAACAAAATATTTATGAATAATTTATCATAATACTTAATATTCAAACTTTTATACAAAATTGGCAATAGAAAAATTAATGTTTGTAATTTTATAGGTGAGAGCTTGGAATATTTTGCCAATCTAAAAAAACTTGTAGAAGAGACTTATGACCAAAATAACAATACAAAGGTCATTCTGTTAGTGCACAGCATGGGAGGGCCGATGAGTGTTCTGTTTTGTCAGATGCAAACACAAGCTTGGAAAGACAAGTATATACGTGCCATTGTTTCACTTTCAGGAGCTTTTGCTGGTGCTGTTAAAGCTTTAAAAGTTTTTGTTATGGGTATATAACACATATAACTACTTAATAGTTGAGAAAAGCATAAGTTTTGTTGTATTACAGGTGATGATTTAGGAGTGTTTGTTTTAAACCAAAGTGTATTGAAAGAGATGCAGATAACCCTGCCCAGCCTTGCCTGGCTCATGCCAAATCCTCTTTTCTGGAAACCAGATGAAATATTAGTACACACGGCATCTAAGAACTATTCACTTTCTAACATACGGGAGTTTTTTGAGTAATGTTTGTTTTTTTATTAAACAAAAGTAACTTGAAAACTGATAACATTAATTTACATGTAGAGATATAGATTATATGACAGCTTGGGAAATGAGACAGGATCAAGCTCCATACATAAAGTTTGACGCTCCTGGAGTAGAGATTCATTGCCTCCACGGATATGGTGTTCACACCCTTGAAAAGTACTAATGCCATTTGCTTTTCATACCATTACAAAAGTAATTTTGTCATTATTATAATTTTAGGCTAATGTACAAAGAGGGCAAGTTTCCTGAAAGTCCCTCTTTTAAATATGGAGACGGAGATGGCACAGTGAACAAGAGAAGCCTTGAGTCGTGTACATACTGGGCTGGCAGACAGAAACAGAAAGTTTTTCATCGTAAATTCTTGAGTGTTGACCATATGCAAATACTGAGAGAAGGGCAAGTCCTCGAATATATCTTAGGCCTTGTGAAAAAGATACAAAGTGAGAGTTAATATTTTGTAAATGAAAATATAAAAAATTGTCAAATTATATTCAATGAACATTAATGAATTGTGGATTTTTTAATTAATTAGAAAAAATCAAAATAAACTCCTAAAAGCTCTCTCCTCTTATTACCTGTAAAAATCAGTATGGTATGCAGTTGGGTGATTCTTACTAATTTAAATATATTTGGTGTACCCTAAGCATGCATCATTTATGGTTAAATTGTGCAAGTTTACTTATACCAATTTCATTAGATTTTGTAATTTTGTACATAACAGTGTAAAAAGAAAATGTGTACATAAGAGTTTTTTTAACTTATGAGATTTAATTTGTGATACATTTTTAGTAAAATAACAAAACATAAAGTACTTTGTATATATTTCTTTAAAAATAGAAGTAATTTAATTTATTATTCTTATTGATCGTTATAAACCATTAAATATGTTCGTATATCATTTATAAAACATTATTTTTAGTGGGTTTTTGTAATTGTTGTAATAAATTGATTTGTTCTATTGATAGGCTAGTAGTATAAAATTGAGTTGGTTTTATATGTTTTATATGTTTATTACCATATATATATATATATATATTTTAAAACATTTTGTTTAAACTTTTGTTTAATTTTGTATCATTTTAACAAAGTAAATAAAAACTACAATTTTAAAAATAGTAAATAAATATATGTACAATTGAAATGACTTGAATTGGATAATAATGATTGCTAATTATTATTAATATATAATTTAACAGTAAAAACTGTATTTTCATGGATATAGAATAAAATATTTTTACATTGTTTCATTACACATTTTCTAGCTTTACTACCCTGTAAAATTACTTAATGTAACTTGCGCATAAATCTCATGACCGTTTATGAGACTATCTGAATTGATCGAGCCTGAGCTTTCCAGTAGAAAAACAGTCGTGCCATGCAACATTGCATGTTGTATTATAGTCGAACCAAAGGCTGGTACAGTCTTGCGCTAACAGGCAGGATTCACTTAATGTCGGTTTAGAGAAGTAAAAACAAATCAATAGACATCAAAATGACTGTATTTCCAATTAAATAATAATATAACATACATGTATAAAATAATAAACTAATAACACCAAGCTATATAATAAAAGCTATAACAATGACAGGTTTTTATATAAACAAATCTTTGGTAACTATAATCGCATGAGGAATGACATAACTAATAATTATTTAATTTTTTAACAATTAAAGGGTTGTTAATAAATATTTGGGAGAGAAAAATCTTTATCAGATGGAAATTTCAACGATTAAAATATTTAATTGTGTAAAAACGTGCTATTCAGTTTTAGATTAGTTTGTCATTCAGTCTTAACTTTCTACAAAAATGTTTATAAATCCAGGTTCACAAATAAAAATGAATTGTGGTGTTACTTTTCCTTTTGGCAAAAAATATTGGAAATATATAACAAGAGAGAAAAGAAAAACATATTAATTCTAAACACTGTTTCTGATATATATAATTTTTTATATATAGGTTAAGTTTGTTACAAAATTTATTACGCTTCCAATTAACGATAGAAAAAGTATTTACCTTGATAATAGAAAATTGCAAATTATAATAATTTTTGATACTAGTGAGCTAATTCTAACAAGTTAAGTTTAACTTAAGTTTTAAACAGCTGTAAAATGTTCATTATTCTGAATATAATAGCTGTTTGTATTTTTTACTCAAGTACAAATTTAAGAATTGGAATTTGATCATGGAACTTATGAAATTATATTTAAAGGAATTTTAAGCTATTCACACCATTACATACTAACTAATCCCTGAACTTTTAGCCATTTATTCTACATAGTTACTTTGTTGCAATCGGACCAGTCATTAAAGAAACAGTGTGTGCAAATTAAAATCCTTCGGCTTAAAAGTTTTCTGCATAAAATGCAAAGCTGTATACAATTCTATGAACGTTATTTTTTTTCTCTCTCTTAATGATTTGAAATTTAAGTTATTACCTTTACTCATATCTTATTTTTTAATCTTATTATTTCTATGTCTCTTTATGAAAGGAATGGATACATTTTATTATACCTTTTTTGTTCCGCTTCTCAGGACCCTGTAAATTATTTATGTTTTCATGGCTTTGGTATGTGAACGATACGATATCTTTCGAAAGTGAGGACCCAATTGAGGGGGAGGGCCCCCGAAATTGTGTACTATCTCACATGAGGATTGACATCCCCCTTCAGGTATGCAAAAATGCCCATAGCAACAGTTACAGCCAAAAGGACAAACTGGGCTCGTGAATTTGGCAGTAGCCTTTGGAAATATGCTTCAAAGCGTCTGGGAAATATGTGACCACGGTGTTTGGCAAGCCTTTTATGCCTTGCCTCTTCCTCGGCTTTCCTCTCTTCCAGCCTTTAACAAAATTATTATTTGTTATAATCATACAAGGGAAAAAAATAACCAAAAATGCAATTTTGTATATCTATTCTTTTTGACTCTTAACTGATTTAATAATTGAACAAATCTAGAGAGAAAAGAGATTTATCTCAATTTTAGATTTTCTTTTAGGATTATTGGTAAAGTATGAAGTGTGTTTTTAGAAACAAAACTCTTTCAAAATAATAATAATGAAGATATGACAGCTTAAACGCTAATTGTTTCTTAAAAAATACTCACTCTTTTTTGGCTCTTTCCAGAACTTCAACTTCCACTTCTTCAGGTGGAAACTCATTATACAAATTCACAGCATTTCTGATAAGGATTTCAAAGGGCAAATCATCCGGCAACTAAAAGAGGAAATATTTTATATACTCACGACTGAACAATTTGTTATTCCAACTTACCTGAGAAAGAAAGCAATGGATACTAGCCATATCACAGTCTTGAGCAAGTAAATCCTTTTCTCTGTACACGACAATAGCCGCAGCAAGGTATAATGACATCATCGGGGGAGATGCCAAGAAGAAGTCGTAAAGCCTTACGACATCTTTGTAATGATTAAGTGAATGGCCAAACCACGTGAGGAACCAAGGAAGACAAAACATCGTTCCTGCTCCGGATCTTTAACAAAAGACAATTTATATAAAACTGGCTAAACTGAAAAATGGCAAAAAGGAGGGAAAATTCAAAAGGTGGGGTTGAGATGGGAAGTTAGCGTCTGAGTGGATCGAAGTCACGATAGCTCAAGTGGTAGAGTAGCGGCATATCTAGCTGAAGGTCGTGGGTTCGAATCCCACTCGTGACGCTTACTTTTTTATCTCAACTCAAAACCTTAATTAATTGAATGATATTAATTGGTCAAACGGACCAAGAAAACTAGTGAATTTATATAAAACTTTTCTAATGCTTTCATTTAAAGCATATTTACTTTTGAACGTGAGAGCAAACTTTTGGATTCAGTCTGTCCATTAGTGGATAAATGTAGTTGAGTAAATGTTGAGTCTTTTCCATTGTTGGTTCCATGAAATCTTTCAAATGCTCTGTGGAAAGTCGTTCCATTATTCTAAATGCCATTTCTTCACCAACAACTAGAAGAAATGTTATGGCTACATCATGATAACCCTTAAAAAAATAAAAACAAAAGAAGTAAGAATACAGTTAAATTAAGAACAATGATATGAAATTTCAATTAAACGATACCTGATAATATTTCAGATGAGGATATTTAGTAATGACTTTCAAAATTAAATCAGTAAGTTGATCTTGTAGAGCAACCCTCTGTTCGTAAGGAATGCCTGGTGGAAATCTTTTTAATGACCTATTAACATCTAACTCTACTTGGGTGAATTCACTATGACTTCGAAGGGAATCGTCGTTGGGTGACAAATTGTCAGGGTTTGGATCGATTTCTAAAAGCCTCGACCATCCTATTTTTCTTACATCATCTAAACAACAGAGAAATTTTTGAAACATTTCAATCAAATTTGTAATGGATGTAAGGACTTAATTTCTTACCACATACAAATCCACCTTTGCTCAAAGCGTATTCTCGTAACTTTTCCACTTTAACTTCATTTTTTGAAAGGTATTCAAGTATCTCGTTTGCTTTCTTTCGAAATTCTGCACTCAGAGGGCCTATAAAAAATAAATAATAAGTTTTTAATTTATTATAAAAGTACGTATAGTTTGGCTGTTGTAAAAATACAATTTTATAGATGACTTAAGTGTGAATGCTGTACAATTTTTCAATAAGTTTTATTAATGGATATTTTCCTTAATTTTTGAATTATTTGGAGATCTTTAATTTTTTTAAATTTATTTGTTGCTATTTGTACACATAAATATATATTGAACAAATAGTCTATATAATTATATACAAATTTGACAGATCTGTCAGATAAGGAGGCAATGAGGAGAGAACTGATGGAATTCTCTTTTATTTATTTGAGACGGTTAAGATACGAGGCCATTGTTGTTTTAGATTAAAAGGGTAGGATGTTGAGAAAAGAATTTGAGCTAGTGGGCTAGGGTGGAGGGATAGTTTAGAGTGGAAATTGAGGAAGTGTGTTCAGATCAGATCCTTCACAAATGGGATTTTAAGATCTTTATTGATCATTCTATTGGTGACGTAGAAGGGAGTGTTGAGTATTTTGTGGAAAACTTTGGTTTGAAAATATTGGATTCGTTGGCTATTAGAGGATTTGGCTGAGCCACATAGTTTGACTCCATAAATACAAATCAATCTGATGAGTGGTTAGTTTGCTATGTATGTATTGATTTGGTCCCAGATGGTGTCAAAGTAGTACACAGATTTTGTTTTTGGAATGCAGTTTCTAATTTTTTGAAGTTGTATGTGGGTTCTATGGGGAACGTCTGCTATCTAAGTAAAGCTCACGGACTTGTTGTATGGAATATCTTATTATTTATGTGCACTGGTGCATAGGTCTGACACTTGAGCCTAACATGACTTGTAGATTTTTTGCACAGGTGCACCAGTTAATAATGAGTTTCAGATGTTGGATTGCTTCTGTGGCTAGGGTATGTGTGCAAATAAGATTGTGGTTTTGTCCACATAGGTTGTTGGTTTGGTGTGAGGATTGGGCCTAGGAAAATTCCTTGTGGAATGCCAGCGAGGGCAGGTGTGATCATTGCTGATTTTCTCTTTAAACCATCAATTCGAAAGAAAAGTCTTCAGGATGAGATAATAGTAGGTGTAGGGGAGGATACGTTTTACCTTGTAAAGGAAACCAGGATGCCACACTCAGTCATTAGCTTTGTAGTGTGCCACAAATGAACAATTGTTCAATTTAAAAGTCATGCCAGAAGTGGAGAAATTTCTGGAATTATACAATTACAAGTTGAAAAAAATGATGTACAATTTATAGTCTTTTCAATGTAAGGATGTACCAAAAAATTGCTCACTTCTCTCATTCCATACCTGTGGTAATAATAAGACTATATCATCATCACTACTATAACCACTAGACATTGTATCGTGGTTGAATACAGTGAAACGCACTAGATATTCATTTTGCCAACGGCCAATATAAAACTGATTAATTTTTGTGTTCAAACAACAAGCAACTTGGCAATACAGTCTTCTGGAGTGATTGTATGAAGATGAAGGGTGACTTATGTTGTCCAGTCGCCCAGTCTGCTGGTTGTCAGACAGCTGGAGACCAGATCTGCCTAGCCCTGTGTGAGTACATCTTAAGATATGTAGCCCTGTAAGGCCGGCTGGACAGTTAACACCCTGATGATCTGATACATCTGACTGATCAGTCATGTAGACTTGCGTTAGTGCAAACTGTAGACACTTGGATCTGACAGTCATACACTTTCAGCCAGCATAAGAGATTACAGTTTGACCTGTTCTAAGTAAAGGTAAAAATAAAATTTTTCATGTAAAATACATGATTTTAATTTTTTTGATATGTTAACTGTACACTTTATTTAATGTATTGCATACTTTATCTGAAATGTTACAACTCGACATTCACATTTATGATTCCCAACACCACAACATTGCCATTTAACGTTGTAAAACGTAAAATCACATACATCTATTGTAAAAGGTCTTGTCATGAAAGTTGCAATAAAATTCTTTGTGTTTTCTTTAATCACCTTCTTTGAAATTAAGTTCCGTCGGTTCGGTTTCGAGAGGTTTTTCGACGAGGCTGAACCCGTTCTCTTCGTCCAATTCCATGGGGAAGTCGTCATCCATCGATTCTCTTTCCATTTTGTTCACAATCAGTGAAATGGTTAAACGTTACAAAATCAGGCACAAAATGAATGTCATTTATGACAATTTAGCCCATGAACGGAAACATTGGATTAGCTACTCATGGGATTTGTTTTTAAACGCGTTTATGCTAAAACGACTTGAAATTGAAAGGTAGGAAATGATTTTGGAAAAAAGGCGAGTAACTTGTCATTAATACCGAAATGTGAAGAAAGTGTGGAACAGCTGGCGACAGTTTGTTTTGGTAATGGTAACGTTGTTGTCCCAAGGTAAGCAAGCGTTGCTGCTGCAGCGAACTCTGCTTACGACAACAACGAAACAACGACACCGCTCACCGAAAATGGGAAAAAACGTGATTCTAGCCAAAGAAATCATACAATTTTATTAATTACTCATTTTATATATGTTTCTTTTTTAAAATTATATTATAGAAGTGTAAGTTCTTGAACAGTAGTACAGCTTAGTCTTTGTGAAATTCAAAATGTTTCGACGTCCGAACAATGTGTTTCAGTTAATTCCTCCTCATTGCATAACCTATAAATCAATCTCATCCTTGAATACACATATGTTGTGTATGTGTGCCATTCACCCCAGTTAGATACCAATAGTCAGTATATATTTCTATCCCTCCTTTGAATTTTACCCTGTTTAGCTGTAACAAGGTGTGTGCTAGTTTTGGCGAGAGTTTTTTAACCGAAAGTCACAGTGGCTGCCAATTTATCCTTTTGCTTTGTTTGAACGGATTCTGGGCCGAAACCTAGCCAATTACTTTTTGTTAACTATTGACATGTGCACATAAACATTTTTTTACCATTAGATTATTTTTCTGAACGATATTTTTCGCTTACGATGAATGATGATGTACAAAGGAAGCGAGGGTTTGATATTACCAAGCACTCTTGCCGTTTGGTTGTTTCTTTCCCTAGTTCCTTAGACTAGTTCTATTAACACAATCCTTTTAAGAAGCAAGCCATTGACTACCATTGCTGCAATTATTTTTTACAGATCATCTTATACCATAGTTATATGTGCTTCAAGCGTTTGCATTGCATTCGAATATAATATACTGTTTCTTTCTCTTCATTGCATGCTTAACCTACAAATGAACTTCAACGTTAAATGAGATGCCTATGTTGTGAGGGTGGGCCAGTCAACCCAGTCAGATGACATATTCCTTTCATTCCCTTGATTTTTCTTCGTTTAGCTGTAACAATGAGTGCGCTAGTTTTGATAACGGTTCTTCAATTGTAAGTCACAGTTTCTGGCACCTATAGACTTTGTTCATTTCTCCCTTTACTTTATCTGAACGGATTCTGAAATGGTGGATGTCTGATCATGTTATCCCGATTATAAATTTTAGGCCTGTAGTTTGGCCTGTATTTCAGGTGGAAAGGCCGAGGTGTAGTTCCCTAATGAGTTTGATTGCTCCTGGTTCAGGGTCGCTAATATATAAAGGGCTTTTTTTAATATGCGCCAGCAGGCTTTCCCTGTATTTTTGAACAGAAACAAAAAGTGACCAATGGAAACCACCCTACTAAGAGCCTACTAAAATGTAATGTAAAAATCACTGAAGTCTATTCGATGAATGAAAAACACAAAATACAATAACTTATGAGAGCATTATCGGCAAAATACTATAGGAAATCTCCAATTGATCCTCTTCTTTAATGAGATTCCTCTAACACTATTCCCCATCCACAATTCGGTAGTCGCTGTGGATTTGTATTCGAGCTACAATATTATCGATTGCCCAGTACTTCCAACATGAAGTATACAGTCGCTTTAGGACCCGAACCCTTCTGTGGCATAGGAATCCACACTATTAACGAATATCTCAGACAGAAGGACAAAAAGAAAATGAAGGAACAATGGAATTCACTCATTGGACAATCCAAGAATCTTCTAACCAATTTTGGCAAGAAAGAAATCACAGACTGTATCAAAGGAAGCAGGAACAGACTGCGAATCCTAACAGGACACTGTAGATTAAATGGACACCTAAAGAAAATTGGAACAATCCAAGATGGCACATGTAGATTCTGCAAGGAAGCAGAAAAGACACCAACACACTTACTAACAAACTGCGGAGCTACATTAGCCCGTAGGAGGAAGTGTTTTGGGATATACAATGTGACCATAGAAGAGCTTCAACCATTAAAACCGGGCCTATTAATCAAGTTTCTTGATGAAATAGGACTCACCGATGTGCTTTAGGCAGAGAACGGGAGATACAATAGCTCTCAAAAGGGCGCAGTATACCATACCCTGAAATATTACATCTACATCTACATACAGTCGCTTAATAACGTAATTGGCTTAAATATTCGAACTGGTTGGGATATGCAGATGATCCAGTTCGGTAGTCGTAAGGTACACACTTTGCCGAGCCCAGTACAGTAAGTGCGCAATTTTTACTCAACATAACAAGCAGATGACGTAAAAAGAAAAGGTTATTGATAAACACTTACAAAACCATCATGGTTCCCTTTACCAAAGAAAGGGCACTAGGAGGACTTAGGCCTTTTTTGATAAATGGAGTGAAAATAGTTTTCTCTAAAGAGGTTAAATATCTGGGAGACATCTTTGCACAGAGTGCGATTATTGTACCATGGTACGCAGAATGCCAACGAAGAATGTGGTCAAGGAAAGTTCGTTGATGACACATTTCGTGACATACCAAACTGCCAAAAACTGGACCTCAGCTGGTCGATCGAGTTCTATAATGAAAGCACATAAGAAATTTAAACTACCTCTATATTTGATTATCTTTTCTGTAATGTTGCAAGTGATGGTCTGCCTTTGTTGACGAGAATATCTGCCTCGCTCATCTTCCATGCCTCCTGCATTTTTGTAGGCATTTGTGTTGGACATGTTCACCTTTTACAATGAGAATAGCCGTGGTGAACATATAGAAAAATGATATCTTGGTTTACTTATCAACTTCTATTTAATTATCATCGATTATTCAAGATAATGCCGATTAAAGTCCGAAACGTATTTAAATTTGTCATATATACTGTTTTATCTATTGTATTGTTTAGACGTTTCTGCTGTTATTCCCTTCTGCGCTGTTTTTTTAAAGAAGAACATTTTTTAGAAAATGGGATTTTGTTTTTAAAAAATAGTAACAAAAAAAATCAGATAAAAAGCTCAGTCAGATTCTGCTTACTACAGTTCTTCCAATCCGCAAGGTTTCAATAAGTTTGTGGCATGTCGGAACAATTTATCGACAGAGGCGTCAGAAAGAGTGACTTAATGTTAAAGAAACCTCGTCACACACAGCTACAGCTAACCAGGCTAAAATTCAAGGTAATAATAGATTTTATACTGGTCACTGGTACTCCTACACAACACGATGACCTTCATTTGTAGGTTATACAATGAGGAGGATGAAAATAAAACCTATATTATCTTCAGATGTGAAACAACCGCTTAAAGCACCCATGACTTAGTTACCAAGATGATCTTTGAAAAATAATTGCAGCAATAGTTGTAGTAGTAGTCAATGAGTTACTTCTTAAAAGAAGGATCGAGTCAAGAGAACTGGACTAAGGAACTAGGAAAATAAATAATTAACCAAACGGTTGGAGAGCTTGATAATTCCCAACTCCGCTTCATTTCTACCATCATCATCATATATATAAGTGAATATCCTTCAGCAAAATAAAGCAATTTAACGGTAAAAAAATGTTTATTTACATATGTCAATAGTTAACAAAATTTAATTAGCTGGGTTTTCTGGTAAGGGGACGGATTTGGGGAGGTGTTTTCCAGAAGGCTGGAACCCATTTTCGTCAGCGACGTAGTTGAGGGTGACCGGGGTGCCGTCGGGGCTCAAGTAGGTGTATGTGCCTTGCTTGACGAGGACGTACTTTCCTTCTGAATTTGGCTTGAGGACTCCTTGCTCGGAAACGCCGATCCCGTCGGCAGTTCGGTAGCTGAGCGAGTACTGGCCGTAATCATCGCGTACTTCCGATCTGCTGATGAAGGGAACTGGAACGACCTTCGTCAAGGGTGAGACCTGAGCATAAGCCACCGAAGCGACCACCAAGAGCAAGATTGCCTGAAATATAAAAATGTAAAAAAAAATTATATAGAAATTACGAAATTTAAAGTGGCTGTGTCTTGGTATGAGCATGGTTCACATGTTACTAAACTATAATATGTTTGAATCAACCCATGCCATGCGCATAAATTTGCCTTTTGTTTAGTGTGACTTTCAATTTCAATCTACCAGTTTTGTCATTTATGTTAAGCATAGGCATAAAACTAGCATATAAATGTTGTGAACCACTAGAAATCTTTTACATTTGCAGTTCACAACTTAAAAATAAAGTAAAAAATATGAAAATTCAAACAATTGGCATCAATTCTGGACTTACGTATTGCATTTTCACTAGTAGAGTAGAGACTCGTTCACGTTCAGATGTTGATTGTTTATTAGAAAAATAGGCGTCCTCTTATTATTATATATGATGAAGACGCCCCTACTTCCAGACAACCCAACCCCACTCGTTTCCCTTATCCAAAAATCTGAATTCCTTATCTGATTCTGAAGAAACAAATATAACATTATTAATCGAAACAACAAATTCCTGAGTTCTCATTGTAAACAGGTTGTTGTTGCTTAATGAAAACTTCGATTTGTCAAGAAGCTAAATGGCTGAATAATATTTTAATTGATCAGAAACTTAGAAAGAAAACCGATGCAGATGTCAAATGTCTAAAATTTAATGTCTAATGTCAAAAATGTCTAAGGATATACTTTATTTATATGAAACACCTTCAGACCAACAAATAGCAACTGTACAAATCTATAGTTTTAAAGTAGACATAAACCTATGAAAAATCCAAAATTATTTCATTTATTTTTGGTTGTGAATAAATCTTACACAAATAATAGTTTTGTATTGAAAAAAGCGATCTGTTACGACTACTAAAAATTCGAAGCACGAACATATTTCCCAGTTCATTCTGATCACAAGGATTCATTTGAGGATGAATGAATTAAACATAAATTGTATTCGATGATATAAAGTCCTTTTTGAATAATTAATTATGTTCACAAGATAACAAGGATTCAGACCTGATAAGGCTATACAAACATTTCTATTTACAAAAGTACATTTTAAAAAAAATACACTCGTATTTTGTTGTTTATTTCAAACTAAAAGTATTTTTATCGTTACTTTAATTACATTATACTCATTTTAATGTACACTAAATTAAACGAGATGAGCAATTCATGAGTTGAGCAGTTCAATAAAAATTATTTATGATGGTTTAAAAGAAAATTCACCAAAACACCAAAAAATCATTTAGTGGTAGATTAAAATTTATGATGTTTGTTGATCGACCTGCAGATGGTCTATGTAGGGTTCCAATCTTCGTAGAGGTCATTAGGTAGGTGAAAAAAAGCATACTAAATACTGGGTTCACCGAGCGCCTTCATCTGGCACTATAAGGTGCCGAAAGCTCGGTGAACCCAGTATTTAGTATTCTTTTTTTCACCTATTTAATGACCTCTACGAAGTTTGAAACCCTACATAGATTAAAATTTAACTTTGTTTGTTGTAAATTTTGTTCTTAATAAGCGCATTACCTCGTCTGGCCTCGGAGGGCTTAAATCTCCTTGGCATCGAGTAAATAAACGATCCGATTTCGTCTTGTGAAACAAAATCCCATTCTTCAACAAGAGCTGTTTACAATTGTTCAACGATTGTTGTAGTGTTCTATGGACTTAATGCCAGGAAAACGTGCCGGCCAATTCATGTGGTGGTCCCTACATCCTCCAAGTAATGACTCGAGCTATATGCGGTCGGGCATCATCATGCTCCAACACGAATAACCTTAGTGCAGTCAAAGATCCATTCTGTATGATAATCAGTTCGGTAGGGGCATGGATGTTGATCCCACTACACACCATAACTGACTATCTTTGAAGAGGCTGTGATTCACACATAGCACATGAAGCAAAGCGTTCTCCACGACTTCTCCACACACGGTCTATCTGATTGCCATAAACCGAACCGGCAGCCAAGAGAACAGCTCCCCTTGGTTCAAGTGTACAAGTAAGATTTGCGAATAGTCAGTCGCATTTATCTCGATACCTCTCCATGACATCTAGAGATTCTATTCTCATGAAGCCTTTTTTGACCTGGTTTACATGTTGACAGTAATCGTGCCAGTTGATCTTGCTAGTCACTGTCATTTCATAGGTTATCGTAGAATGATCATCAGAAATCAAAGCAAATTGTTAAAATTCACGTCCAATTTCTTAGAGTAACTTTATAAAAGAAATATTACAGTAAAAAATATATTTTAAGCATTAACGATTTTGAAACAACACTTGTTCCTCTTGGGGTTTGCGTGATGACCCTGTAGTTTGGCCGTTCCTCGCTGATTTGGTCTGTCAGAGAGGTTTAGGCTCAAACAATCAAAGGTGGGTCTGCTGGCCTCAAACAGTAAAGATTGGCAGATTAAAATAATCGGAAACCACCAAACTACAAATAATATTATTTCTTTTGTCTGGAGATTTTCTTTGCTGTGAAATTTATAGTAATGAACTAGCTTACATATTTGATTGTATAATGTTCCATGAAGACTACTACATTTTCCGTTTTTTAAAATCAGTAGTAGAACCATAAACAATTGACTTTTAACTTTGTTTTGCCATTACCAAAAAGTATATTTTTACACACAACACCCACAAACACTCGCATAATTCAATTTTTTTTGTAAATATGTAAATGTTTTTGAATGCATCTTTTTCATCCTTCAAATCAGTAATTCAAACTTGGTAAACGTTTCACCACTGAAGATGACGCAGGTCGAATCTCATCCGCGAGACGAATACCAGCGAGAAAATGCGAATCCAGAAGTGGCCATAACGGTTCAACGTGAGTTCACCATCCACTCGCAGAACCAATAAAAAGAAGAAAAAAATTGGCTGCTGACCCATTTCCCCGGTTGTGTTTGAATATATTAATTTATCTGAAGAACTTAGTTGAACTGATTTTTACAATTTAGAATTTAAAAAAAGGAATAGAATTTGATAAAAATATAGTGAGGGAAAGAAATTGACAAAAAATTCATCTCCAAAGCATCTCCATCAAGATTTTAGTTCAAATTGGAAATAAAATGGATGGTAAAACAAAAAATCAATTCTTTCCTGGACCGTAGAATAATTAGCCTGTCGAAACCATGTTTTCACAGCAATTTTTAAATTAAAAATTAAAAAAGTACAGTCTACATAATACAACTTAAGATTCATTATACATAAAAATATAAATAAATTAACGACTGAAGAAGAAATAAACTACAAAATTGTTTATGAAATTTTTTCTTAAACAATTTCGTAGTTTATTTCTTCTTCAGTCGTTAATTTATTTATATTTTTATGTATAACGAATCTTAAGTTGTATTATGTAGACTGTACTTTTTATTTTATTGCTTTGGTCTGTCCATCCTCGCAGGGGGTACCATAGGCAGATCAAAATGTTCAGAACCTGCTAAATTACAGGTTCATCACCAGCAGACCCCACAGGGAAATTTTAAAAAATTGACAGTTTCCGATCAATTTTGTCCCCACTCATTGCTGGGTCTGCCATAGGCCGATCAAAATGATTAGTATCGACCAAATTTATTTTTATGCACACTCTTTTGTCTATATTTGTCAATAACATTAATTACACCAATATCGACATGAATTGTAGGAGTAACTCTCTGCTATTCTTAAAATTCATGTGGGGGTTGTAAATCCTTCAACCTGATGATGAGCTTTAAGCTCGAAATCAACAACAAACTGTGAGGATGATCCAACTTTTCAAAAAAGATTAAATGACATACCCCACCTTTACCATTTCTATAAATTCTAGAGGTGCCAGACACAGTGATTAAAGAACCGTTATCAAAACAAGCGTACATTGTTACAGCTAAACGAAGAAAAATGAAGGGAATGAAAGGAATATGGCATGTGACTGGGTTGACTCGCCCACCTTCACAACATAGGCATGTCATTTAATGTTGAAGTTTTTCATTTGTAGGTTGAATGAAGAGGTAGCAATGAAGAGAAAAAAACAGCTATATTGTCTTCAAATGCAATGCAAGCATGAAGCACCCATAACTATGGTATAAGATGATCTGTAAAAAATAATTGCAGCAATGGTAGTCAATGGCTTGCTTCTTAAAAGAAGGATTGTGTTAATAGAACTGGACTAAGGAACTAGGAAAATAAATAATTAACCAAACGGCTGGATTATTTGTACATTCCCAGCGCCCGCTTCTGTCGTATCATCTACGCCATAAGCGGAAAATATACTTTAGCAAAATAAAGCAGTTTAACGGTAAAAAAATGTTTATTTACATATGTCAATAATTAACAAAATTTAATTGGTCGGGTTTTCTGGTAAGGGGACGGATTTGGGGAGGTGTTTTCCAGAAGGCTGGAACCCATTTTCGTCAGCGACGTAGTTGAGGGTGACCGGGGTGCCGTCGGGGCTCAAGTAGGTGTATGTGCCTTGCTTGACGAGGACGTACTTTCCTTCTGAATTTGGCTTGAGGACTCCTTGCTCGGAAACGCCGATCCCGTCGGCAGTTCGGTAGCTGAGCGAGTACTGGCCGTAATCATCGCGTACTTCCGATCTGCTGATGAAGGGAACTGGAACGACCTTCGTCAAGGGTGAGACCTGAGCATAAGACACCGAGGCGACAACCAAGAGCAAGATTGCCTGAAATATTACAAACATAAATTTTTATGTTATGTTAATATTACATATTCCAATGTAAGTTGCTTATATGCTATAGCTGTGATCATAATGATCAAAGGGGTTTAAAGACAAACACAAATTATTTTTGTAACGATTTGAATTAACAGACTACACAATTATTAGAACTTAAGAACATAGTGATAAATCATTACCAATTTCATTTTAATCGTTCTTTCCTTGGGTTCGTGGGGTGAAGATGGATATGTGGCAAGAACGAGCCAGTCCGTTTATATATGTCAACATTGCTACCCCTACTATTCGCTTGCAACCCCCGTTTTCCTGTTTTGAAAATTCTTCATTCGGCAAATGTGAAAAATATTTTACGCAATAGGGAGAACGATCATTCGATATTTATTCGATTGTAGTATCTAATCTAAGAGTTTGTAACATCACGGTCAGTGTAAGCGTTTCAGATTTTTTTAAAATTTTGTGACATAGTTAGGCTATTTAAACTGCAAAGTATCCAATGTGTACTCTGCGGTTTGGATAATTAAATTAACAATATATCATTTATAATGAACGTGTTGCAAGTGGCGGTGAACCTGTAGCTTAGTCGTTTCTGATCTTTTTGTTATTTCTATCCTTGCTGTTTGCCTTTCAATCAGAAGTTTTTCGCCATCATCAGTGGATGGTCATTGTGTTATTTTATCCAATCGGTAACTCCTAACTACTCCTTGTTACAATAAATTCAGCAGTGAAAATTTCAAAAAGAGTCCCACTCGGAAAAGCTCGCCAAGTTGATCGTAATAGACCAAGCTATAGCGTTAATTGTATAGTTCTACGCGGTCTTTGAATAAAAAACAAATTACTTTTGTATTTGAAATGCGGCGTTAAAAGATTACATAGCTTAAATAATATACTGTAACATTTGTATTGTGCTGTATGCTTTAAAATAAGGTTAGTTGCTTGACTTTATAACAAATTTATTTTTTTCCCATTAATTTCGACTAATACGCCGATCTATAACCAGTTGTACTTCGATCCCCTCGGTCACCTACATCAAACTTTGTAGTTGGTTGTCCGTTCGAATTTTCGCTCTTTTTGCCATGTTATCAAATTTTACTTTTTTACTTAGTCACTAAATTCACCTAAATAATTTTTAACTAGGGTTGAAAGTTCAATTGGCTCTCTGGAACACCACGTTCCCAGTAAGTTCGACCGGACAGTCAAGAAGAACATGATTCCATGGTCGTAGTATGTCCCTGTTATATGAGCCATGGCGGTTGATATACTTCTGCTGTTGCGAACAAAACAAAACAAAAAGACTTTACCATGTACCCTGAAAAACTGTTTATCGAAGGTCATAAAAATACTCAAATTTCGTTCAAAAAAGTTGAAAGATTCTAAGCTCCTCCCTGTTATTTTAAGAAACATTTAGAAGAGAAACGAATCTCGAACGTACAATAACCTTGTTCTGAGAAGTTAGAAACAATCGACCTGCGAATTACTTACAAAACCTCTGATAAATAGTGTTGACTATGAGCAAAGATCAGGCTGTTGTTAATAACAACAAAAAACCATTTTTTAAAACGTTTGTCAGCTGAATGTTAACCATTACCAACGTGTTTCTAGGATTCTTCCAAAGTATACTGTTAGTAGCGAGGAATGATTAGACCGTGGGCGAAGAGCCGGGGACGTAAATTATATAAAGAAGAGACCTTCGCACGTAACTTTGAGGAACCTCAATCTGTATTTACTTTGTTTCGAAAAAGTTGAAATTGTTAAGCTTCGCCCTTTTGTCTTAAGAAACATTTGGAAGAGACAACTTCATTGACCTGCGAATTACTTGCAAAACTTCTCATAAATAGTATTTATTGCCAGATCAGTCGGATGAGCATAGATAAGAATGTATGTACATTTAGATGTATTAGTCAGGGTGTGTACAATACTACGTCCTTTATGAACTATTGTATCACCCGTTCTGAGCTTAAAGAGTAAGTCCAAGTTTGTCAAGGAACTTGATTAGTAGGCCCGGGTTTTAGTGATTAAATTTGAATAATGTTGTTAAAAGTCTTTTTTTAAATTTTGGATTCAATTCATGATGTTTGTCAAGCGTTTGTCAGCTGAATGTTAACAAAGAGGATTTCTTGTTATCTCCATCGTCTTTCTAGAAATCTTCAGGACTATCCTGTGGGTAGCGTAGAAGTGTGGGCGAACAGTCCCTGACGTAAATTATATGAAGAAGAGGGCTTCGCATGCAACCTTGAAGAACCTCAGCTCGTACATTTTTATACGAGGAAGAACCATCAATATATTTAACAATAAAGGATCTGTTTATAATTTTGACCAATAACGTCTGTTTAAAAAATTGTATCAAATATAATATAGGCGAAAAATTTTTAAACAATATTTTATTGCTACAATCTCGTAAACAAAAATAGGAGTCGTTAATTTATTATCCAACAATATTTAGTTTCAATAAGAAAGAGGCTGAAGTGTGGTAAGAAGGAGATCTCAAAGTCCATGTTTTTTTTCGCTTTGTGTTACAGATTTGTTTAATATAATTTTTGTCGATTCATTAATCCAGAAAATAGATAAATGACTGCAGTTTCTACCAGAAAAAACCTGAAACACTGTGTGATTACAAACTTAATTTTAATGAAAATAGCCCAAAAATAATTATTTTTAACTGTGGAAAGAGTTGTCTGTGTTTCCTGAAATGACTCGGTTACAAAACCGATTTTCTTATTCATTAAATTGTTCCTTTCTTCTAAAATCAATTTGAATTTAATTTAATTTTTATTGTGAGATTTGTTCATAAATTGTTGTCGCAATATTGTCTTGATGGCGATGCCAGATTGGGACACCGTTCCATAGCAGTGAAAACAGATCTGATCGCCAAATAATACATTGTTTGTCTCGAAATACTATTTTTGTTCCGGCGTTATGTCAGCACGGCTTTCTTCTTCGTCCAAATCGGCCTAATTGCGAATTCGATTTATAGCCAGTCAAGGACTACCGTCGGATTGACCTCATAGGTAAAATTATGATGACGACGGCCGTCTAATGACCTCTCTCAGAATTATTTCGGAATTTTGTATATTTATGTTTTTAAAAATAATTTCAAACTCAATTATTAAGTATTTGTAATGTACTCAATAAAAAATCAATTCAATATTATTTTTAAATTTACTTTTTTTGTCAATAGTTATGTTATTTGTAGCATGATGTGAGAGGGACGGGTCATTGGCATTTCGTAAGTACTATACTTCCGAAGTGTAGTGGTCTGTCCAGAATGAATGTATTTATTAGCCTGAGTGGTGATGCGTGAAAGGACGTGCGTGTCGTGGAATATCGAGTTCTCCTAAATTGATCGATTTAGGCTAGTTTAGTGTATGAGTGCAATTTGTGAATGTATTTATTAGTGTGAAAGAAAGGAGGCCGCAAGATCAGGATAATCTTCCGACTTCCAATTTAGGTGTAGTGTAGGTTTGTAAATTAGAATTTGTGGATTATAAAAATGTGTATAAATATTATATTTATGTATTTTAATTTATCACGTATGGGAGGGTAACAATAAACAAGATAACGCATCTCCTATTAGGAATTAGGTAAATCGGACGGGATTAGTCGTTTAGTTGGTTGGGGCATAAGAAAACTTAGAAAAGAATGTACACATAAGATAGCTAAGAAGACAAATGTAAGAAGGCTATATAGATGAGGTGCTGGCGGTAACCCTGGTAGTAAGCCGGTAAAAAAAATAAAAAAATAGTTATTTGAATTGAGCGGGACTCGAAGCTACGACGTCCGGATAAGTACCCCGGGGGTCGGGGTTCGAGGCCCGCTCAATTCATATAACTATTTTTTTATTTTATACACCCTGTATCAACTTATTTAGAAACGATTAACTTTAGCAAAAAATGGCCTTATACAAATCATTTCATTTTAAATGAGAATCCTATATTTTTATTGTACATTTCAATTCTAGATCTTGTTATATGCCACTTTTACTGAAAGGAAAATATTAATAGGTTGATCGAGTTTTGGTAATATCTTAGATAAATATTTCGACAATTTAAGGCATTTAAATGATAATATATTAATAAAATTTTCACTTATAGTCGTAAATAAACTGTTTTTAATTATTCTGCCTGTTTTCTACCGTGTAGGCTCTAGCCTATTTGCTTTTTGTCAGTACCAATAGAAAATTGAAGTTTGGCGTTTTTCTAGCTAGATGGCTGTATTTATATGGTCACGTTTTTTAACGGTTTCGATGAAATTGAGTTTCGTTTTTAGAAAGTTGAAAGTACAAAAGTTTTTTCGAATCCAATCAATCCTTTTGATAGGCCTGAGGATATCACAACGATCGCTGGATGTTAGCAATTGTTAATCTTTGTGGTATATACAATTTTTGGTTTTGAAGTTAACAAAACTCTTCAAAATTAACACCTAATATATTGCCTTGTTGAAGGTTGTCTTTAAGATACTAATGCCTTTGCCTAAAATTGGCTATTCTCCTTTCTAAAATAGATAACTGCACTTCAGAACAATGCTTTCATTAACCAGAAGGATTGATTTTGTGTAAAATTGGAATAATAGTTAATTTAAGATAACAATACTTTCCTTTAGGTGGCGTTTATTTCTGTGACTATCTCATATAACGGAATTAATTTTTAAATTCCACTGGAAGGAATTATGGCTAAATTTTAAACTGAAAAAAATCCAGTCGAATCATTAAAAAAATAAAATATTGCAGAATATGTTTTAGGATCTTCACGATGTTATTCTGATTCTTGAACGATTTGATCAAACTTTTGAATGTAGTTGGTTAAAAGTTTAAAAAGTGTGAAAAATAATCTAATTCTGTCAATTAACAATAGAAACTTTTTTTTAAATCAGCTTTCATAAAATGAGTACAAATGAAACGGTAGAATATGGAATACCCAATCGGACTTGAATCAGATTAATTATCAACTTATAGCCGAAGGTCGTGGGTTCGAATCCCGCTCGTGACACCAACTTTTTCATCTCAACCAAGACTTTATATGAAAAGAATAATTAGTTGAAAGAAGTAGTTTTGTCAATTAGATCACTAAACATACTGGATAGTATATAAATAAGAATTTCATACTCCACCAACCTCTTTGGAAGATATTTCGTTTAGTGTAACCTTTTGTGTATATTGAGAGCGATTGCATTTATTAACCTCAATGAGATTATGTGTAAAGTGGGATGGAGCAATATCGAGTACTCTACCACACTACTTGGTAGATATCTCGCTTTGTGCTACCTTTTGGGTATATTACAGTGATTGTATTTATTAAAGTGAATGTAAGGTTTAATAATATTACAACATATCTCCGTATTCAAGAATGTAGTTTGTTAAAAACTTGGCATTTCATATATTAAAAATTAAAGTGGTCGACGAATTTCCTTTTTTTCTGTTGAAACCTGAGAATATTATATATAATTTTAGATGATGATTTTTGTTTCATGATATGACGACATAGTGATTCTTTAAGAAATAATTAATTATATCCGAGCGTTTGTAATCTTAATATAATAAGTAAGTGTGTTTCTTAGTGACCGGTTGTTTAATATTTTGTCTAAGTCGTGAGGAGCTGTCAAGAATGAGGTAGTTTAGAAAAAACCCATTTTCATTTTTTGCCGAAGTTTTGACTTTTATTTGGGTCATCTTCTTGGTCTGAAGATGACCGAATAAAGCTCGAAATAACGACAACATAATGAAAAAGGCGTCCTCACGACTTCAACAAATAATAAGATAAATTAATTTTTAAATAAAGATTTAATAGTAAAATATAATTTAAAAGTTGTTTACATACAAAAGTTGCAAATAAAAGTTGATAAATAATACAAAGATAAATCTAGAGACATTTAAAAACTAGAAGGGGCTTGAATGTACATTTGGACAGGGTGGGTTTTCAATTGGTACGAGTTTCGTTTAAAGACGGATTCCGGGATTACGGCTGCGGACGAAGTTGAGAAGTTCGTCGGAGTCTTCGCAGACGAAGGGCTTCAAGTGGTGACAAGCGACGTCGTGCCACTTCACTCCATCTTGGTAGAAGTTGTTCAAGATGGCCAAGCAAGATTCGTCATTTCCCTAGAAAAAGAACAAGATTAAATATGGCCTTTTGGAATATCAAGGTTGAATATTGAGTTCAGATACCTGAGGTGCTTCTCTGTTGTCCGGCTGGGCCTGTCCGTATCCTCCGGTGTGACTCCAGTCACCGGTGTTCCTCTGGGTCGTAGGGCCGATCTTGGCTCCAGAGCCGGACCAGAACCATCCGTTGACGTTGGCGGGCTGGAGGTCGGGTCTGTCACAACCGTTGAAGTTGCATTTCCTTCCAGATGTCCAGATGTACCTTACGTTTCCTGTAAAAACGGACATGAAGCAAAATCCTCGAGTGTTAACTAATCGAACGTACCTCTGACTATCCTTTGTTTGATGAATTCGTTTTCTTGCGGGGTCTCGAGAGAGACGGCATCCATGCAGTGTCTTCTGCAAATGTTCCTGGCGTCGAGCCAGTCGACTTCCAGACTCCTGGTCGGAGCGTGTTCCCAACTGAAGAAGTACGAATGAGCCACCCCTCTCGCATCTCTGTACGTCGAGTGTCTTACCCCTGAAATAATTATCGATTTAGTTTCTCTGTTATTATTTATGTGTTTCCGTCGAGTGAAAAGACTTACTGTTAGCACAACTTCTCGGGTCTGGAAGAGCCAGTCGCCTCTGCGCCGAAACCATGACGACTCCTAGCACAAGGAGTGCTAACACGCGTAGCATGTTGACTAAAAATGATATGACAAAGTTATGTTTTGATACATAATAATTCTTAACATATCATATAAAAGATTTTCTATCGTATTTATTCTGTTATACACTGTTCATTTTGAGGATATTTATAACAAATTAAAACTGCTACACACTCATTAAATTGTCCAAAACAATGTAAAAATCGGATAAAATATTACTTTGAGTTTCAAGTTTTGTACATTTTTGTTTTGTTCATGTCGGAATCATATTTTAGAACGGCAAGAAAATATTTATTTTTTCGTAAATTTCATATAGCCTCGCTTCAATAAATTTCATAAAATACTAGAAGGTAAAGTTATATACTTTCTGTAATAGAAATAAAGATAGATGGTTAAATATGTATTATAAAATTTACAATAAAAAAAATCAGTTTGTGAGCAACTGAAATAAATAATGCTTAAATTCACTTATAAAAGAAATTGTGTGTACCAAGATTTTGACCAAATTGTCAACATTGACTTGCAGAAAACCTAACGCAAAAGTGGTGCCCAATTATAGTTATTATTATCATTATAACAACTATCAAAAAAGTAATTTTTGTAATGAAAAAGTTTGTTTTTCCAGTTTATTCTTTCAAATATTGTACTTCACTTGTTGACCAGTACAGCTCGTACTTTTGTCGTAACTGTTGGTTTATCGTGAGGTAAGTGTGCCACGGAGGCGGATCCGAGAAGTGGACCACAGACCCTAACCTAGATGCTACAACCTGTTCCGACCATCCCAACCTGACTTTCATTCATAGCCACTTAGGTAATCCTTCGTACAAACAACAACTTCCTCCGGAAATAATTCTAATTTTTTGACAATAATAATATCTGACTATTAACCAAAATATTTGGACAAATTAGTCCTTTAATTAAAGCAAAGAATCAGAACAATAGGTCAGATTAGAGCAATTTTTTATGTTTTTATTAAACATTGATATTTTTTTAAAATACTGTTAGAAGAAATCATAGTAAAATCATAATTTCACACTCCATGAATATTGTTGGGTTTTTCATTTGTATTTATATTTTTATTTGTACAATACTTCCTGGGGAATTGTGTGTGTGGTGGTTAGTGACCGTTAATCGATAATTATTCAGAAATCGTGAGATGCGGTCTGGTGTGATGTAGGTTTCAGAAAATCATTTTCTTTATCGTACCAACGTTTCGATCTTTAATGAGATCATCTTCAGGGCTTCTGGGCAGAGTGCCCTCTCAACACGACATGCAGGAATGGCACAATTACACAGAAGACAAACACTTTGAGCCCTGAAGGTGATCTCAATAAAGATCGAAACGTTGGTACGATAAAGAAAATGTTTTTCTGAAACCTACATCACACCAGACCATATCTCACGATTTCTGAATAATTATTGTTTTTAGTCTTTACGTTAGAATGTGTTGGGTTCATCAGGAGTCAGACATACTTGAATACTGTTCTGACCTGAAATCATCCAACTAACAAAATTCTCAAGATAGTGACAAACAACAGTTTTAAAGTTATTAGGTAGATGAAATTGATAATATGTTGCTTGCTACCTCAATTTTCCATTCTCTGTAGTTTCATAGTTCAAGATTTTTTACACGTTTCCACCCTTCCACTTTGTAAAGTGGTGTAATTGTCGTAATTGGCCGAAAGTGAAACACTCAATAAAGTTCACAAGTTATCCAGTGTAGTTATTTTACAAATAGTTCGTAATCTTCTGGAAATCGCACAGGCTTTTGAAAGGTCACGCCGAAAAGAAAGTTTATTATTTTTTTAATTCTAATTTTTTGAGAGTAATGACAGATTATTCTTGGACACCTCTCACGCTATGCCTTAGCAAAAAAACCCTCAAATTTTAATCTGGAGCGAGTTTCTCGAACTAATCCGTGTTTTTAAAGACACGACGTTTCAAATCGATCCGTGTTAAGTGTAATTTTGGAGAAACTTAATGACTCAAAGAGAGAACTTTTTAAATATTTAGCGGGCATCGGGTATAAGCAATATATCCGGGGAAAGACAAACCTCTCTTAGGTTTAATTTTACATTTATAAAATTCTAAACAAAGTATCCCAGCCTAAAAAGATCCTTCGGCTTTGGATTTCCTTTCCGGCCCTTAAATCGCCGGCTCATCTACCTCGATCCTTAATCGGTTTAAAATTGGCGAGAACACGGCCGTTCTTTAATTCATGTACCACTGGATTTAGAAAAGAATTAAACTGACATAGAAACCCGAATCGGATACCGCTAAGAGTCAATAACCCAATGACGTCAGCGGATAGCCAGATAAAAAAAGTCCCACTGGAGAAATTTCAATCATCCCGAACCCATCAAACTCGAAGAAAAACATTTCTTTACCAATAGTTTATTTCAATTGTATATTTTTTTAAAATACCAAAATGGTCAAGTCGACCTATCAAACTAAACAAAATTTAGTGAAACTAAATCAAACTAAAAATCCTAAATTTTCAACAATTGATAAATTCTCCTAAGCTTAGATTTTACTACTAATTACTAATTTTTCAAATTGATATAAACACGAATGTGAAGTATCAGTGTAAAATCAGGAAAATATCGAAGCAAATATGAAATAAATAAATGTTAACAAAGTGATATTTTTCATTTATTTTTTTAAGGCAAAATTCTCTTAAAATTGAACAAAATTTCTTTCACGTACACATTGATGAAAGTTTGATGTTTTGATTATGTTGAAGTGTTGTCTAGTGTTTTGCTAAGATAATGAAAATGTTTTGATTTATCGTTAGTTTCTTGTGTCAAACCAATTAGACCTAGAAATTTATTATATATTCATACATACAAATAACTGTTGTGAAAATTCATAAGAAAACGTGGCTAAATATAATCGAGTACAAATTATCCACGTCAATCAATGGAAAATAAGAGTCTTGTTAAAATTACGAAACAAGGTGTCGCAAAAAAAATGTTATTGCTATTTACGTAAATAATTTCTTTACGGTCACCCACATTAAATATGAGGAAATTAAGTTGCCATAAACCGGAAATAACGTAAATAATTGATGACCGGTTGGTTACTTCTAGGAGAGTTATAAAAGCTTTGATTACTAAGATTTTTCCTTTGAGTGATAATAACAGCCTTCTTCCTTTAACAACTATGTAACGTCCTTGTATGTGGTGATTTAACATCGTAATTGTTAATCACGGATGATCCCTTTATTTTTAATTTATTGAACGTTACAACTACCTATTATTTGTTAGTAACAAGTAATAGTGAACAAGAGTGAAAGAAATCTTAGTGAGGAAGTTACCTATTGGTATTCCAAATTAGGTACATTGCATCACATTTCACTATCACCATCTTCTCTAGATAGGTCATCCTGGGCCATTGCCTCAGCAAAGGGTTTGAAGGGAAGAGCTGTCGGATGAGGGGGTTAATATTGACTGGGACTGATTTGCGGTATTTACGTTATCTTGGTAGGATAGTGACACGTACCCAGTTTATTCGATACGCAGAAGGGAGAATTTAGGAATTGTCTAATGATTTTGGGTTGGGATGTTAGAACGCTTTTTAGAACCCCAAATTTCCAGTTTTAGAGCACTACTGTAAATTAGTCGTCAGGTATCTGATCTTTTGTCAAGAAGTCTTGAAAAGGTATTGTAACGTCTCATCAGTTCTAGTCTTTCAAGTCTCGCATGTGGTCTCCAGGTCAATCGATTGTCGAGGTACACTCCCAGGTTTGCGGTAGGAAGTAGGATGTTATTGAAGTAGATGGGAAGGCAAGTTCGTCGATGGAGTGAAAATAATATTTATTGATTTATTGGTGTTTAGTTTAATTCCCTTAACTTTGCATCAGTGTTCTATTAAATGAAGATGTTGTTGCAGATTAAGGGAAGGAATTACAAGGTAGGTGTGAGAGAAATGCTCTGTCATCTGCCAAGGTAAGGGAAGTGTCAGGATCAGCTGTGTATATTTGGTAAAGAACAGGAGCTAGGACATTGCATTGTTATATACCGGTTTCGCCAGGATGGTATTGAGTTCCTTCGCTAACACATAAATACTCATCAAGGTAACTACGTACGATCAATAAATTGATGGGAGGATGCCGTTGAGCAGCGATAGCACGACCGGATGGCACACCCGATCAAAGGCCTGAGTCACATCGAAGAATGCCCCAGGGAGGAAGAAATGACGTCTACAATCGGCTGCAGAATCATAAATGTCCTACTGACTTTGGGCACGCATTAATCCAGTGAAAGCCCGCGAATTTCACACACATTGGTGCATGGTAACAATATGTCTTGGTGTGACCATACTCCATTTTTTGGGTTTTTTCCAGCTCATACATCGTAAAAATGTCTTTTTTGTTAGGACCTGACTATATCTAAATAAAGCAGAGTAAGTTTTTTTTCAAGTAGCAGACTGTATAGGTTAGTCACATTTCACACTTGGAATCCAAGATCCTCAAATTCTTTAGGCGGAATTCTGGGATTGAGATTTCTAAGTACTACTCAGTATGTATGCTCCCCTTTTAATTGGTATGAGTTTTATTATAATTTTCAATTATTTTTACTTTCACGACTGTTGTGTTAGACCTGGTTTGACAGTGAAATTCAGTTTTTCCTAGTAGTTGAATGACGCCTTAGTAGAATGTGCACTAGTCAATAATGTTCTAAATGAATACTGGAGGAGGTCTTGTGTTTGACAGCCATCTTGAGTGGTGGGTTGGTTTTCTTCTGAGGATGATACTATTGCGAGAGTGTAAGAGAGTGACAATGAGTTGTTTGTTAAGCAACGAATTAATCGCAGGGGCTACTGTTGTTGTGGCTGAAATTCCAAAATTTATAGTATGCTCCAAAAACGATAATGAAGAATGTGTGCTCAAAATAGGCTATTTCGAAGAAATGAACTAATTATAATGTATGATATATTTCAGACGTGGTGATCTACCAGCTGTGAATTTGATGTTTTGGGATCATGGATGTGACTTGATCTCACATTGTATTCTAAAAAACTTAGCTGTATATGTA